GTATTACTAAGAATAGATTGTTTTATGGTATAGATGGTATCATGATAGCATTTGAAGTAAGGTTAGGCAGTGAAGATGTTAACTCCTAATGATGAGAGCATATTTTTTAAAAGTTCAAATATAGGATTGAGTTTTCTAGGATTAAGATTTACAGGATAAAGTTTTGAAGGTTAGGTTATAAAGGAAGGGGTAATTTACTAGAGGTGTGTGTGTTCTTTTTCTTTTGGTAAAGTGGAGTAAGAGGTTGACTAATGGTGTGCCTGTCTGTCTGTTGGTGTTGTCTGTTGTCAGCTGTGAGATGTACGACCCCTTCCTTTGTCGAGTACAGCTATTTTGTGGTCATGATTTCATAACACTCCTCCCCCTACCTAGCCAAACCTAGACACAAGCTCTGTACATGCATTTGTTTGCACTCATGTTATATTCCCTACTTAAATTAAACATCAAAGAATATCCTGGATTGCCAAGTCATGCATCTTCTGTTCTGTAAACTTGTGTATTAGAGTTGTAGATTCCTACCACGCCATTGTAAATGTGAAGCAGGTTTGAACCAAGATGACACTGGCTAAGTTATGATGTAATCAATACAATCCTTGAAAAAGATATAACTCACTTGCCAGTTGTGGCATGCCTTTATGGCTGATATAAGACAGGGGTATGCTTTAGATGAAGGGTAGTTTATCTACATTCAATGAAACATGCATGAGGAATATGAAGGTAAATTTACTGAGGTACATGAACACGAAATTCCAACTCCATTTCTTTTTGCACAGCAGGGTTCAAGGGCTAAAGCATGCTATATATACCTTTCTCATATCATGAATAAATTTGAAGTCACCTAAAATGAAAATTTCAATAAAGGTGTTTGATTTAAAAAAGAATTGTTTATTCTTATGATGATTTAGTCCATTCCATCATCTTGTTTCACATTTTACTAGCCTGCTGGCTTTTGATTTACATGTAACCATGCAAGATTTTAATAGGTAGTGATACAATTTATGTTAATATTAAAGAGGAGAGAACTCTTTTAAACATAAATGTTCTTATGGTATTATGACATCATCCTTATGTGTTCCTGTGTAGGAGATACCTGCATTTATATATATATCCCTTGTTAAAATCCTCTCTCATGTTCCTTAGCTTCGTATGTGATCTTTGACCCTGCACTAGTTTTAGATTTAGGTACCATCATATGTCATCCCTAGCCACCTTCCTGTAGAGCTTATGAATAAGAAATACAAGTTATTAATCTCTGCATTTCATCGCTAACAACTTTCTGAATTTACTGTTTATTTTACTTTCTCAGGATTACAGAAATTTATTAGAAATGTAAATCACTAAATTCACTTTTAGAAATATTTTTTGAATGTCACAAAATAAAAGTCAGATTTGTTGCATGGATGCTTCACTTGTCTCGGATCAAATATTGATATTTTCTCACATAGTTCTCACATAGTCATGTTTCCAAGAACACTTAGATTCATTGGTAATTAATTAAGCTTCAAAGCAATGCCAGCAAGGTGAACAATTGCATTTTTAAAGGTTGCCAAAAATGTCCTGCCAAAGTAGCAGTTATATGGAGAAAATTGATGAAAATATTTTGTATACATGTATAAGTATATTCTTGTTAATGGCATAAGAGGCATGACAACTGCTATGTATGTGCAATCATCAGCTTAATTCCTATATTACCCACTACATAATTAACAATGACATGGCATTACCAAATCTTGCTTGTTTTTGTATATAACTAATATTGATTAACTGGACGTTCCCTGTAAGCCTCATACTACCCCCTCTCTGTGATCTGGAGACACGTCGGAGCTGGTGGTGACACAGTTACCTAAGACAGGTGTCAGGCAGTAGGTTGATACAGTGGATTTACCAAGGACCCTCCATATCATGTCACATTTCTTACACTGTAGAATCAGTTTCAGGACAGACTCAGTTCTGTACCATAATCTTCTATCTATTTATCATATTGATATTGTACAGAATTTGCCACCGTTTGTAAGCTCTGGTGATAGAGGTTTGAGTTATAAGTAGGTCTGTTGTTTAAGTGCCATGTAAAAGAGTCACTCATGTTCACTATTACATACGATTTTGATGTGTACATTTTCGTTCCATATAGAAATGAATTTTCTTTAATAAAATGTATCACAATTTTATTATTCATAGCAAAAAATTCCCTATGCTGCTCTGTTACATTATGTATAGAAAACCTTATATGTAGTCTAGCATTTTTCAATATTTAGTGTAAATATGATATATATGTTTGATTATATGATATGCCTAGGTAGAAAGACGATCAGTATTTCTGTATATCTCTCTAGTACATGTACTCGTATATATATCTATACATTTAATACATGTATATATCTATTTATCAGCAGTTATATATGTATTGTATTTTAGGACTTAACCTCTTTTGTTGTGTAGGAATTAAGGTGTAGAAATAAATGAGCAGGCCACATTTCATCAAAAGCATATTACTAATTGTCTATCAGAAATTAAAGCAACTGTTCATTTGCCAAAAACAAGAAAAGAAATAATTTTGCCAATTCACTGATTATCCATTTTAACTTTGAACTTTTTGGTTTTTCATGCGATGAATAGCGTTGCAGATTATGTGCTTGTTCACAAGTAAGAAATTTTCACTTTTTCTTTCTGCTTGATTGTTGCACACCATTTGTCTCTCCTCTTCTGGTTACCATGGAAACAAGCATGTGTTTTGACCTTTAAGTTTTGTGATTGCAATGTTTGTATTGCATGACTGTTTTTGAGAGCATGCACCTACTATCAATGCATGATTTTGTATCTTTTGTATGGTTGCAATATGTAATCATTTTATAACAGGACATTTAGTGAATTTCAAAAGTGATATAACATTGTCACTGTTATACCAACAAAATGCCAGAAACTGGCGAAAGGCTTTAAAAAAAAATACGAAAAAGCAAAAATCATCTATTTGCAATCTATGAAAGATAAGATTTTAATTTCCTGCATGAATATTTGTTAGGAAAGTGTTTCTTCACCATTCGCACTTTCCACACGTATTCTTTGTAGTGTGTCTCCACTTTCCTTTATTGAAACGTTTAGTTAATTGTAGTAAACTTACGATCAAATTGTCACATTGTCTGAGCCCCAGCATCACAATAGCCATCGGTAATTTCAGAGAAGACCTGAAAGTAGGAAGGACAAGGAATTCTTTATGTAGTGTTTATGAAACCAATAGGAAAGGTTCATTTAAATTCTATTTTGAGATTCTATGAAGAAGAGAGGGAAGTTGTTAGCACTAATAGAATGCGGCACCTATACCTGTATTTGTATCATTTTACCTGTATTTAATTGTGTCATTTCTACCTTTGTGTTATCAGAGAACATTGATTAGGATGTTTATCTGGTTGTGTGCCGTTGTTAATAGAATTAACAGGAGGATTGGACACAGAAGAACTGTTATCGCTGGAAGCCAGAGTCTGTCTCCTGTACCGTGTCTCACACACCATTGATCGCAGTCTCATCCACAGATAACTCTCATTACGTGTTAAACACGGCCAAGAAATCACTGTGACTTAATTATAGAACTTCTTAAATATTCCTCCCTCAGTTTTCATGTCCTCTGGTCAATGTCCACAAAATGAAAAGATAAACAAAATAGATAATGAAAAAAAAGAGAAAAAGTAAATGTTTATTAAACGTATAATGTTTTTAATAAGAAAGAGTGCAGAGGGACTTAGTAAAGGAGTAAAGAGTAAGTGTTGATGAATTTGCACGAAGTTCGTGAATAAATGAGAAGTAAGAATTGAACAAAATGTCTGTAGGGAATATTTGTTTATTGCTTTATGAAATATTTTGTGATAATTCAATATTCTCTATCATTGGCGAGTGAAAGTTTTAGTACTCAGGGGAATAATAACACAATAATCAGAGCTCACAGTAATTTCATTACGAACAACTACAGACATTTTTCCTGTTTAAAAAATATACCCTGCGAGATACTGCCATGACACAGCATTGTCAGTTTTCACCGCTGAACAGTGGTGATAGAAGCCAGGGGTCTGAACTCTGGTGACCCCCCTAAGATATAGGGATTGTCTCCCTTGATTTGTGGCTGTAAGACATGGTTCTAGGAAAGTCCCGATGTAAGACTCAGGCACACTGGTTATACATGGTGAAATCTTATGGCTCTGTGTTGAGATAACTCTTACGGATCCTGAGAGAACTCTGCTGCCTCTTAAATTGATGAAAAGTTAAATAAACTGAAGAGTAGGTGAAGATAAAAAAGACTTCATTTAAATACATAGAGTTGTTTAGATCCAGCTGTCTTGGTAAAAATTGGTAAAAAAAAAAACAAAACTATAGTTTCCAAGTGTTCTTGAAATTCTGCACATAACGTAGCACATTGCATCCAATTAAAACATGCCTTAAAGCACTTGAATTCATGGGCTTAATTTATCTCAACAGTAATGACCTGATGTGAGTCCTTGTGCACTGCATTCAAATTAAAGTAGATTTTTAATACTAGAGTAAAGAGTTAGATAGTTACGAGTTAATTCACCAAAGCACTACTGAGTAGCAATACAATAGAACCCCCGTCTCTCTACCCCCTTCTCTCTCTCTCAGCTGTTTTTCAATGTTCAGATTTTATTGTTGATGTGGTGGATTTGGACTGTCTCTATATTTGGTATACTGTTCTCTTCGTCATGTATTTTTATCTAAATATTTTACTGGTGAAGGCTGTGTATTTTCCTTCTCTTTTATAAAGCTTTAGTCATGTTCCTTGATAGTTTCAATGTATAAAATGTAAAGTTTTCATTCATGCAGTCACATTCTTTACTTTTATTCTTTGCTACTTTTCATTGATTAACTGTAAAAATTCTACTCACATTTTAATTTAATTCCCTTTAATTCTAAGCATGGATACGTATGTTGATTTACAGAATTTTCTTGCAAGGTTGATTTGACGTATCACGGGGTCTTTTTTGTTTTAATTTTTGCAGAGCCATTGAGTACGGCGTCGACAGTGAGAACCTCAGTCTTTCAGCAATAAGAACCATTCGAGTTTTACGTCCATTACGTGCTATAAATAGAATTCCAAGTAAGAGTACAAATATTTACAATTTTTTTAATTAAACTGTTTTTAAAAATCATCTTTAAAACATATGAAATATTTGTATACTTTTAGTCCTGATTTCTTTTGATGATATCTAAAATAAGTAATGCAAACAGCAGCATACAGTACTTTCGGGACTTTGATTTATACTTTGATGCTTATGGGGCAATTAAGCCTCAATTTTCCCACCAGCTTGAAAATGTAACTGAAAGTACTGGAGATAGGGTGATTAATCAGAATTTTCTTGACTTTTGGTAATTCAACGAAACTATTTTTCTTCTTAATAAAACATACATAATCAAAGGCCTGAAAGTACTCTAACACCTTTATTGTATAAAAGCAATTTTAGTGTTCAACTTGATGGTTTCACACCTTGACCTTCTTACAAGTATGCAGATCCTGGTGATCTGTTTTATATACCTTGACGTACTTTTGTACAGGTATGCGGATCCTGGTGATGCTGCTGTTGGACACCCTACCTATGTTATGGAATGTCCTTCTCTTGTGTTTCTTTGTCTTCTTTATTTTTGGAATAATTGGAGTTCAGCTCTGGGCAGGAGTACTACGAAACAGGTGCTTCCTGGATGTTAGTGAAAATATCTCATATTCTTAGTAAGTATATATCTTATATTTATATCAAGTGTATCTTATATTCTTAGAAAATATATCCCATATAATTAGTAATCACCAGGTCTGTGAATATAGTCTTGTATGAACTGAAAAGAATTCTTTTTTATCAATACACTGGTTTCAATTTTATGTGTTATGCAGCATGTTTTATTTAAAGGTATATAAGTTAAATTTGCTTAAATATTTACTTAATATTTGATATAAAGCAAATAATTCCTTTTCAAAGAAAAATTGCAGTGCAAAAAAAAAATAAGAAAGGTTAATATATATTGCCTATAGAATGTCAGTGGTATTTATATTAATAAAAAAAATAATAACCTTTTAAGTATACTGATTATGGCATCTATATCAGGGGAGAAACCTGAAGCCTAAATTAAGCTGTATTTTGGTAAATATATATTATGGGGCAGTAAATTAAGCAGTATTAGGGTAGATATATATATAGAGGGACAGTAGACACGTGGTCTTTTGACAGAATGATAGGTCTGCCAATCTCTTATTTACAGACATTGATTCCTGTCGTCTTTGACAGTCAGCTGATGTTTCCGGATTCCGCTGTCAATATTTCCTGTTTGGCTATTTTGACTTGAGCCTAATGAATTAAAGCAGAATATAGAGATTAGTTCTAGCTTATCTGTCTGAGTGGGACAATCGGGCAGAAAAACTACAGGAAAGGACAAAGTCCTGCCATGCAATTCATTTCCTATGAATTTGTTAATAAAAAATGATTTTCTTGTTCCTTACAGTGCAAATCTTAGTCCATACTATGTTCCTAAGAAGATAGGTAGTATGCCCCAGTCTGACTACATCTGTAGTAAAGCCGGCGAGTCGGGGATGAGATACTGCTCCGGACTGCCGCGGTTTGAGTACGAGGGCATTAAATGTAACGCCTCCGCTCGACCGTTCAGCAATAACACGCCCACCAATGACTCGTGTGTCAATTGGAACCAGTACTACACAAACTGCACCGCAGGCGATAAAAATCCATTCCAGGGAGGAGTCTCATTTGACAATATTGGACTCGCATGGGTGGCCATTTTTCAGGTATCAATTTGAATTGAAAAGTTAACAGAACTCACAATTCCCATTTCAAACAATATAGACAAAGAATTTGATATAGAAAACAGTATGGTATAGACAAACAAAATGGTACAAAAAAAAACCCAATATAGTATAGACAATATGATACAGACACACAATATGGTATAGACAAACAAATGTAAGAAATACTTGTCTGCCTAATGATATTGTGCATTAGGAGGGGTAGGTTTTCTGCTCAATGACTCTATAGCTGAAATACAGTGGATAATCAAAGGTTTCACAAAATTTGAATGGAAAATGCTATTTATGAGTTGAACATGCAGGTTTTTGTTCTTGCTGCTTTGGAACATTTTGTGTAAATTATCCTTGTATTGCTGCAGTTATTTAAAGAATTCTCTTTTCCTAAAATCTGCTGCTTACATGATAATTATCTGCCTGTGATTCCAAACAAAGCTTTAAAGAAAACTAAAACATGGGATCCTCCTGCTAAGAGCTAGATTTACATGAGAAGCTTCGCGGATGATTAATAGGAGAAGCTGACAGTAACTCCCAAGATTCCATTGATAAACGACAGCTCTCCTCAGAGAACAGTGGCAAGAAGAAACCATTTTCATGACTGAATACCACTTGTGAATCAAAGTTTTATGGTCCTTAGGGAGAATTTCATGACTAGAAATTCCCACAAGGAGAATTTGATCAATTGTTTTCTGATAATTTGTCAGTAACAGTGCTAATAGCCCAGATTCTCAGAATATGTGAATTTACATAGTCTCACTGGTCAATCCGTTTTAGAACTTAGTCTTTTAGCTTATGCATACTCTTAAACTTTAAAAATGCATACCTGTATATGCAACCAAGGAACTCACTTGAAGTTAGCATGTTTTTATCATAAATAATTAAATAAATGACTGGCAGTTTCAAATTTCCATTGAAGTTTTCTGAGGCTCTCAGATTTATAATGATTTTAATAGTCTATAGTACATATTGGCCCATGATTTTATTTTTATATTGAAGTTAGATAATATTCGGGATAAAAGATTTATGGGCCACATTAATGGCAATGTCTGATAACTTCTAATGCAGGCTTCAGCCAGGGCAAGGTGAAGGTCACAGGCTAGGACAATAATGTCACAGGAACACAAAATCAGGTCCCATCGTCTTCTGTGGAATATTCTTTGAAAATAATGGAAGAGACAAAAACTTGTTCAAGTATCTTATGCTTCCTTTAGTTATATTGAGAATACTTGCAAATGAACATGCAAGTATGAAATAAATCTTAATATGGATAAAAGATTAAGATTTCCGAGTTGGGAATGATAAAAACCATGGAAATGCAAGGAAATTAGGGAGAAAAAAGATCAGAGATGTAGGGCAGTGCTTGCCTGTACATTACAATTTGTCAGTCTTTGAATGGTTATGACAGATTGGGAGAGAGAGGCTGGTATCACATGCACGTTTGATGAAGTGAACAAAGAGCATAAGAGGTCGAAGAATTGATTCCATCAGTACTTAAACTGACAGGTTTACAGCTTAAAGTAAACACAACCCTAACCAAACAATAGCTGCATCCATGTGCATGTTAAACATTTCTCAACGATGGTTGTAATAAAATGTGGAATCTGTGGAGGGTATACACTGTATCTGCTGGTAGGTTTGTGATCATTGGTTCATTTCACTGGGTCTCTTTGGGTCACATTTGATCAATATCCTGAACATATGACTCAACAGGATGACAAGCTCATTGAAATTAGGTCACAGTCCTTAACCTTGACCTCCAGATATAGCCAGAAGACCACTAGAAATTCAAATAGAAGTTCATAATGACATTATCCTGAAATGACAAGAAAATCATTAAATTTAAATTTAAGATAATTGTTCTTTTCCTTGAACAGAAATAGAATATGGATTAATTAAAAGCATACTTACGCACAGATCGGGACAAGATTATGCACATTACTTGACTTGGAAAGTTCCTATTTGCTCTTGGAATTGTGATTATAAAATTTTGCAATCATTGGTGTGTAAGTGAATCAACAAAATAGAGCTTGTAGTACCTTTCAGGGAATCGGCCATTTACAATTTTATTGTGTAATAAATGCTTCAAAACTAAGTACAAGATTTATAGAAAAAAACTCATCTATATTCAGGAAGTTGTGTATTCTGACATTTTAGCTATATTAATGAAAGCTTTTTGTTCCTCCCAGTAAATTCAATTGGCAATGCTGAAAATATACCGTATCCAGGGGTTTTTTTGTGCCGTGTTATTTTCGCCCTTTCACACTTGCAAGCAATTTTGCCCTAGCTGTTTTAAGTTGCCCAGTCACAGTTCTGTTTAAGAAACTATACTGTGTTCTTTTTAATTAGCCCTGTTTTAAATCCCTTCACCCAGGTAGTAGGGGGAAAGTGGTGAAAATTGCCCTGTATCCAGTAGTTAAATAAATCCAGTAGTTTCTTATTCAGACAAGATTTACTGTATATTTCTTTAATTGTTGGATTTTATATAAGTAACTCATGTATTTATTTGATTACCAATATCTGTTATGGGTATATTACCTGTCTCCTCTGAATTTAATTAATTAATTTACTTTTAAATAACAGATGATCAGTTTGAAGAATTGGGCTACAGTATGTACACACTATGTGTTACCTGTTTTCATAATTATTGTGAATTAATTTGTTTAATTTCAGGCGATCAGTAGAAAATTAACTGTTACTGCCTGTTCCTTATTATTGTTAATTAATTTGTTTAATTACAGGTGATCAGCTTGGAAAGTTGGGTCAACATTATGTACTATGTGCAGGACGCTCATTCTTTTTGGGACTGGATCTACTTTGTTGCTTTAATTGTGGTGAGTTATTTGTTACCACCCTGTCTGTTTGTGTGTCTTAGTACAGATATATATAAGACGGTGTTTTATGGTGAGTATCTGTAACTACCCTGTCTGTTTGTCTGTCTTAGTACAGATATACATAAGATGGTGTTTTATGGTGAGTATTTGCTATCACCCTTTCTGTTTGTCTGTCTTAATAGATACCGGTACATTCAAAATAGGACAGTATACTGTTGGATGTATTCCTGTTACTTTCATCTAATATTCTTCCCAAAAAAAAGAGACATTTTTTCATAAACAAGACACATTACTGATAGTTATTTGATGTTACCAAGTCATATGACCGCGGCAGGACTCCTATATCAGAGGCAAAGAAATCTGAAACTCTTCACAAATCTTAATCTTAATTTCAAAAAAGGAGAGAAAAAATGTATTGCAATAACATTATACTGTGTTTTTGAACATGTATTGGAGAAAACAGTGTTTAAGTATCTAGTATGAAATATTGGTGAAAGCATTAGAAGTAAGATGTGCTTTGATTGATCCCTTGATGCTTGTCAGATGACAACTGCGTCATTTGCTACCTGGAAACGCTTCAAATTCATTCAGTGTTTCCAATTTAATGCTATCACTAGCGCAGCCTTTTACGTCATTGATCACGGAATGTCCTTGGCTTTTTACTGGAAATTGAAAAATGTTTAAAAAAACACTGACCTTTTTTAAAGGTTTCAAGTTAGTGGTTTTTTTTTCCCCAAGAAAATGCAAGATTCAATTTCACTCTGGTTACTTTTAATTCAGACAGAAAATAGACAAGAAAAAGGTTCCTCCGATCTCACTGCTACCCGCTATTATGTATGTAATATGGACTTTGTCGAAGATGTTGCTTTGTCATTGATTATTTTGATACAATTATCAGCGTACTTGTAAGGTTGGTAGATCTGTAATTAGCGATATTGATTATGTCGTTAATACATGAAGATACACGGGATAAGAGACCAGTTACACTTTGTTAGCTAATGGACTGTTGACAGAAGCTCATGTCAGCCACAATAACCCACTTCCTCTTTGTTAATTGGGGGTCTCTTCAAAGTATCATACTGTTTATATTGGGACAAAAAACATGAACAGCATGCAGACAATAACGTCTAAAAACAATTTTTTCACTGAAAAAGTCAAATGTGACGTCTATTTAGAAAATATCATCAAATTTTACTGTATAAAATGCTTATTCAAGGTTCAGAATTTATGCTTTCATTATGAATTCATTTTAATTTTTCCTTGGAATAAAGGAACTAAAAATTTCATTTGAATCCCTTTTTTTAACTGTTGAGGTAAAGTTGAACTTAATTATCGCTAACACTGAGAATACCATACCATAACTCAATTTTTTATTAGAATTTGAATATTATATTTTTTTCTTCTTTCAGATTGGATCATTTTTCATGATAAACCTGTGTCTGGTAGTCATAGCAACACAATTCTCAGAGACAAAGAAGAGAGAGACAGAACGAATGATGCAGGAGAGGAAGCGATTTCAATCCTCAAGTACCCTGGCCAGTAATTCAGAGCCCGGAGGGTGCTACGCAGAAATCCTCAAATATTTAGCTCACTGTTGGCGTCGTGCCAAACGAAAAGTGCTCAGAGCCTATTACAATGCTAGAGGCAAAACCCATAAGAACAGGAAGGTCAAACCTGAACTGTCACTGCGACGTAAACGCCACAAAGGTACTTCCTCTTCCTGTTCTCACAAACGCCCCCAGAGTCGCTCCTCCTGTCCCTCCTGTAGGTACAACTACTACTACCAGCTCATCAGCGCAAACGAAAATCTCTACACCCCGGCGGACGAGTCACGCCTCCACAGTGTCAGGAACCTGCGTAGAAACAGTAGCCCCCTGGCGCCCCGAGCCAGCCCTGAAATGTCCGACCTGGAGTCTGTCTCCTCCCCCCGCCGCTCTAACTTTCTGACTGTGCCTAATTCTTTTCACCCCTCCTCTTATGACTCATTGCACTCTCTTTCTGTAAGCAGCACTTCTGATAATCTCTCCTCCTCACTGCCAAAATATTGTGGCTCTTCTAATCACCTGGCTGCTCCATCACCGCATGCAAGCATTAGTAGGGCTTCTTCCTTCAATAGTTCTAGTCGCCGACATCTGCCCTCCCTGCCAGAATCTCTATCTATGCATCAGATGGGCTGCCCCGCCCATCAGGCGGGCTGTCTGGCCCATGGTTCGTGTCATAAGCTAGCGACCAATTCGCTCCTCGGTGTGGATAGTGGTAGTCAGGTTAGGATTCGTCATGCTAGCAATAGGTCTGGTGAGTAATCCTCTGTAGTCAAGCATGCCGCTTTTTCCTCTGTGTTCAGCATGTGCTTTTCCCTGTGTTCCATTACTCAAGCATGTGGATTTTCCCTCTGTGTTCCTTAGGCCTTGTTCTAGTATATACCACTGTAGTCAAGCATGCAGCTTTTTCCTTCTTTGTTTCGTTAGCCTCATTCTAGAGCTTGCTTAGTTTGTGTTTTTGTTTCATTGTCTTTGTGCTGTAGATTGCTTGTCAGTAGAATTGTTTGTCTGCATGTTATAATGTGTGTTTGCTGTCTTTTATTGAACTTGTAAATTATTTATTTTGTTAAATATTGACTGAAGATTTTTGGGGGGATCCTATTTTCAAGAAAAAAGATTACATATTCAAGAACCAGATAAAATTGATAAATATGAATTTCAGTGCCATCGGACAACAATAGATTTTGTTGTTCCAGAAAAGGATTGTCAGTACGTAGACATGGTCCCGGTTTAGATCCAGTGCACAAGATAAAGAATGCGTGTCTTTGGTGCTGGATAAATTACAGCGTCATTGTTGACAGAACTCCAGAAATGGAACCACTCGGCTACCTTAGCAAACAAGTTCTCCTGATAGTCTTACGTAATGTGCAGATTTCATTGACATTTTAAAATCAATTTGTGTGCCTCCTGTCCAATCAAATCCTGGAATTTATAAATAGGTTGAGATCTCTGGCTGATAAGGTTTGAGAATGGGACAAATTGCAGGGTTCTTACTTAGTCGTTTATACAGAAAAAGGCCCTCTATGACTCATTATACCAGATGATTAATTATTAATCAATTATAATACACATGTATGGAAAACCTCTTAAATTTCTAAAGGGTTGCTTTGAATTTTTCAATGACAATCAAATCTCTGTCTTTTATGGTTTGGTTCTGTATTGCTCTGCTAGAAAATTGCTTGCCTTTGATTGCATGATTGTCTGTTTTGTATAAGAATTGTTTAGATCTTTGTCTGTGTGTCTGTATGATTGTATGTGACGTATAATCTGTATCAGACTCGTACATTTTCCTAGCTTCCTATGGATCAATCCCTATATGTTCTTTTTTCCCATGATGCCCCCTCCCTGCCCCGTCTTTCCCTTGACGGTTAGTCAAAGGTTGTAAGTACCTGATACAGGTGTACCCTATACCCCTCCCCCAATCCCTTTTAAAGGTTCTTTTTAAATTTCTAAAAATGTTTGTTGTATTACATATTTCTAGATAGATATTCATAAAAATGTTAGAACTCTTTTTGTAGAAATTTGTTGTTTCTTTCAACGTAGTTTATGTTTCGATTCTAATTTATTTTTCATTGTGGAAAACCGCAGTGTGATATTAAACCAGGATAAAATGTTGCTTTTCATAGAGATTCCGGAGGATTTATTGGAGGCTATTAATGACAAACAGATTCAGAACCTGGTGAACAGTATAGAGAAGCAAGGGGGCGTTCCTCGATGTCATCATGTGACTCACGACGTCCCCGAATCGGACGACTCGGAGTCTAAAGACTCGCACAACGAACCCAAAACAAGTAAGCTCACTAGCTTTTATCATATTTACTCTCACAATGAACCCATAACAAGTAAGCTCACTAGCTTTTATTAAGATTACTCTCACAATGAACCCAAAACAAGTAAGCTCACTAGCTTTTATTAAGATCACTCGCACAATGAACCCAAAACAAGTAAGCTCACTAGCTTTTATTAAGATCACTCGCACAACGAGCCCAAAACAAGTAAGCTCACTAGCTTTTATCAAGATCACTCCCACAACGAACCCAAAACAAGTAAGCTCACTAGCATTTATCAAGATTACTCACACAATGAACCCAAAACAAGTAAGCTCACTAGCTTTTAAGCTCAACAAACTCCAAAACAAGTAAGCTCAACAAACCCAAAACAAGTAAGCTCAACATCATATTTACTCTCACAACGAACCCAAAACAAGTAAGCTCAACAAACCCAAAACAAGTAAGCTCAACAAACCCAAAACAAGTAAGCTCAACAAACCCAAAACAAGTAAGCTCTAAACGAACCCTAAACAAGTAAGCTCTAAACGAACACTAAACAAGTAAGCACAAAGAACCCAAAACAAGTAAGCTCAACAAACCCAAAACAAGTAAGCACAACAAACCCAAAACAAGTAAGCTCAACAAACCCAAAACAAGTAAGCACAACGAACCCAAAACAAGTAAGCTCAACAAACCCAAAACAAGTAACAAGTAACCTCACTAGCATTTATCATATTTACTCACACAATGAACCCAAAACAAGTTTTAAGCTCAACAAACCCAAAACAAGTAAGCTCACTAGCTTTTATCGATTACTCGCACTAAACAAATAAGCTCTACAACAAAAGCTCACTAGCATTTATCACAACACAATGAACTAAGCTCTCACTAATTTATCAAGAACCCACAATAACCCAAAACAAGTAAGCTCACAAGCATTTATCAGCTAACTCAAGTAAGCTCAGCATTTATCAAGATTACTTGCACAACGAACTCAAAACAAGTAAGCTCATCAGCATTTAACAAGATTACTCTACCATATAAAAATCTAGATGGAATGTGAGTCTAGTAATGTATCCTTCTTGTTGTCATGGAAATAGAAAAAAGAAGTGAAAATTTTCAAAAATTTTGAAAGATGAAGGAGGAAGATTTATTTCTCAGTCCAGAGTTTAGCTTGGAAATGTCAGAGCTTTTATAGTGCCCCCAGAAACAGAGTATTATGACGCGGAAGTGTAACCTCGGAGAGTCTAGGGGCATTGGTATTTTGTAGGTATCTGTCTCGTTTATTTCTCTGTGCCGGCTTGCTACATTAAATATGTATGGAATATTAGCTGTAATAGAATATTGGTAAAAATTGACGCCAGCAGTAAATCAATTACTTTGCTTAGTTAACTGATTATATGGAAGACTTGTGTTGGTGGTGACATCCATATCTACATCAATTTCTCCTGCTTAAAAGCCTAAGGGTCTATATTTAGCATTTAGTGGATATCTATCTAATTTAGGGTAATAAAGCTTGCTAAAATAATCTGAAGAAGTAATGAAGTATGGATGAGGCTATTTTAAGAAGGTGTGTATTTGAGTTCAAGGGGATTGAACTTGAATGCATAATCGCAAGAATTTTTCTCGAAATATGAATATTTCAGATCAAGCTCTTCTAGGACTGTATATTTTATCTGCCTCAAGGGATTTTTTTTTACTTTTTCCGTAAATGAAAAGAAAATCAGACCTATCATGGGCTTAGAGAGGACAAATTAAATCAAATTTTATTAAAATACATACACAACCACCTTTTTGAAGACTTTTATTCAAATAATTATAAACATGAAATAAATCTGTACTGACCCATTAATTTTTAGTCTAAATATGTTTTCCTTTAACTGAGTATTTTCTGTTTCATCAAAATGTTTGTCTGCTTCATATGCAACCCAGATAGTCTGGGCTCCAATTTACAAAAAAAAATAAGACCAAAAACTAGCAGAATCCAAACTTTTCTGTAAATAGCTGAATCTGTTGCTTTCTCCCAGTAATGTGCTGTAGTTTGTGGTATGCTTGCAGCTTGTAAAAAGAACTTCCAGCAGGGAATGAAGACATTTGTGGAACATAAATTCTTCCGTCAAGGGATTCTGACTGCTATTCTGATCAACACCCTCAGCATGGGCATAGAATATCATAATCAGGTAAATAACAGTTGTTCTATTGAACACCCTCATTATGGGCATAGAATAGCCAATGTAGAAGCCTGTTCAACAGCACTTGCAAACATTTCTGTTGGGGGTGTAAGAAATCTTCACGAGCGCTCGCTCACCAACTTTCGCTCTGTTGAGCAGGCCTCAAGAAAATAATACGGGCATAGCATATACAAGAAGACAAGATAAAAGGTTTTTGTATTAGGTAAATAAAACTGTTTGAAAATTTATGGGTATGAAATTCAACAGATGTGTGAATAAAAATGAAATGGCATTTAAAATGTGTTTATATCACAAAGTGCCATTATTTTAGATGAAAATTGTGGTATTATCTGCAGTTAAAGCTTAAAAGTGGACATTTGATAGAGTTCTATCATGTTTACAGAGCTAATTTACAAAATAGAACTAGATAATATCATAGGACAACTACAAAACAAGTGAAGATAAAATGAAGATGAGATTTTGCTGTTTTTTTTCAGCCTGAAGAACTAACTGAAGCTCTGGAGTACAGTAATCTGGTATTCTCCATTCTTTTTGCTGTGGAAATGTTTTTTAAACTTTGTGCTTATGGATTTGTTGGTTACATTCAAGATGGATTCAATGTCTTTGATGGATTTATTGTAATTCTAAGGTAAAGTGATCAAGAAACAATTTGTTCACATTATTTCTTTTTAGAACGATTGACTCTGGGAAAACACTTGATTAAAAAAAACTTTTTTTGCAATTTGTTTGGTCTCTTTTACAACAGGTATTGCTATTTCAAACTTTGCTAGTCATTCAAAATATGTTCTTTTTTCTTAGAAAGGAGTCATGTTAAGTGAAAGAGTGTAAATAAATTAGCCATACGTACTTTCAGTTCTTTGATTAATTTTGAACTTTTTGACAATTTTTTTAGTATGGTGGAATTAACACAGCAAGGGGGAGCTAGTGGTCTGTCCGTGTTGAGAACGTTCAGGTTGCTACGGATACTGAAGCTTGTCCGGTTCCTTCCAGCGCTTCGTAGACAACTGGTGGTGATGCTTCGGACAATGGATAATGTCGCCACATTCTTTGCCTTATTAGTTTTATTTATTTTTATATTCAGGTGAGTTTTCTATTAATTTGTTTAATTCTTAATTAATTTAAAAGTTAACTGATCAGTGTACAGTTGGAATCATGACTATTTAAATCTTCTGAAATCAGATTTCCTATTGTTAACTAGATATTAAACATTGAAGTGAATGAATATTTCTACACACTACATTACTTTTATTAAATCATTTATAATGGATGAATGTAAAGTTATGATGGTTTATTTGGCAATGAACAACAGATGAAAAAAATTTTACAACGAAAAGCAAACAAGGAAAATATTCAAAAGTTAAATTCTTAATTGCTATTTTTCTGTAGCATTCTTGGAATGAACTTATTTGGCTGTAAGTTCTGTAAAACAAAGCCAGATGGGTCCCGATATTGTAACCGCAAGAATTTTGATTCCCTTCTGTGGGCAATTATAACGGTGTTTCAGGTATAAGCAACAGCTAGTCAAACAAAGTAGTGGCTATGTCATTGGTTGGTGTGGTTTGGCCTTACATGTGTATCAGAACAGACAGTCGTTGTCGTCATAACAATCAACCAGTAACTAACACGCACGATCTGGTCGGCCAGTCGTAGAATGTATCATTGTCTTTGTCATTCTAAATATTCAGTTACCATTTATAGTTGTTACCAAATTCTTTTTGTATGGATCTTGGCTAGTTATGTTTATGGGGGAAAATCGTTGTATTTAATTAGATTAGTTGAATGAACTTTGTTGTAACTGACATACTCAGTATAGATGTTTTGGTTCTCAGTAACAGTTTGAATGCAGCTCAGTTAATTCATCAATATTTATGATTCATCATTATTAATGTGGAATAATTGCATGCTGTTCAGAAGTACTTCAGAACGAGACAATATATCTTAAAATATTCTACTCGATGCGCCACCATTTCAAATCCACTGCTTATGTTTGAATTTTGTTTTGTTTATTTTGTTCAGTTTAAAGCAACCTTGCACCAAGTACCTAACATTTTGTGCACCATTTTGTTTAATATTGTGTTGTTACAATTACCATAGTAACCACTGTGAGGTAATACAAATGGCGACCCTCATGTGACCTATACCTGTATTATTTTATTTTGATTTGATTTGCCTGAGCTATTGGATAGAGATGGAACACAAACAAACACAGGAGAGACCCAGACATGCACTCAGCTTTTGTTTTAACCCCATCATAACATGATCATTCCGGCCGAGAATTGCTATCACTGCCTCTCGATATTTGGCTCTTTTACAAAAAAATGGCTTAAAACCAGGGTTGTTTTAGTAGAAAAGTTCACGATATAAAAACTTCACCATGACAAGGTGGCATATTATAAAAACAACACCATGACAATGTGGCGTTATATTTAAATATCACCATGACAACATGGCATTGAACTTCTCAGCTGTTGCTATATATATATGCCCCCAAACAGTTATTTAGCCGTTGTACATTGACCACAATTAGTAGCTAGAATTAATGTGACAAGAGTCATCTTGTAAATCATGTTGTCATGACAACACCAAGAATGTTGTCCATGGTAACAGATTTACAAAAGTCAACCATCATGTTGCTATCTGTGGCTTTTTGTGTTTTGTGCATGTGACAGTGTACTGGGCATGAATCTGTTTGGTGGCAAATTTTGTTGGCGTGGCAATGGTACGCTCTGCACATGTTTGGATGCCCTTGACCCTTCAATGGACTGCCAGTGTGAGAGGGCCAATTTTAACACACTGTTATGGTCAGTGGTAACAGTTTTCCAGGTAACGTATTATTTCCTTTACTTGGTCAGCATTGATGCCACGCAGGTGTCACCAAGTTTTGCACAACCTTGTGTTATCGTTGAAGAGTTTACACATTTTTTAGTACTGAAAATATTTTTTTTCCTTAAATTTGAAAAAAGAAATCTGTCCTTGTACATTCAATCATAATTTTCAAAACCATGCATAGCAGCACATAAACATCCTGTTCCAATAAAAATCATCGACAGTATACTGTATCGATCCTCATTACTCAAATAACAAAAATTAATCAATTTTTATACAAGAGATCACAAAATATAATTAGAAGACCATAATGGAATTAAAACAGACTGTAAAACTGAGATCTCTGTACTGCTATGGCTGAAGAAAATCTCAGCAGCAAAAGACTTTGTTTCACCAGACTTGTTGTTTCAGAAGTAAATATTAGTACTTAAGGAGTTTCATAATTATCCAATAGCGACATGAGAAGCTTTAAACATTGATTTGTTCCTAACATAGACTCCAACTAACCCTCACCCTGCCAGACCCAAACCACAAACAAAAAGCTCGCTAAAAGTCAACCGTCAAAAACGGCTGTCAATCGCTCGGAATTTCGGAGTATTTTACAATGAACTATAAGATGCTGTTTTTATCTTCGAGTTTTTGGAGGTTGACGTTTAGCTGAGTTCGTGTCCCTAGATCTCCCTCCCTCTATTACCTGCCCCGCTACTAACACAAAATATTGTGTGTCAGAATTAGGACCTAATGACAATTAACCCAAAGGCCAGACTTAAAAGGTCACTTGGCAATTATAATATTCTTAGACTGGAATTCATATTTTCATTTAAAATATTTAAAAAAAAATAGATCAAAGCTTCAGTTTTCCAATTGTTAAGACTGTATTGCTAAAATAATTTAAAAATCTGGAAACGAAAGTTGTTTAAAGAAGAAAATGTCAAACGATGGCTTTTAAGTGTGGCCTAAAACAATTTCATAATATTGTGATTATCACTAGTAATTAATGGTATAGCAAGCTTCAAGTAGTTAATTTCACTATATGATTAATGATTTATGTTATTCAGAATGGAGAAAAATGAATATTGATTTAATAATAGTTTTAACTTGAATTTTATTACGAGATAATTTGTTTTAAAGAAGATTTTTAATCAGCACTTTTATATAAGAATATCATTAACCTTTTTAACTGTGACATTTGAAAGTAAATCTTTTGATCTGATTGGTCATTTCTTTTAACATGTGACATGAAGTGCCTATTCTGATAGGTCACTTCTTTTGAAATGTTATGCAACTGTAAATTTGATTGGTTAGGTGCTGACACAAGAGGACTGGAACACAGTCCTGTACAATGGGATGCAGACAACCTCTGCCTGGGCCTCACTATACTTCATAGCTCTGATGACCCTGGGGAACTACGTACTGTTTAACCTCTTAGTCGCCATCTTAGTGGAAGGATTCTCAACAGAGGTAAAAATAAAGTGAAAACAAGGATGTGCTGCAGATAATTGAGAGTTCAAACATCATTTCTATCAAATATAAAGAAAGTAAAAAACCAAAGGAAAGGGTGCATTTCTGTAAAATATATAATGAAGTTAGAGATCCATCAGAATGGATGATGCCTGCATGGGTATTATATAATGGAATTATATAATACCAGAGGTTAATTATGTTTTGAAGGAAGAAGAAAAGAAGAAAATGAAGTTAGAAAACAAAGAAAAGGAACTTAGGAGCATTTTGTCTGAAACCAACAATAATGAGGAAAAAAATGAAAGCATCAAACTTCAGAGTCTGGATATCGTGCAAGGCAAAATTAACAACACAGAACGAGGTGAGGGGAGGTTACTCCAACTGTCAGCTGATAAAAAAAATTACTCACTTAGAAAATGACTAATATTGACATTTAAAGCCAAAGAAAGCAGAAAACAAGATTTCAGTTCTCAAGTTGTCATGTTGAATAAAATGAGATACATGTAAATGTCATCTCATTACAATTGATATTATATAACAGAACAATCTTGATTTCCATTAAATAACCATAATATAAGAATTTGTTGTTTCAGCCAAAATGCTGGGTGTAGCTTGCCAAAATCCCACTGTTAAAGATGACAATGCCAAGACCAGCCCACCAATCACCGCCCAGCCTGATCTTAACCCCCCAATCATCACCCACACAGCTGCCACACCCATGCCCACCCCCCAGGGATCCCCCAACGAACACGGACCCAAAGAGTGCAATAAGGTCACCCTGTGTGTCCATCCCCCGGTAGAAATGAGTACTCTGTCAGTGAGGTCATCTTCTGTAAGTTTCTGTATTTAATGAATTTACAACACATATAATATCAGTTACGGGTATATAGAAAACATACAAATGTAATATGATAGGGAAATTGATAATACTGTAGACATACTTTTTTCACAGGGTCATACTTCTGCGAAATCTCAATTTCTGTTTAATCCACTGGTAGAAAATTACACAGATTTCTTAGACTCTCACAATATGCTCTACATGAGAAATTTCTAAAGAAAATTTGTGACCTTACATAGTGTATATTAACACAACACAGAAAAACATACTTGTACAGTTTATTGGTAAATATTGGCATGAGTTGGCCATACAAATGTTGAGTCTTGCAACTACAAAGGTTATTCTGTCTTAGATAACTTGAATATACAATTCATTCAACAAATAGATAAGTACAATGTAATATGTGATAATTTTGCCTTGTAGTTGTAAGATATCCACATATGTTGTCAAAATTTGTTCCAATTATTAATTTAATACTAAGAAAGTTATGCATCCCTTCAGGTGTATTACCAAGCAACACATAGCAAGAAAGCATGCAGTTCAGTCATGTGCTGAGCAAATTGCTTTGTGAAGTTATAAAGTTATTACCTTATTTGTAGTTTTATCTCGGACAAAAATATTGGAAATGTAAATATTACCATATACAAGTTTCAATTAAAGTCATTTAATTATAATTTTTCTTTACAGACAAATTCCAGTTTACGAGCCTCCCCACGTCTTTCACCTCGCCTCTCCCCGCGAATCTCTCCCCGACCGTCACCCTGCCTCTCTCCTTGCCTTCGTAGATCTCTAAGTTCTGGTAGCCGTAGCAACAGCTGGAGGAGAGGGCGGTCACAAGATGGTGACAGAAAGTGCCTTGTTCCCGAATGTAAGGTCGACAGCATGGATACCGACGACGACGACGTGTTCCAGTTAACATGTCCCTCACCAACTGTAAATAGGTCAGTGTAAAAATGCCACCAACTGTAAATAGATCAGTGTAAAACATCACCGAAAGTAAACAGGTCAGTCTAAAACATCACAGACTGTAAACAGGTCAGTCTAAAAATATCACAGCTAAAAATGTCACAGACTGTAAATAGGTCAGTCTTTAAATGTCACTGACTGTAAATAGGTCAGTCTAAAACATAACTGACTGTAAATAGGTCAGTCTGTAAATGTCACTGACTGTAAATAGGTCAGTCTAAAACATCACCGACTGTAAATAGGTCAGTCTCAAAACATTACTGACTGTAAATAGGTCAGTCTCAAAACATTACTGACTGTAAATAGGTCAGTCTCAAAACATTACTGACTGTAAACAGGTTGGTTTAAAAACGTCACTGAGTGAATTAGAATATTGGATTGTTAGAACAATAGTGTAATAGAGTCATCTACTGTAAATAAGTCAGTCTGTAAATGTCACTGAGTGAATTAGAGTATCGGATTGCTACAATATTATTCAATTGACAAATATTGTTTTATGATCAAGATTTAGTCCTGGTTCCTGCTAATATACATGTAATTTCTTCTACAGCCTATAAATTCTGAAGATCCTGACTTTGCAGGCACAGCTAATATGCACAAATGAGTCATGTTAAGAAGGTTTTTTTGTCCATTATCAAAGAAAGATAAATGTATTGTAATGCCAGCTATCACATAACTCCAGCAGAAAAAATGTTTTTGGATTTTTTTGTTTCTGTGATCAGTATGGATTTGACTGGTGATACTGAGTTTGCTGGCTGTATAATTGATGAATCAGTGCTGTTCTGATGATAAAGGAGTTACTGTATACGATATCCTAAGTGTGTTTGTCATCGATTCTATCTAGCTCATAATGTCCCACTTCAAAATGTGGCTGCATGATTTGCTGCAGATATTGCATAACAATCTCCGTATGTAACAGGGTTTGAAGTTGGATGCAATTATTTCTTCCATCATTTTTTCCTGGCAGCTGAAATAAAACAAACCAAATAAAGAGTTATTGAGGATAGAAGCAAATAATGATAGGACCGCTCAGACTTTTACTGTAAATCACAAAAAACACCAAACAGCTGAGAAACCGAGGACGGCAGATGATTTATAGGAATCGAAAACTAGTAACAGAATTGTTAAAAAAATTCTTTTGTTCGGTAATATGATAGCCAGAAAAGCAGAGCAAACATTACGTTTGGTAATATGGTTATACTCAGATAAGAGTAGCAAACATTACATTAGACTGTATGTTAGAGTGTGAAAAATGCAATGATTAACATTCAATATTTATATTTTACAACATCCTGCCTAGAGAAAGTAAAAAACGCAATTTTTTATTCTTAGGACACTCATCTTGCTTTAAACTGTAAAGTATGTTTCTTTGTTGATTAAAAATCTAGAACTGAATTTCACTGTCGATATCATCTAAAAGCTACAATTCTTTACTTACAGAAATGAATGCAATGGCCACCTGCCCCTAAACAACCAGAGGACCCTAAGCCCCCAGAATTCCATCAAACGACCAGTCCCGTCCCCTCGGAACTCCTTCAAGATCCGCAACAATTCGTGTAGCAGCACTCAGAGTAACTGTAACTCCATTCTTCTCAGTCGACAGAATTCCTTCAACAGCCGACGCACGCTCAACTCGCTGTCGTCAATGAGCGCGGTGCTCAGGGAGGAGGTCAAACAGAACAACCTGACCGAGGGCACCACCTCCCCCACCCAGGTGGAGGTCAGTCTGATCGGGGTGGAGGGGGAGGTGGACCCCGACGCTATAGATGAGACGGTCAGTGATTCCTAAATTGTTTTTAAATGTGCAATTTTAGCAATTTGTCCTAAAAAAATAAAATGTCATTGAAATATACAATTGAAAAGAATATTTAAACCTATCTCTATGCCAAAATTAAATCCTTGCTCTGCTTCTATATAGTGCATGTAATGACTCATATGCATCATATTGAGATAACAGGACTGTGTTCAAAATCACATCAGCTACAACATAGCCTCTACAAACTTGAATGATATGCTAGCTTAACTACTAAAAGCATTATTTCATTCATTGCTTTGAAATCTAAACCAACATCTAGGCTTGCTGCTTTGATCTTGAACAGAATCCAGGATTTTGCAAGTGGACTATTGATCAAGAGTTTTTCAATGGATTTTAGCATATAGCAATCTTACTTTCATATGTGAGAGGTGCTCCTTACAAATTTAGACAAAGATAAATCCTTCATAATTATGTATTTTTTTATAATTATGAAGAATTATATTTTTTTTTACTGTCATGAGCAAATTAACTGTTACCATATCTAAAATCTGATATCTCTTAGAATCTTTAATTCCACATCACACCGTATATTTATAGAACTGCAGCTACTCTTGGTGTCCTGAGCCCCACGGTTGCTTTAAGACTCGTCATGAGCACGCCCTCTACATCCTGGCCCCTAACAACGCCCTCAGGAGGGTGTGTCACCATCTGATGGCACAGCAGTGGTTCGACAACACCGTGCTCTTCTTCATCGCTCTCAACTGTATAACACTGGCCATGGAGCGTCCCAACATACCACCCGACAGTGTTGTAAGTGTCACGATATACTGTGGTTTCATCAATTTTCATAAATGTTGTAAAACATATATTTTTTGAGGACAAAAGCATTTGTTCAAATAAATAACAGATTTCAGTTGTTTTGTGGACTACACACAAAATTGGTGCCAAATAGGTATTTTCATGTTGTTTTACAAATTAGTGTCTGCACTTTGGTGAGATCACAAAACAATAAAAAGATATCATTATATTTAAAAAAAAAACAAACTGTTGTTATCTGTCATTTAGTTTTTGTTTGTTTTACAGGAGAGAGAATTCCTGAATTATTCCAATTACGTGTTTACCTGTGTGTTCACTATTGAGATGATGATAAAGGTAAGTTTATGTACTAAATTCATGTTGGTATTATAAGAAGAATGTTACTATAAGCAATTCACAGGAAAACAGAAATCACAAAATATATGAAAGCTTGATCGAGGTATTACAATTCACACAAAGGATTTGTCCCTTATAATGTGTAGTACATGAAAAGGTAACCATAATGCATAATTTTCCATCAGGTTAGAGAATACTATGACCATGCAAATAAAAAAAAAAAAAAAAAGTAAAATCTTAAATCTTTAGAATTCTAGTAATGGCTCTCAAAAGCTTTACAAACTGAATCAACATTAAACATGCTGTTGATAACCATGAATTCTTACAGGTGTTAGCTAAGGGTCTGGTGATCGGACAGCACGCGTACCTGAAGAGTGGCTGGAACATCATGGATGGATTTCTGGTAGCGATCTCTCTTGTGGACATACTGATCTCAATCTCTGCTGATAGCAGCCCCAGGATTTTTGGAATTTTAAGAGTTTTCAGGCTTCTTCGAACTTTGCGACCACTAAGGTATTCAAGTGAAACTTTTATTTAACTTTGTAGTTGTTGTAATGGAGGCATTTTGTGTTAAGATTATGGTTTCTTTGCTGATTGCTATAGACAATATAGTACGTGTTATATCTTTTTGTTTCAGAGTTATTAGCCGAGCCCCAGGCTTGAAACTTGTTGTACAAACTTTATTATCTTCCCTTCGACCCATTGGAAACATTGTTCTTATTTGCTGTACATTCTTCATCATATTTGGAATACTAGGAGTTCAGGTGATTTATAAGTGAATTCAAAGTCATTTAACAATAAAATGCTATCAAGTTCTAAAATATTTCTCTCTTTTATATTAATTTGTGTGAATTGTGAAATGGTGCATTTTGAGGATTGAACTAAGTTTTTTTTCGTTTATCAGCTGTTTAAGGGGACATTTTATTACTGTAAAGGCCCTGATGTCCAAAACATCAAGAACAAGACACAGTGTTTGACTGAGGACAAGAAAAATGTCTGGATCAATCAAAAGTATAATTTTGATGATCTGGGACAGGTAAATTGTAGTAAATCAGAACATATACTGTAAACGTATTACATATGGCTGTGTATTCTTTTTTTCATCTTCTTCTCAGCACCTTTGGCCAATTTCAACCAAACTTGGCACAATGTATCTAATTCAAGTACAACGCTCAAATGTCTTTTGTTAAAAATATAATCATAAATAAGAACATGAAGAAATGTGGAAGCATCCTCAAGTGTGGATCAAATCTTCGCTAACCTGTTCAAAAATCAATTTCTGCCAAATATAATACATTTACAGTATCTTAGTTAATCAGAACATTTATAAATATATAGCTTTAAAAATCTTGTCCAGGAAAGATGAAACAAGGAATCATATATTGTAGATTCAAGTTTGTTAAATCATGACCCATGGGGCTAAGCATTTTTACATCTATATAGAAACCTTAAAATTTTTTTCAAGTACTTAATATTTATTGTGATATTTATATTCATCTCTGATGGCCCTGTTTGTTCTGGCCTCTAAGGACGGTTGGGTCAGTATCATGTATACTGGACTGGACGCAGTGGCGGGCCTCTTGTAAATGAAGCCTTGCCCAGGAAACAGGTTAGTGTAACAATCATTTTGGATTCAGAATCATTTAGTCAACTCAGACTGTGTTATTTATTATTGTGTGTATATTTTAGGCTCTAATGGCCCTCTTTGTTCTGGCCTCCAAGGACGGTTGGGTCATACATCATTTTAAAGTATTTGTGGGCTAAAAATTGGTCAGAAATTTTAATTTATATTTTGTCAAATAAAGTTGTAAATTTATTTATTTTTTGAAGCCGATAGAAAACTACAGTGAATGGCGACTTCTTTACTTCATCTCTTTCCTTCTTTTGGTTGGATTCTTTGTCCTTAACATGTTTGTGGGCGTCGTGGTGGAAAACTTCCACAAGTGTCGACAGGATCAGGAAATAGAAGAACGAGAACGTCGCACTGCAAAACGGAAATATAAGATGGAGCAGAAAAAAAAGAGTGAGCGTAATACCGAGACAGGTATCAGAGTCTGGCATATGCACTGTTGTCTTTATTTTTGTTTTGAGGAGGATCCATAGAATACAGGGGTTGATGTCAGTTTAAAATACAGGGTTGGACGATCAATTTAAAATTGAGAGCATTTTAGCATCAAGATTTAGGAGTTTTGTGTTAATTTTACATAATGTATTCTACGGATCCAACTTTGTGTTATATGTGTCAGTGATAAAAATACATCAACATGAATAACTGTTAAAGGGAGAAAAATATTAAAAATTTTGAATTAAGAACCACATAAGGTCTGAAAACAAATACATGTGTTAATTTTTAGACAAATATGTATTTATGCACACAAATTTTGAAAAGCACAATGATAATCTTTTGGTAAGTCTTAAGATAAATAGCTTTGCATGTCTTAATATGGACTTGGTAGTTTTGCTACAGGAGTAATAATGTACAATTGTTAAACTTTAATTTATAAAGTAAGTATAATTAACGTCTCTTTGATTTGTTCACTACATGTATTACGTAGAATTTAGGATTGCATTTGAACTAAAAAATGTCTATTTTTAGTAGTTTATGCATGAGTAGAGGGTTATCTGACTGGGATAACGGATTTCTGTAGAGTAGTCGTGGAATATTTTGCTTGTGATTTTTAGTTTGCACACAGAAGCCAGACTCGATATCATTATGTTAACGAAATCATCTGTGTTGTCTGAATCTGTTCAATATATGTTTTTTTTTCTCTCTCTTTTTACAAATCGTAAAACAGTACTTTAATAAGCCAAAATATCAAATGTAACATTTGTTAGCAATATCAAAAGCTGACTGTTGGTTTATGACAAAGTAAATTCAAGAAAACTAAGTTTATTTTTCATTAAGAGTATCTTACACAGCTCTTGAAAGTAACCTGCCAAATTAATATTACATAAATACTTATCACACCATGCATATAATAGCCTGGGATTTGCTGAATTCCTTGTTAGAGATGAATGCTGTGCCATATTTATGATAAACTGAATGAAGCTTTATATGAAAATTATGGAAGTAGAGAGTTAGAGACCTTGACTGTATTATTAGCAGAAATAATCATTGACCAGTTAATACTGATATTGAAATAATCCTGTTACGTCTCTATGTTTCAGAGCTAAATCGACCCCCGTACTGGGCAGACTACTCAGCGAGTCGGCTCATCATACACCAGGTCGTGAACAGCAAGTACTTTGACCTTGCTATTGCTATGGTTATAGGGTTAAATGTCATCACCATGGCTATGGAATACTACATGATGCCAGCGGTAAGACTTTCTTTATGCAGATTTTTATGCCCTGCCATGAATATGGGCGGGGCATATAGTGTTTGTCATGTCCGTCTTCTGTCCTTCTGTCTTTCTGTCCTTTCATCCTTCTGTCCTTCCGTCACACTTTGTGTTTAGCTCTGTTCAAAGCTCAGTTTCAAAGAAACTATTCAAGATATTTTCATCAAACTTCATATGCTGATAGATATTGATGAGAGCTATGCAACTGCATCAACATTTTTTGACCTTGACCTTTCCTTTGACCTTGACCACACTTTTCTAAAATTAGTGTTTAGCTCAGTTTTAAACATACCATTCAAGATGGTGTTATCAAACTTCAACTGTTGATACACACTGATGAGAGCTATTCACCTGCATCACCATTTTGACCTTGACCTTTTTCTTTGACCTTGACCACACTTTTCTTAAATTAGTGTTTAGCTCAGTTTTAAGCATACCATTCAAGGTGGTGTTATCATACTTCATATGTTGATACATATTGATGAGAGATATGCAACTGCATTTTTGACCTTGACCTTTCCTTTGACCTTGACCTCACTTTTCCTTAATCAGTGTCAAACTTCATATGCTGATACATACTGATGTAAGCATTTCAACTGTATCAACATTTTTGACCTTGACCTTTCCTTTGACCTTGACCTCACTTATCTCTAATTAGTTTTTAGCTCAGTTTTAAGGAAACCATTCAGGATATTTTTATCAAACTTCACATGCTGTTACATACTGATGAGAGCAATTCAACTGCATCAACACTTTTCTGACCTTGACCTTTCCTTTGATCTTGACCTCACTTTTCCTAAATCAGTGTCAAACTTCAAATGCTGATACATACTAATTTAAGCAATTGAATTGTATTAACATTTTTGACTTTGACCTTTCATTTGACCTTGACCTCACTTATCAAATTGTTTCTAAGTCAGTTTTAAAGAAACCATGTATAATATTTTTTTCAACTTCATATGTTGAAACATACAGATTAGAGCTTTTCAACTGAATCAACAGATTTTGACCTTGGCATTTCCTTTGACCTTGACCTCATTTAATGAAATTAGTGTCAAACTTCATATGCTGATACATACTGATGTAAGCAATAATTGCATCACTATTCAAGATATTCTGATCAAATATCATACACTAATACAAATTTTCATGTTGCATTACTAATATACCCTCGGCGGGGCATTCATGTCCTATGGACATATTTCTAGTTTGAAGTTCATTTTTATTCTTTTTCATTTTTACTTACTCTTACTGTTATATCTTTTACAGGAACTAGAGTTTGCCCTGAAGATTTTTAATTACTTTTTTACCAGTGTGTTTATTATTGAGGCCTCACTGAAGATTTTAGCCCTGGGCCTCGTACGATACATCAAAGACAGGTAAGGGGAGATAAATCTGGATAAATGAGAATACTGATTTTAGACACAAAATTGATGCACCGGTACAGATCAGTTTTCTAAGATTGTTCAATGTCAAAATACATTAGAATTGTTGCATATTTATTGTCCATTCACTGCATAACTATCAATAAAATTAATGGGAAATTATTGAAAATAAGACATTTTAGTACTCTTAAGAGTTTACTTTAACTTTATAAGAGAACGGAGGTTTTACCTGTCAAACTAACGTTTTATGGAAATCCCTGAATATTAATCAGTCTTATCTGTACATTATTTTTTTTTTCAATATGCTTCTCTAGCAGGTAACAGGACATTTTCACGTCTGAATTATTTTTGCTTACTTCACTTAAAAATATTTGACTCTCTTTTTTAAATCAAATTGCAGATTTTTTAACATACTAATTTTTTCCTCTGCACTCATGTTACTTTATTGTACAGAGTCTTTACACTATTTAAATTTTTTTTTAAAAAGGGGTGTTCTTTTTTTTTTTACTTAATCAGTTTATTGCTTTCAGACATAAAAAAGAAAATATGTTGTCTCCATTTTGAGTACAACTTTAAAAAAAATGTCAAACCTGGCAGATTATGACTTGAAATTAATCAATACTCTAAATAAGAAATGATTTGCACATACAACTGGTTTTCTTCACTGCATGTAATGAATCCTTAGTCTGAACTGTTGTTTAACTAGCAAATACTTATTATATTCTCCTTTTTCATTACTCATTAATTTTTACTGAAACATTTTAAAAGTTAACAATATCACAGTAGGTGTGCTTTCTTATTATAATATTTACCGTAATCAGTTTTTTATTCGCCTATATCTTATTCACTAATTCTTTTTCACTCTTTCCAAACAATTCTTTTTAAAAATGTAAAATAGAATAAAGTTTGATTTTAGAAGTAAAGAAACGAAAATATAATATTTTCAAAATTTACACAGATTTTTTTTCTTGTTGGCCTTCACCCAGCATGTATTATTACTTCCCTTGTTTGGAGGTTTTTATTCCCGCATTCTAATTGGTTGTTTGTTTATTGTAGGTGGAACCAGCTTGATATGTTTATTGTAATTCTGTCGATTGTGGGAATCATTCTGGAGGAGATGAAAACAAACGTAATTCCAATCAACCCAACCATCATCAGGGTCATGAGAGTGCTTAGAATTGCGAGAGGTAAGCTTATGAGGCAAAAAAGTGTGATATTGAGATATACCGTATAATCCCTATTAACCGCCCTGGGCGCTTAGAAAATTGCAAAAAGGGGGCGGTTATTTTGGTGTTCTTTTTATGATATTTAATGTCATATTTAACTTCTTAAAATTGTTTGAATTAAATAAAAATAAATACAAGAAACAACTAAGATAATGTCTAACTTTATTTAAAGTGAAGATAATCCACCCAAATTATGCTAAATTGTTCATTTTCCACTGAGAAATTGGATGATAGACAAATTTCATTTGCACTTTCTTCATTTTTTTGATACGATTCTGGTTGATTTTAATCACTTACAGGGGGCCCTTATTTCCTGACAATTGAAAAAGACCTAAGGGGGCACTTATAGGGAATGGGGCAGTTAATAGGGATTATATGGTAATTATAGTGAAATAATTGTACCAGGGTTGCCTTAAGAATCGGAATAGTAAGAGACATTAAAAAATGTAGAAGGGGGTTTGCGGTTCTTAAACAAGGAGGAGGAATGCAAGAATAACTGGGGCATAATAGGGGGGAAATTCCCCAAGTCTTAGTCTGATATACAAGTCTGCTATTATTTATAAAATAATGTATTCCTAATAATGCTGTATACGTAGATGATGATTAATAATTAGTGTAATATTGACTTTTTTCTCAGTGTTGAAGCTGTTGAAGATGGCGAAGGGAATCCGCGCGCTGCTGGACACGGTGATACAGGCCTTGCCGCAGGTCGGCAATCTAGCCCTGCTCTTCTTCCTTCTCTTCTTTATCTTCGCGGCTCTCGGAGTCGAGCTGTTTGGGAGACTAGGTAAAAATATCGCTACAATGACGAGCTTGAGTCATAGTCTTTCTAAATGACTGCTTGTGAGAGATGTGTCTGTTTTAACCAACTTCTTGTGAGGGGATACGATTAGAAGAACTTATAAGCAGTTTGCTAGAGTTAGATTTAGTCATTTTAGAAGTTCATGATGTATGATTTATTAAATGTGTTGTTTCAGAATGCTCGGAGGCCCATCCCTGTGAGGGGTTAGGGGAACACGCCCACTTTAAGGACTTTGGAATGGCATTTCTGACCTTGTTTAGAGTTGCCACTGGAGACAACTGGAATGGAATTATGAAGGTCAGTTAGCTTAAACTTCTTACTGTGTAAAAAATGTTAAGCTTTGGTATTATAGGCACTGTTAATTGTTGCAAAAAGTTGTACATGCATAGGCATCGGAACAAATTGAAAGTGGGGGGCTAAACCAACAATAGGAACGACTTTACTTTACCGGTCCCCAGAAAAACGCGCTAAAATGAAGTGTCGCCGAAGGCGACTTCAGTATATAGGAGATCGCGTGAGCGATCGAAAAAAATTTTAAATACGAGGTTTTTTGGCCTTTTGACCCCAAAATCGAATTCTACGGTTAAAAGTTTAGTTTAAAACTTCGTTTTTAAACGTAGTTTTTAACCTCAATCTCTGAAAGAAATTAATAAATATTGTTTATTCATGGCAAAAGTCGTCAAAGAATAATTCTGAACGAAGCGCGTGCGGCGCATGCTTAGTGTCATTTCTTTCGGACTTAGCCATTCTTCCATGTAAACAAACGAACGAAATGTCTTTAAAGTTGAATTATATGATCTTGGAAAAATTACAGTAACAATTGAATTTCTTAACTTATGTAAAAGAACGATTTACTAACCCTAATTCATCGATGGTATGCAAAGACTAAGACGTTCAGACGAAATCTCCCGGGCAGATGCTAAACTAACCCTAATCAGTCGAATAATGTGCGAGGACTAACCCTAATCTCTCGGACGGATGCGAGACTAACCCTAATCAGTCGAATACTAGTGCAAGGACTAACCCTAATCTCTCAGGTGGGTGCAAGACTAACCCTAATCAGTTCGAATAGTGTGCAAATTTAACATATTTCAGTTGAGTGACGTAAATGTTACATCATAGTCCAATGAGCGCGAGGATCTTGCGGATCTGGGGACCGGTAAAGTAAAGTCTACCCCAACAAAAAAAGGTAAACCCCAATTTTCAATGCCTATATTATGTATATATTTGTAAAAAAAAAAACAAGTGGGGGGGCTTAGCCCCCCGGTTCCCCAATCTAATTAAAATTAGATGTTAGATCAGCTCGCATACTCCCTACACTAACACATAACAACATCCCATAGAGGGTCACGTCAGAGATCAAATTCTGTTAACCAATCAAATCATCACCTGAAAATCATCGAATATTGGTGAAGCGAATAAGTCTAGAGTTGTTCCGAATTTGACCTCTGACGTGACCTTCTATGGGATGTTGTAAGATGTTAGTGTAGTGAGTATGCGAGCGGATTTAACATCTAATTTTAATTAGATTGCCCGGTTCCGATGCCTGTGAATGTATACAGAACACTGAGTATAGCGAGACCCTCCTACAGCTAAACATTGAAGTTTCCTCCCCTTATTTGCTCTGTATTTGTAAGCTTAACTCAGATGTCTTAATTTGGTTTGACCTTGACGACTTAACAGCTGATTTTGATTGTCTTTAGGACACCCTGCGTGACGACTGCGACTCCTCGGAGAAATGTCTGACAAACTGCTGCGTCAGTACGTTTATCGCCCCCGTCTTCTTTGTAGTGTTCGTCCTGATGGCCCAGTTTGTCCTCGTGAACGTAGTGGTGGCCGTCCTCATGAAACATTTAGAGGTACGTCGGGTTAATTTATCTTTATAGTCTTACAGTGTTTGCATTGGGATTTTCATATTTCCTCTTGTTACAGCTTTATTTACAGTGTTTCTGGAGATAAGGTCAATTCTCTGTCAAAAAAAACCTATATATAATATATAATGTGAGAGTAGAAATTTAATCTGTGACAAATTAATTAGGTAATTTTCTAAACTTATAATTATTCAAGATGACTTGGCCTTATGTTTTGATTGATATAAATTTGAATCACAAATTTTATATTTCTTCTTTGTCATTGTACACAAGACCTGTTTTAAAACTAATATCAATTTTGAAAAAAAAAAAAAAAAAACATGCACCAGTTACCAGTTTATACCTTTAAGCACTTTTAATATTACATTTATGCATTTTCTATTTGATTTTTGTTTTTTTAATGTCTTTTAAACATCTGATAATTCAGAATGACTTCCATAATTTTTAATTCACAAAACTTGGGAGTCATATACATTATTTACTAATTGTCCTCTCGGAGATCCTGAAATCTTAGATTAATTTATGACTTCCATTAGAAAAGTTCTTCAAAAAATTCCACAGATTATTGAATTAGATTGAAAATTAGAATATCTAATAATTAACTTATAGAAGTCTTCTCTGCATTTCAGAGTAAATCATTTTATTTCTTGAAAATTTGGCAAATAAAGTCCAAATAAAAATATCTGAAACTAACAATTTTGCATGTGGATATTTGTTCTGTACTAATCGTGATCGATTCAGGAAACATACAAACATAAGGAGATAGACGACGAGCTAGAGGCAGCGTTCAAGATGGAGTGTAGCGTCAATAACGAGATGCTACGCTTAACGGTCAAGGTGAGGGGGGCGTGTCTAGCTTGACCATTATTGCATGCTCCCTTCCCCATTTTAACTGTTGTTAGTACATTTTAAATGTTATTGTCTTGTACTAGCTAGTATTTATTTTTTTTATTTCATGATACAAGTATATTATGTAGTATTTTATTCTTTTTTTGCAGAAGTGAAAACCAGCTGATTTGACAATAATCAGAATTTGCTGTCTAATGACAAATTCAGTTTTTCTTATCTATCTGAGAAAACTTCCAGAAATCTTTAACAAATCTTAAAGTGGCACAGTGAGTCAAAATCATATCTTAATTTTAAGATTCTGTAGCATACAGAGAAAGACTTACGAAAATTATGAGTATATAGCGAAGATATGACAATTAAACTGCAAGAATTGACTCCACAATATAAGTGCCAGAAAAACAAAGGTTGTATCTACCGTTTCATTGTTTCGTATATGTCAAGGTCACGCTACTCTTATTTTTAGCTCAAACTTGTAAACAAAATTCAACTGGAGCATGCAAAGGTGAGAAATATGTTCTAACAACTTTTTAAAAAGATTACATCAATTTTTTTGGTCTACTTATATTCATTCGTGGATACCTGAGACCATGGTAACTATGGAAACTTATTCAACACTTTTCTGCGCACACGTATAATAGGGAGGAAGAAGTGCCAGGGTATTTTGCAATATTTTTGTTCTGGGGCAGACAGAAATTATTTTTACTTTTATTTTTCCCCATAAAAATTTAATTTTTAGGTTCTGAAACCTGTAATTTTCTGAAACCTAATACTTTAAGGAATTGAACAAAATTTACAGAGGTCATGCGAAAATTCTATATTTGTCAATTTTCCCTTTTCCCCTTTGTGTGTCACTGTGCCACTTTAAGATATGGAGTGAACGATACATTTTTGGGCAGCAGATTCAATGAAGTCTTTTATGTGTAGTGATTATGTTATCTGATAATCTGTAGTCATCCATTAAGTATTTATAAACAGAGAGCAGCTTATTACATGTACACTGGTTGTAGTTTAGAGTCAGCTATTCTGTTCTTTTCAGTTGCTGTTAGTTGTGATGAGACTTATTTAATTTTTGAAAAAAGAAGAAATTTTGCATTCGAAATAGTTTTTAAAATGAAAAAAAATTGCATTCATAATACATTATTGTAAATAGTGTACTGTTAATTGTTACTATTAACTGTTACTGAAATTATTAAATTATACATGTATCTCACAGTATTTTGAAAATTAAGTAGACAAAATTCTAACCTTGAAATTTGATATTGTAAGGATAACTTTGTTAATTGACTTGTGGTGTCTCTTCTGATTTCTTTTGTTTCTATTTAATTATGGACTTTACAATTTGAATTTTGGTGTCGCTATTTGATTTTTGACAACGCTATTTGATTCGAGATGTTTCTATTTATATAATAGTGTTGTGCTTTGCGTGCAATATGCCTAAATAGTAGTCAGGGTTTGACACATGGTGCAGGAGCCGGAGGCAAGTGCACTATGTGTCAAACCCTAATTTTAGTGCAAGCAAAGCACAACACTATTATTATTATTATGCTGGCTGTTGTTATTGTATAAAAACGGCAATATTTTCTCCATTCCCAATGTCTCATCACCTGTTACATTCGTCTACTCTATTATGACGTCACCTTGTACAACATGTACATCATAATCTTTTTCTTTAATTTTGAACGTTCGTTGCTATAGGTATAATCTACAGATAGTTTTAGAGAAAAGTATTTGAGTGAAGGAAGGGGGGTTGCAAGAAACTATTTTATAAGAATCATTTTGCTTATTTTTAATCTTAAGTGTAAAATATTTGAAACTAAGTTTATATATATTATAGTACAATACTATAGATAACGGCGTCTGTGGTGTAATTGGTAGCGCGTCCACATTCTCGTCGTGCGCTCCCCGGTATGGGCGTTATTTGTCGGATTTTCTTCAGAAAATGAGGCCGTGCACTATTTCGGCATAGTATGCTTATGCTATATAAATCCTTTGAACACTATGCGAGAATAGTTGGGTATGTGTTATATAGGGAGAAACTGACAGGAAGCATAATAATTGATATTTGATCGACCTCCCTAATTGATTCTGTTGCTATTTGACCAGGAGTCCCACAGGTTGCTGGACGATGATGGAGGGAATGGGGAGGATCCAGAAAAGGACGGAGAGGAGGAGGAAGACGACGTCGACGGAAATGTCACAAAAGATGAGGAGGTCAGAAAGTCGGATGTCTGGGTTTGGCTTTGATATTTTGTTTCCAGAATACAAACAAAGACATTAACAAATGAATTAAACTAAATACCTGTGTTATATTTGTTCCAGGTGCCTGCTATACTTGGGACCCCGAGACCCTCCTTCCCTCGGAGACTTCGTACCCCGGTCTGTAAACAAATCTCTCTACCCCCCAGCTTTACCTTCCGACCCCCAAGTAACGAACCTCCAGATGAAGATGACAAAGGTAATGACCAGGCCTGGGGGCCATAAAACGTAGACGAGCTCACTTTTGATCTCAGTCTCACTTTTTCCTAAGGAATATACAGTGTATGGTGGAAAAGTGAGACTGAGATCAAAAATGAGCTCGCTAAGTTTTATGGCCCCCAGGCCTGATCTCGGATTTCTGTAGGGGAAATTTTTATTAAGGACATCCAGTAAATAAATAATAGTCCATTATTCCGTACATTTCAATCATTGGGGGCAGACATAATTGTCCTTTATTGAATTCATCAGCTAGTTTTAATACTTAAGGTCAATGAATTTTGGTATTAGATGATTTATCTATCACTCCACAATGACATGGATGCACCTCATAAACTCTCAAACTTTTGGTTTTAATGAAAAATATGTGAAATGGATCCAATTTCAAGTACACTGTATGCTGTCATTTTGGTTGGTATAATGAATTTAATTCGATGATTTAAGGTCTTGTGTCCTTTTTCCAGGTCAGTTAGTTCCTGTGGACATTACAATCTCTAATTACGGCAGTTCTATGGAGGTCAGTCTGGATATGTCGGGATCCAGTCTGGATGTCCCCCCCTCCCCCTACTCCTCCAGTTACTCCGATAATTCCAGTTACGCCGAACCCGCAGTGGATGAGAATATGTTAGCCATTCCACGACTGGCAGAGGAACCTCATAGAAAATCCACCAGTCCTCAGCAAAAACAACGATTAAGAGACAGGAAGTTAGTACGGCAGAAAAGCTGTGAATACGAAAGTCCGCCTGCCACAGCTCATGTAGAGCCAATACGGACTCCAAATATAGGGCGCTGTCAGGCGGCGAGTTGTGATAATCCTGTGTCATTGTCACAGCCCACGCTAAACAAGAATCTATACGAACAAGGCGAGGAAGGCTCAAAAGTGAACAAGTCACACAACCCTATCATCAAACTGAAGTGTTTACATCGGAGTCAGAGCAGTGGCTCAGAAAAAGTTAGGCTGAGAGAGAAACATGTGGCAGGGGCTCGGGTTCAAATGAGACCCACTACTCTTCACGCTCTAGTGAATGCTTTATCCAATTATTCACAAGAACAAAACTCTCTAGCCTTGCCAAATGTTCAAGTGACACAGAATTCTCCTGTGATATGTAGGAAAAAACAAGGACAACATCATAAACTAGAGGTGGCCCAGGTGCCCTCCCCAAACCCCACTCTTCCTCACAGAAATTCCAGTTCTAAACAAAGTCTGTTCAAGCGGAGTAGCACATATGAGTCCGATTCTTGTGAACTGTCCGGCCCGGACTGGGCAGCGGAGGAGGCTGCCTGCGACGAGGAGGTCCGTCTAATCACGGGCGACAGTACGGACCACGACGACGTCGAGGACTTAGAATGTGAAGAGGTGACTTGTCCCTTAGTTAATGACCACAATCGGAGTCAGGATCACCTCAGTATAGGAAATTCCAGTAACTCTCAAGAGACACTGATCTGTGATGATCAAAGTTCTATAACCCAGAGAAAAAGTGACGAGTGTTGTGTGCCGTGTGAGAGTGTATCATCCACCCCTAATCCCCCCTCCCTAGCCCCGACCTCAGTGCCTTCCCTAGACCCCAGTGTACTAGTAGACCCTCCCTCTCCTGACAAGGAATCCTGTAGAATCCGTTTGAACAGCGACAGTAAGGAGAGTAGTGATACCGACCTCTCGGGGGCGGAATGTCCCTATGATTCCGAGGAGCCGATGTTAGACAACTCAGGGGAGCCAACTCCTGCTACAGCCGGCTCGGGGGCATGTCTCAATGTTCCTGTGATAAATTCTGATGACTCTTGTGTCAGAAGGCGGACTCCAAACCTAGTTCATCAGACAAGTGACTCCTGATGGTCATAGGTGAAGGGTCAAAGGTCGTTAAAGTGTGGATTTGTGTGGTGCCTCATGAATGAGGGTAACCCTCGGAAACTTTGTTCTCCAGTAGAGGGCAGCACTTTCTGAAGACTTGTGATGATTTTGTCGGGTGAAATCCATGTACTTGTTAAAATTTTTATGTTTGTCCTGTTTCCTGCATGGCTTGCCTGTTTAACAGAGCATTTAAGAGTTCTCTCCCTTTGTATAACTCGAACATTTTATAAAATCAGGTCATTATAAATGAATAGAATGAGAGTTATGAAAGGTTCCTATGTAAGCTAAATGTTCCATAAAATAATTAAGATGTAAAATCTGTTTTGGGATCCAATAGATTGCAATGAAGTCTAGGGAGAATAAAAGTTTGATGTGGTGTAAATATTTTGTGGTAATGTCATACATAACTAGAGCTTCATTGTTATTGTATTTTTTACTTGTGAAGAACTATTTCAAAAGCAACAGGAAAAAAAGCCAAATCCTTTTAATGTTTATCCATCTCTGACCAATGCAACATTGATATGACTGGCGTGAGCTGTATGTGTGTTTGTCTGTTTGAATGACTGTTTTAAAGCAAAACTTTCCACATATCATTTGTTTTATGACCATGCTCATGCCCTCCACATATTTGATGTTATCATTGATTAATGCTTTCTCATTAAGATCTCAGACCTTGTGCCACCTTCTGCTCTCATTTGTGTATTTAATCCTTATATTTTCTTCATTTCAAACAACACTTCGGGTTTTCTTGAAAATAGTCATTTTTTATGACAATATTATATATATATCTTATGGCCGCAATGGTTCAATTGCACTACAACTTGGTCTTCAGGATGAAGATGTAGAAACTCTAACAGTTTTAAATTCTTTTTACCAAGATTTTTTTTTCAATGAAATAAGATAAATTTATGTCATTAGTTCTTAAACTTGAAGCTAAAAGTCAGTTTTTTTCCAGTTGTGAATTGAATCTCATCTTTACTAGTTAACGTCTGTCGGATTTTTTTTAATGAAATTATATGACTTGCCTGGGTTAAGTGCAATATTGGGTATTTAGTATTATAGTTTTTAGATCTATTATAATGATGTGATATTTTCAACGAATGTGGTTGTTGCCATATTGAAGAAAATGATTTTTATACTGAAAATGTGATCATGTTTTTCTTTATCAATAATGATCTTCTACACTTGTTTTATAATCCATTACATTACTTTAATACTTGTTTTTGTAATATATTACATGGACTTGTGTTTTATCTATTGCATAACATAGACTTGTTACACCCCCCCGCAAACGAAGTTTTGGGGGGTATATAGGAATCACCTTGTCCGTCCATCCGTCTGTCCGTCTGTCTGTGCAATCGTGTCCGGTCCATATCTTTCTTACAGAGGGACATTAGAATCTACTACTCCACACAAAGATTGCCCATGATGTAAGGGTGTGTTATGCCCTTGACCCAAGGTCATTTGGGGAACTTTAAGGTCACTGGAAGAAAAATTTCATAATTCGTGTCCGGTCCATTATCTTTCTTGAAGATAAACTTGGTAGGTTCTCGTTTCACACAAAGATTGCCCATGACCCAAGGGTGTGTCATGACCTTGACCCAAGGTCATTGGGGAAGTTCAAGGTCACTGGAAGAAAAATTTCATAATTCGTGTCCGGTCCATATCTTTCTTATGGATAAACTTGGTAGGTTCTCCTTTCACACAAAGATTACCCATGAAGCAAGGGTGTGTCATGACCTTGATCCAAGGTCATTTGGGGAAGTTCAAGGTCACTGGAAAAAAAATTTCATAATTCGTGTCCGGTCCATATCTTTCTTATGGATAAACTTGGTAGGTTCTCATTCCACACAAAGATTGTTAATGGCCCAAGGGTGTGTCATGACCTTGATGCAAGGTCATTTGGGGAAGTTCAAGGTCACTGGAAGAAAAATTTCATAATTCGTGTCCGATCCATATCTTTCTTATGGATAAACTTCGAAGGTTCTCATTTCACACAAAGATTGCCCATGACCTAAGAGTGTGTCATGACCTTGACCCAAGGTCATTTGGAGAAGTTCAAGGTCACTGGAAATAAAATTCATAATTTGTGTCCGATCCATATCTTTCTTATGGATAAACTTGGTAGGTTCTCATTTCACACAAAGATGCCCATGACCCAAGGGTGTGTCTTGACCTTGACCCAAGGTCATTTGGGGAAGTTCAAGGTCACTGGAAGAAAAATTCATGTTTGATACATATCTTCATTAAGGAAAAACTTACTTCTGAAAAACCCAGCGGGGGGTATTTTGTCCCGTTTGGACAGTTCTAGTTTGATTTGCACATGTAATTTACTGAGTAACTTTGACCTGCTTGAAATGTAGGTGTTCTCATTCTGTTACATTGACCTGACTTGTACATGTAATCTCTATTACATTGACCTGACTTGTACATGTAATCTCTATTACATTGACATGACTGACTGGTATAGGTTATCTCTCTATTACACAGACTTGACTTATTGCCCCATCATATTAACTTGAATGGTTGCTCTTTTACATTGACCTGATTGCAATTTTTTTCCAGTGATGCTCAGTTTCAAAGAAATAAAAATTCACAACTCATACTCGCAAACTCTTTATATGTTTTGATATCTGTATATTGTATCTTCAAGACTTTCTGTACAAATATGTTTTTCAATTTTAGATTACATCTTTTGGCCCTCTATCAAACCACTTTACAGCAATTTAACAGATTTTTACTATTTTATATATCAAACTTTGTTTTATTATTTTCAAAATGGGAAACAGTCCAATCATTGTAGAAATAAAAATCCAAATAATCTCTGAAGACATTGACAACAAGAAAGTTAACTATTGATAAATTCTTGAACTGTTTATGTAATAACTTTATAGCAGACTGGCCTGCGCAAGTCAGTTATTTCTTTGTTCCGCTATATTCTGACAGTATGACGTGACGTGCATGTGATGCCTGTTTATACTGTGTGTGTGAGATGGTGTAGTGATACAATTTTTTTCTTCACTAGCTCAGGTAGTTAGGTCACCTTTTGAGTGGTGTTTTTATAAGAAATCCTGTGGCAGATTCATTAATGTACAGAAGTCTCTTTTGTAATGTTTTTGTTTTATCACATTTTATGTATATTTAGACATTCACGAATTGATGAAAATTAAAAATGGATTTTAAATTGTACCATGTTTTTTCTTGTTTTAACTGATTCAATACATACAGTATTGAGAGCACTGGACTTTTAAAATACTTGCAGCAGTTACCATGTTCACGACATTTTTCAGGTAGAACAATGTGTCAATCTCATGCTTAATAAACCTGAATCACTAGATTTACATGAGAGCAAAACAACAATATTCTACAATATATATGAAAGATCAAAATCTTCAATTGTTTGGTTAAGTTAATTTAAGTCTCAAAGCAATATCTTCCACTATTTTTATAAGCTAGGGTTCAGATCCCTGTTTTTTCGTAATGAAAGAATTTTTTCCATGATCCTTTTTTTTCTCTCAGAAAAGTGTTGTTTTTTTTTAAATTTCATTTATGAGAACTCAGCTCAAAATACTTAATTTACAAATTGAATATAATTTTTTATAAATCTGCATGAAGCTAAAGGCATTCTGCACACCTTGTTCGCCCATCTTCTTTAAATGTCATCGGTGCATACAGCACTTGGTATCAATGTATGTATAATTTTTAAGATAATGCATTTCCCAAAGTTAATGCCCCTTGGCCATCATGCTGGTGAAGGGAGAAAATATAAACGGCCTTAAATGTATGATCCATGCATGGTGAACACAGGGCTTATAATTGCTTGGAAATGGACCTGCTCCAAAAACTTTAATCTGCTCTATAACATTAACCTCCAGGTCATTCTTTAGCTGAAATTGCAGCATTTGAAACCTTGACAGGTACAATGAGACATAGTAGAAGCATCTGATTAATTTAGGGCACAGAAGTACTTGCAATGAAGCTGATTGAAGTGGTAAAATTTTCCATTTGACTCGATTGTCATGTAATGACACACCATTGGAATACCTGTAGAATATTCCATGAATATAACTGCAATATACATGAACTCGGATTTAATGTTAAATTCATTGCAAAACTTGGTTTACAGAAGGGAGGACTCTCTCTCCCTCTTCTGAGTTTTTAAAATCCCCATTTCAGTGAAAGTCAAGTTGCTAGTTGCAAAGAGTGTGGTGTCCTAAAAAATTGAAATACAGCAAAACTCATTTAGTACGAACACGAATATAGCGAATTTACGGATATAGCGAAGTCATTTTGGATCCCCAGCTATATAAATTTAAAGAATTTTGTATACGGTTATAACAAATTACGGATATAGCAAAGTGATTTCTTAGGTCCCACTGACTTCGTAATAACCGTGTTTTACTGTACAAATTTCTTCCTGGTTTCTAAAGAAATTTGTGCATCATTATGCAAGTTGTTTGATAAGAAACTTTCCGTTCAAACAAAACATTTGATCACCACAACACTGTGATTTACTGTATTAATAGAACGGCACCCCAAACAAATCGCTCACCTGAGCACTGTTGATAGGAAAAGTAGAAATTGGTTTATTATTGAAAAGTAGTCCAAAAGTAGTCCCATGACCAATCATGGCTTTGCTATTCTTGAGAAGATGATTTTTAAGAATTTTCCTATATATGTCCATGTAAAACTTTGATCGGCCATTGTGGCCCTGCCCTATCCCTGGCGGTCATGATTTGAACAAATTTGAATTACTACACTACCTGAGGACACTTCCCTATAAATATGATCCATTATGGCTATGCTATTCTTGAGAAGAGGATTTTTAAAGAATTTTCCTATATATATTTCTATGTAAAACTTTGGTTGGCCAATTTGTCCCCGACCTACCCCCTGGGGTCATGATTTGAACAAACTTGAATCTACACTACCTGAGGATGCTTCCATATATAAATATAATAAAGCCATTATGGCTTTGTTATTCTTGAGAAGAAGATTTTGAAAGAATTTTCCTATATATTTCTATGTAAAACTTTGGTCAGCCATTTTGGTCCCGCCCTACCCCCGGGGGTCATGAATTGAACAAACTTGAATCTACACTACCTGAGGATGCTTCCATATAAATATGATCAATTATGGCTATGCTATTCTTGAGAAGAAGATTTTTAAAGAATTTTCCTATACATTTCAATGTAAAATTTGGTCGGCCATTTTGGCCCCGCCCTACCCCCGGGGGTCATGATTTGAACAAATTTGAATCTACACTACCTGAGGATGCTTCCCTATAAATATCATCAATTATGGCTTTGCTATTCTTGAGAAGAAGATAATTTAAAAGAATTTTCCTATATATTTCTAAGTAAAACTTTGGTCAGCCATTTTGGCCCCGCCCTACCCCCGGGGGTCATGATTTGAACAAACTTGAATCTACACTACCTGAGGATGCATCCCTATAAATATGATCAATTATGGCTATGCTATTCTTGAGAAGAAGATTTTTAAAGAATTTCCCTATATATTTCTATGTAAAACTTTGGTCGGCCATTTTGGCCCCGCCCTACCCCGGGGGTCATGATTTGAACAAACTTGAATCTACACTACCCCAGGATGTTTCCCCATAAGTTTCATCTTTCCTGGCACAGTGGTTCTTGAGAAGAAGATTTTTAAAACATGCCACCAAATTTTCATTAATTCCCAATTATCTCCCCTTGAATGAGGGCGTGGCCCTTCATTTGAACAAACTTGAATCCCCTTCACCCAAGGATGCTTTATGGCAAGTTTGGTTGAAATTGGCCCAGCGGTTCTTGAGAAGAAGTCGAAAATGTGAAAAGTTTACAGACAGTTAGACAGACGGACAGACAGACGGACAGCTAGACAGACGGACACCGGACAAAATGTGATCACACTTGAGCCTTCGGCTCAGGTGAGCTAAAAATTTAACCCACATCCTTTGACCAGTGGCAATATATGAAGTATAAGCCACAATGAACCAAGGGGAGAGAAAATAGTTCTGCCGTGACCTTGACCGTAGAAGACCTAGAAACATGGTTCAAGGTCACTGCACACCATTTTCCAAAAGGCACTCTGTGGGTATGAGCCACAATGCACCCCTACTAATGTGTTCGGAACCTTTTATTTTTTGGTATTCTGCACATTATAGAACCCGATGAGTTCAGACAGTAGCTCTGGTGAGAGTTAGCGAGACTACAGCGAGATAGGGTAAATTATTCACGGAAACGTGGCTAGGAAGTGACTAGCACGTGGAGACATGGTAAACAGAAAAATTATGTTGCGTTTTAGTTTTCACCACTCTATAATATCTGTAGAAATGTACTTCAAACTCTCTTGAATTCATTCAAACTTAAATAAGTATTCTCTATGATACAATTTCTGCAGTCATGAATTAAAATTTCTTTCAGGACAAATATTCTAGCGTGGGAACCGGGCTATACTTTTTGGCGTCAGATTAGCAAATGAGGCACCAACATGACTTTAACTGACCAATCAGCTGAATGAGAATTGCATTTTGGGTTACTATGAATACTACAGGAATTTTCTGCTTGAAAGAAAAGGAAAATCTTATGGCGATCGGAAAGGCACAAAGCCCATTTTTCCATCCATTTCGTAAATGAAAAGCATCTTTTTTAAATTGTATTATTTTCATGCTCACAATGACACATAATTCATTTGTTGAATAAACGATGGAAGTCTAGGTTTCTCAAAGTCATGTTGCAATTGAAAGCGATTTGCGTCTCTATTAATTCTTTTGTTGTACTATTGGTGAATACAATTGTCAGGTGTATGCCCTGGCCAAAACACGTGATCACGAGTTTAATTATGTAACAAGAGACCCATGGGCCACATCGCTCACCTGAGAAGCTTTGACCATTTAATACATATTGCGACCTCACCCTACCCCACTGATCATAATTTAGACATTTTGAAATCTACACTACCCCAGGATGCTTCCATGTGCAAATATTAAAGTTTCAGCTTTTCTGGCCCAGTGGTTCTTGAGATGAGATTTTCAAAGATTTTTCTATATATTTCTATGTAAAACTTTGATTCAGCATTGTGGCCCCGTCCTACCCCCGGGGGTCACGATTTGATCAATTTAGAATCTACACTACCCCAGGATGCTTCCACATAAGTTTCAGCTTTTCTGGCCCAGTGGTTCTTGAGAAGAAGACTTTCAAAGATTTTTCCTATATATTTCTATGTAAAACTTTGATTCCCCATTGTGGCCCCGCCCTACCCCCAGGGGTCACGATTTGAACAATTTAGAATCTACACTATCCCAGGATGCTTCCACACAAGTTTCAGCTTTTCTAGCCCAGTGGTTCTTGAGGTGAAGATTATATTTCAATGTTAAACTTGACGGATTCCCTGTTGTGGCCCTGCCCTACCCCCGGGGGTCATGATTTTAACAATGTAGAATCTACACTACCCCAGAATGCTTCCACATAAGTTTCAGTTTTTCTGGCCCAGTGGTTCTTGAGAAGAAAATTTTCAAAGATTTTCCCTATATATTTCTATGTAAAACTTTGATTCCCCATTGTGGCCCTGCCCTACCCCAGGTGGTCATGATTTGTATAATTTAGAATCTACACTATCCCAGAATGCTTTCACATAAGATTCAGCTTTTCTGGCCCAGTGGTTCTTGAGACGAAGATTTTCAAAGATTTTCCCTATATATTTCTATGTAAAACTTTGATTCCCCATTGTGGCCCTGCCCAACCCCGGGGGTCATGATTTGTATAATTTAGAATCTACACTATCCCAGGATGCTTCCACATAAGTTTCAGCTTTTCTAGCCCAGTGGTTCTTGAGAAGAAGATTTTCAAAGATTTTCCCTATATATTTCTATGTAAAACTTTGATTCCCCATTGTGGCCCTGCCCTACCCCAGGGGGTCATGATTTGATCAATTTAGAATCTACACTACCCCAGGATGCTTCCACATAAGTTTCAGCTTTTCTGGCCCAGTGGTTCTTGAGAAGAAGAGTTTCAAAGATTTTCCCTATATATTTCTATGTAAAAATTTGATTCCCCATTGTGGCCCCGCCCAACCCCCAGGGGTCACGATTTGAACAATTTAGAATCTACACTATCCCAGGATGCTTCCACACAAGTTTCAGCTTTTCTAGCCCAGTGGTTCTTGAGAAGAAGATTTTCAAAGATTTTCCCTATATACATTTCTATGTAAAACTTTGATCCCCCATTGTGGCCCTGCCCTACCCCAGGGGGTCATGATTTGTATAATTTAGAATCTACACTATCCCAGAATGCTTTCACATAAGTTTCAGCTTTTCTGGCCCAGTGGTTCTTGAGAAGAAGATTTTCAAAGATTTTTCCTAAATATTTCTATGTAAAACTTTGATTCTCCATTGTGGCCCCGCCCTACCCCCAGGGGTCACGATTTGAACAATTTAGAATCTACACTATCCCAGGATGCTTCCACACAAGTTTCAGCTTTTCTAGCCCAGTGGTTCTTGAGAAGAAGATTTTCAAAGATTTTCCCTATATATTTCTATGTAAAACTTTGATTCCCCATTGTGGCCCAGCCCTACCCCCAGGGGTCATGATTTTAACAATTTAGAATCTACACTATCCCAGAATGCTTCCACATAAGTTTCAGCTCTTCTGGCACAGTGGTTCTTGAGAAGAAGATTTTTTAATGACCCCACCCTATTTTTGCCTTTTCTTGATTATCTCCCCTTGTGAGGGGACTTGGCCCTTCATTTTAATAATTTAAATTCCCCTTCACCCAAGGATGCTTTGTACCAAGTTTGGTCAAAACTGGCCCTGTTGTTCTTGAGAAGAAGTCGAAAATGTGAAAAGTTTACAGACGGACGGACGGACGACGGACAAAATGTGATCAGAAAAGCTCACTTGAGCCTTCGGCTCAGGTGAACTAAAAACTGTTTCGTCCATTTAAATGCATGAGATGCTGCTCGTTTTCTTTACCCTTGTTGAAGTGCTGGTGTTCTGAACTTGACACAAAGTACATTTTATTAAACATATTTTTGTCTAATTAACAAAAGATTAAAAACGCCCGTGACATCTTTCATACTTTCTAATCTTTGTATTTTGCTCATAAGAATTTTTTAAAAAAAAATTTGCACTCCACTGACATGATCATAGATTGATCTGAACCACGTGTTCGAAGTAAAATGTAAACATTGTATCTGGTGTACACGTTGCTATTCAACGATTGTTCAGTTGCTTGTGGTAAAAACCTCTGTGTGTATCAATAACAATAGCCATATAAGGCAAAAAAAGGTTTGTCAGTGTAGATATTACACATTTTTACAAGCGTATCGGTCGCAAGTGTCCTCTAAATTTCGCCGTAAATTATGATAAGATATATTGTTATTTTAACCCCCCTCCCCCTTTAGCCACCATTTTCTGTTGAAAATCATGCAAGTCTTTCAGAAAGGTATGGAAACACATCTTTCACAGGACATCTTTTCAATAGAAACAGGTATTCAAACAGACTATACCGATTTCCTATTTATTGCCAATTTTATTTATAAAACCGGTTTCATCCTATAATCTTTGAATGGGTCAACCTAAACCACGTGTCTTGAATTTAAAACACAATAACATTAGTAGGGGTGACAATGGGCCAACGAAAGAGGAAATATGCTCTGGACAAGAATTTAAACAGAAGCTATTTTTAACTTTGACCATAGACCCAGAAACTTTGTTCAAGGTCACTGCACATCCATTGACCCCAGTGGCACTCTGTAAAGTATGAGCCACACTGGACCAAGAGGAGAGAAAATATTGCCCCGGACAAGAATGTGATATACTTCTGCTATGACTTTGACCTTACAAACATGGTTCAAGGTCGCTGCACACCCTTACCCTAAGGCACTCTGTGGGTAAAGTATGAGCCAGATTGGGCCAAGGAGAGAGAAGTTATGCTCCGGACAAGAGATCTTGGACGGACAGATGGACTGATCACTTGCCCTAATAAAAGCTCCCCCCAACTTTGTCGAGGTGAGCTAAAAATGACAATAAAGACAAGTGAAGGCCCACATGTTTATTTTTTCTGTCCAGATCACAATAAAATAGGTTAGACTCTCTGTCTGTCCATCCAGGCTTTGAGAGGCCCCTTGTTAGGTTTATACTGTACATTGACGCCGTCTGGAATTAGTCGTCCATCAGCCCTCATCACTTCGTACTGAGGCCTGTCCCACTTAGTGAAGCCCCACTTCTTGGAGACGTGAATCTACAATCACAGAATAAAACAACACTCAATACACATCTCAAGATGTACAGGGGTTTGTGATGGTTACTTTGTAATTGCAGACAGATGAAAAAGGATTGTTGGTGGGAAAAAATAATAATAATATGATCATAATTAGAGCTCATATTTGCTCATGTTGCAAGAAACTTGAGTTCATCATATTTTGTATGCCTCAAAATTAAAACCATTTTGCTGATTTGAACATTCTTAATCATTCTAATGTCAGCTGATTGATGGTAGAATTAATTGATGATAGTTTGTAGTAAGAACAGTGTATCATGTGCCGATTGTTACAAAACATGACATAGCGAGTCTTACAAATTTCTCTCACAGTTTAGGGAACGCCACCTAGACCATGACGACATCTAGAGGAGCTAGAACTGTTTATGCAACTATAAAACTATATGTGAATGGATTGTATCATCACATTCATTTATAAATTGAGCCATTTCACAGTTTTACTGATAAAATTTTCATAGAGGCTCAATAAAGTTACATAGATTCAGGTATGTGTAACAGAAATCAAACATGTTAACATTATTTTCCTACGATGAAAAGCCAAATTCTGATTTAGTGGTAGGGAAGACTTGTGAAAGCATAACTGTGAAACTGGTAAAAATGAGGGAACTACAGATTTCCTATGAGCCTGACCGTAAGTCTGTCCCACTTGGTTTTCCGCACTTCTTTTTCTAAACGCTTGAAGATATTGAGCTTTTTTTGGTATGACAATATATCTTGACAAGTTACAGATCAAGTTTGCATTTCGTTCCGCATCACTGATTTTTTTTACGGAAATATGGCTTTTTTAATATTTCATAATTGGAATTAAAATCTGGTTTGTAATGCACTAAATTAATGTTCAAAACAAGCTTGTATCCTAAAGAGAAAAGGGGATCCTAGCAGGGGAAGTGTATTGCTTAGGTATACAATCATCATCAGAAATCCACGGGTGATCTTGTCTTTACTTATCACCCGTGGCCAAACTCGCTGAAATATCGCCGTAAAATATGCTAATTTGTTGTTTTTAGTCAACCAGTGATTTTTCTACAATTTTTAAAAGGGGCCTGGGCCTTTTCAATTGGGAAAAATTGTCGACATTTACAAGTGTCAAATTGGGAAAAACAATAAGATTGTAATTAACCTTCATATTGACAAGTAAAATTAAATATATAAGTAAATGTAACATCATTTATTAAATTCATTTGCTACAGAATTTTTCAACAAAATGGACACAGTTCTACATTTTTCATTTTCTTTCATTTTTGTTCTTTGATTGTCCTATATTCTATTTTTTGCCATTATGGTAGACATAATTGAGAAAAAATCATTCCCGATTTCTCGGTATTGCTCGCATTGGAGATGGAATAATCTTGACACGATTTACAAGTATGTATTGCTGTATTTCTCTGCAATGCTAGTATCTACAGGATTAAGAAACAGTTTAATCTTCGTGAAATCAAGGAAGCTTGTTGTAGTTCTAACTATTAGTCCTTGAAATTTACAAATAAAGCTATATTTAACCGATTCACATGCATATTAATTTTCTTACGATGTATTGACACACAAGGTTTGACATCCACATGATCGATGTGTTTAAATCTAAGTCTTGCAAACACACAAATAAACTCCTGTTTTTCGCCATTATTTTAAGCGTCCGAATGACCAAAAACAATAGTGTTCCATTTTAGATAAGTCGTACATAAAAAATTCAATATAATCAAAACAATACGTCATGATTTTGGGAAAAAAGCAGTTGAAAATTGGGAAAAAATAGGTAATTTTGGAGAGGGGAAAGGGCCAATATTCGGACCTAAATTGAGTGTAGAAAAATCACTGTCAACCAATCAGAAAATTGGAAGTTCCGAACTCTTCAATTTTGAAAAATACGTTTATTACTTTGCTATTTATGGTAAATATTTTGACGCTCATTAAAACGTGCGAAATTTGATTTAAATCTATGAAAGTCAATTCGTACAGGTCACTGACATTAATATCCGTCAGATATTATATAGGAGTACCTCTTTCTAACTGCAAAATGCACCGGTGAGTGGATTTATCAGCTGTGTTAACTACGGAATGAGTTTTTCATGTTTTTGGCAATGCCGAACATGCATACATAACGTGAACTGTAATTCGTTGTTTGGCATCGCAACTACGTGAAGCGGCCAATCAAATGACCCATGCATATTTAATTACATACAACGATTTTTCGGCAAGTTTGCTCACAGGTGATAAGTAAAGACGAGATCATCCGTGGGTTTCCAACGATGGTATACAATTAGAATGCTTGTTTACAATAATTTTTCATGTTGAGTCGAGAAAAGGCTGCTGATATGCTTATAACGGCTCAACACTAATGTGAAATGTAGTAAGAACAGTGTATCAAGTCCCGATTGTTACAGAACATGACATAGCGAGTCTTACAAATTTCTCTCACAGTTTAGGGAACGCCATCTAGACTATAATAACATCTAGAGGAGCTAGAACTGTTTACAGAGGGAATTAATTGATGTTTATAGAACACAGTATTGAACAGATCCCAACAAGCTCATTCAAGTCCCTTTCAAATTATGGCATACCTACTTTATGAAGTGCAACATTTTTCAAGTCATTTTTTTTAATATCCATTTTATCCTAGCAATCTTACATATTTCTTAGCCAGCAACATTTCAAGGATTTTGATGTGTATCTCTATTTCTCTAAAGCTATTTGGATATCTTACATAAACATAAAGACTGAGAGGTTGTGGAACAATTGCTATTGCTTCAGAAGTCTGGTGTATTCTGTAAATTTACTGGAATAACCAGGGGTGTCTACAGTAAACATACATTGTAGCTTTTATTTTTTGCTTCGAAAGTCTGGTATATACTGTAATTTTACTGGAATAGCTGGGGTTTCTACAGTGAATATAATTGTTTCTTTTATTATTTCTGGTATACACCGTAAATTTACTGGAATAGCCTGGGTTTCTATAGTAAATGTACATCTGTTGCCCTAACCACTGCTCAATATCTACACAAATGTAGCATCAAGACTAGAGATATGGCAGAGTATACCATAACAGTAATGAAACGCCACCAGGCCTATAAAGCCTACCTGATGGAGCTGGTACTGTATAGATGTAACTAGTTATATTTTACTCTGAAAACGATTTCTTCAAACTACTTATATTTTGATGCTGAGTATGCCTCCTGGGCTGTGTTATACCAATTTCCCATGTAAAAGAAGGAATATGCTAGAATCCATGAAGATGTGAAGAAGAAAGATGTTATATATGGAATTGACCAAAATAATCTCTTCTGATGAGAAGAGTGAAGTAGATGAGAAGAGTGAAGTAGCTCTCGTTAGAGGTTAGATTTATACATATACTGAAGTATGAATGCAATTGAATCAATATTCAAATTTGTCTCTGTGTGGCTGCTACCCCAGCTAACTGCTCAAGATCATAGCTCTATGTAGACCTACATACTAAGCCTATCTACGATGTTTATAATCTGTGTTTATTTGAAATATTTCTGTCATACCTTCTGTCGTCCTGGGAACTTGAATTTGGCTCTCCTGAGAGCTTCGACAACAGCGGCCTGGTGAGTTTCACGGGCACGTACAGACATGATTGGCTGTCCAATGTGTACGCGGGCTACAGTTCCCTGGGGTTTACCAAAAGCTCCTCTCATCCCTGTCTGAAGCCTACAAAAATATCACACCAAACTAAAGCTGTAGTTTTATTAATCAAGTACCATTTTCACATCTTTCTATTTTCTTTTTAGATTGTTTGGAATTATTTTGCATAAAATTGGCTCATTCAGGTAACAGGTTTATATGTAGCTGTGTTAAACCGTTTCAATATACACATAAAATCATGCCTTGAAAAAAGCGACACAGCACATCAATCTGACAGTAATAGAGACCCAAGCAAGACATACAGGACAAGACTGGGAAGGCTACTGTCTTATACACAACAACAACAAATGACATGTTATGATGGAGGGTACCGTCTAATACATGCACAGTAAATATGACTTATAAGGTTGAAGCATGGTACTGTCTCATACACGTCAACACAATAACAATGACATTTAAGGATGTAGCACATACTTAGCCATAGGTCTCTGCATCTCAACATTCCATGCACAAGTTTACAAATATCTTATATTCAGCACATACTGCTTGCAATTCATATCATACAGCATGTACATGTATACATAAATCCCTGAACAGATATATAAATGGCCTTTTCGGATTCTGTAAAAAGTTTGTCCAAGTGTCAATTCAATGAATTCAGAATCAACACAGCATTTGAATATTATATGTATATCAGGCCCAAAAAAAAAACAGTCTTGTTTCCTGCTACCTGACCTACCCTATTTTTTTTTTTACACCCGACCCTAAAGTATTTTTAAGCTTTTGGGGGAAAAAATTGGAAATTGCAGGAATCTTATGTTCCAAAAGTGAAAAAAAAAATATATATATATATATTCAAATTGTATTTCATGAACTATATGTTTAAAATATGGATGTTCATAAAATTCCATTTGAGTTGTGCATCAAAAGAAATGGAATTTCATTTTAACAGATTATATTGACCTAGCTATAACATGTTTAATTTGGTTTTGTAGTAATTCATAGTCATACCCAAAAATAACCGTTGGAAAAAATAAAATAAAATTAAAAAATAAAATAATTTTTCTACCTACCCATTTTTTTCAGGCTGGTAGCAGGAAACAAGACTATTATTTTTTTGGCCTCATCAAAAATAAACCAGTGTCCAGTGTTTGCCATGTTTCATCAGATAAATTGGGCAAAAATCCCCTTGATCTGGTGGTATGCATTTGGATTTAGAATTTCCATTTCATAACGAGTCTTAATGGTATCCATGATGGGTTTATAATGTTCCGATGGAAAACTTTTGCTAATATGACCAACCATAATTTTATGCGCCAGAAGTAAAATTTAAAGTTGGAGAATCAAAAAAAGGTCACCATTAAGTGGTTATTTTCACAGAGCTAAACTACATTCTCTTGATATTTTGTGCACAGCAAAAATTTCTTTGACCTAAACACCACCAAATTGCCATGCAGAAATCATGCCAGTTTTATACAAAAGGAAAAATGCAAAAGACTGGCATAATTTCAATTAACAAATCAGGTCTGTTAATTGATTTGTATTCCAAAATTTCTATGGCCCTGTCACCATGTTTTAATTATATACACATGCACACATATCAAACCAAAGGATCGGAAAAACTTCCAAGTCTTTGGCAAACATTGGTGCACCTCTAATTTTAAAAGTTCCTAAGTAATAATACGGGATCTTAATTCATGCACGTACAATACTGATTTTGACGACAATTTTACCTATCGGCTCCGGCACATGACAACATCTTGTTGATTCTGATGACGTGGAAGGGGTGCACCCGTATCCGCATGTGGAAAGCGTCTTTACCACAGTTCTTGACCAAGTATTTGTTGGCACAGATGCGCCCTGCCTCTAAGGCCTCAGAAGAGAGCTGTTCATATTCATCTGATACGAGATGTACACACAGAGGAAAGTCGTCAACCCTGGCCTTCTTCCTTCCAAGATCAAAGATACGGATCTTGGGATCTATAATTGGTAATTACATATTACTTCCTATTGATTTTAAATAAAGAAATGACATAATACCTAATTACAGTAACATGTTCCAAATCTTCAACTACCTTCTTTAACATTTAACAGATCTGACTGAAAAGCATGTTCACCAAATATCTACAATATATTTCATAAAATTATCTAAGAATGCATCTCTTTCTATGGTATATAATGCTATATTCTGTCATACAAAGACACCCCCCCCCCCCACTATAAAAATACATTTCAGTTTTACTATTATTTCTATACCCCCCCCCCCCCATTTTACACTTCAAAAGGTTCATTTACCTGGGACACCACGACAAAATCTGGACTTTGGGTATGGTTTGTTCTTACAATACCGGTAACTGAAATGACAATGGTGGCAATGTCAAATATACTGTAAGGGAATAATGTACACTGAATTTATGACATTTCTCGTGTTTATGTACAACCTTCTACTTACCACCGAGCTGGTCGGCGCCCCATTTTGAACTGAAATGAATAGAAAACATGATAATAATTACTTAGTTAGTTACACTAAAGATGTATCATTTTATTTACATGAAATACAAACTGATAGTCATTGTGATTATTTAAGATTTTGCCGATTTTAGAGGGATGTCATTTTTACGTCCATCATGTGTACTAACCTACCGGAAAGAGAATTACAGGAAGTTCTATTTTGATCATGTGATCTACAAAGGGAGACTATTCTAGTTGCAGAACATCCCACAACAAACGAGGTTAACGATGATTAAACAGAAGAAGGCCAGCTAAAATGATTAATAAGGAAAATGAATGGTAATGTTCTCCTTAAAAGAACGAGTTTGACTAAATGTAACTGCATCGATCGTGAATACTGGGACAATTGTTCTTTTTCGAGCACAAATGTTTGTTTACATACTGAACAGTGCAGTACTCTATAATCAGCTGACTGGGTTACTTTATCTAAATTTACCCAATTGTTTATTTTTTCCTCAAAATAAACGTGAGATAGAACAAAATCTAAAAGAAGGAAAATCCTGTCTTTAGTGCAATGAATATTATCCAGGTTAACTTTTGTTCAAGTTGTAAATAGGAATGTCAGACTGCTCGGCCCAACGACTCCTCGGCCCATCGATATCTCGGCCCATTGACACCTTGGCTCCGACGGCTCGGCCCAAATTTGAAGACAACTCGGCTCACATAAAAAACGACCTCGGCCCAAACAGAAATATATTATTTTAATTAAATATTTTTATTATTTATGCTATTATATATCTATGAAATTAAAAAGAAAATTAATTTGATACATAAACAATCTTCCAAGATGGCAAATTCTTCTTCTTCCGGTAAAGTGAAGGGCCGCTGCTGCGGCATATTCTCACTATGTTTAAAAGCGTGTACGTGAGGGGGAGTCCACGCATCTATTTACAATATTAAAAACTGATAAAAACGTGTCCTGCATGATTTATGGTGTTTATATCCCTGAATCCTGGTCTTAAAGGACTCCAGGGACATGGCCGTGATGGTGTTTTCTGGCAGCTGGTTCCATATCCTGATGGTAGTAGGAAAGAACGATTCCTTGTAGACGTTGGTACGGCAGAATGGGATCCTGTACCGGTGTTGGTGTCCCCTGGTGGCTGCTCCTGTTTGGCTGAATTGTGGGGGCAGGTCTATGGCAACAAGGGAATGGACAACACGGTACATCATAATAGCCTTTGCTTTAATTCTGCGTTGTTGTAGACTTTCCCATTCTAGCCTGTCGATCATCGTTGTGACACTACTGGTGGTGTTGTAGTTATTGGTCACGAACCTAGCTGCCCTTCTCTGCACAGCTTCTAGTTTGTCGATGTTTTTCTTTGTGTGAGGGTCCCAGACAGTGGATGCATATTCTACCTGGGGTCTGACCAATGTCTTGTAACACTTGTCCTTGATGTTGCTGGGACAGGACGAGAGGTTCCTCCTTAAAAAGGCAGTGGTGTTGTTTGCCTTCTTACATACACTATCAATATGATGGTTCCACGATAGGTTGTTGGAGATGTTGACCCCTAGGTACTTGGCCTTGGTGGTAGTGGCTAGCTCCTTCCCATGGATGTAATATGGGGTTATGCGTTGCTTCCGTTTGGTGGTGATACGGATAACCTCGCACTTGTCTGGGTTGAAATGCATTAGCCAGTCTGTTTCCCAATCTTGGAGGTTGTCAAGGTCCGTCTGGAGTTGTCTGGCATCCGCCTCTGTAGTGATGGTCCTATACAGAAGGCAGTCGTCCGCGAATAACCTGGCCTTGGACCTCACTCTGGAGGGTAAATCATTTATGTATGTCAGGAATAGCAGTGGGCCGAGGACTGTTCCTTGGGGCACTCCAGATGTTACCGGTGCGGTTGGTGAAGAATGGCCCTCGACCAATACCTTTTGTGTTCGTCCGGACAAGAAACTCCTGATCCAATTGAGTAGGCTGCCTCGTACCCCGTAGTGGTCTAGTTTGGCTAGCAATCTCTCATGTGGGACCTTGTCAAATGCTTTGGAAAAGTCCAGTAGCACTGCATCGACCTGGGTGTTGTTTTCAATACTCATGGCGAGGTCCTGGATTGTTGTTATTAGTTGGGACTCACAGGATCGCTTCTTCCTGAACCCATGCTGGTAGTCGGTTAGGATACTGTGATGCTCGAAGAAACTCATCAGGTGGCTGTGGATGATGTGCTCTATTACCTTGCAACACACAGAGGTCAGGGACACAGGACGATAGTTTGCAGGCTTGCTCTTATCACCCTTCTTGAATATAGGCGAGACATTAGCGGTTTTCCAGTCCTCAGGTGTTTGACCTTGGTCAATGGATGCCTGGAAAATCTTGGTGAGTGCTGGTGTAACAGGGTGAGCCATCTCTTTCAGAAATCTAGTGGAGATCTCATCCGGTCCAGTCGCCTTATTGGGGTTGAGTCCTTGCAGGAGCTTCAATACGCCCTTCTCTGTTACTCTAATGTCAGGTGCCGATGGGGTGGAACTAGTGCCTAGGGATGGAATATCAGATGTATCCTCTGTGGTGAACACTGACGAAAATTGTTGGTTCAGGAGAGAGGCTTTAGTTTGTGGATCTCCATGAAGGTTTCCGTCAGATCGAAGTGGGGCGATCCCAGCACTGTCACACTTCTTACCCTTAATGAAGGAGTAGAGTTTCTTACTGTTGGAATCCTCCTGCACCATGTCTGATACGTACGAGTTATAGGCACTTTTGCATTCATGTTGGGTTGATTTCTGCAGGCGCCTGTATCTCTGTCGATCCTTATCCTTGCCTGATCTTTTATATGTGTTGTAAGCTCTTCGTTTTCGTCTTGACAGTTGCTTGATCTTTCTGTTACACCATGGCTGGTTAAATCTGCTTGAAGTCCACTTGGTTGGTACGTGCTTCCTGATGGTGTTGAGGCAGACTGTCTTGAAGGTGATCCAAAGGTCATTTATGGGGGTGTCATGTGTAGAGCCATCAAGGAGGTATGCCAGGTCGTTGTCAAGGTCTTCTGCCATCTTCGTTGTGTTTGCTTTCCTCCATAAGTGGATGAGGCGTCTGACCGGTTTCTGTCTGGAAGGCACTATGTTTGTGTCGATCATGACCACATCATGGTCACTAAGGCCCGGGCAAGGTATGCACCTGTTTAATAAGGAGGGGCGATTTGTGATGAAGACATCTAAGGTGTTGGTACCTCTGGTAGGAAAGTCTACCATCTGCTCGCCTCCAATGTCAAACACAGTGTTGATAAAGGTGGTGTTGATACCTGCTGGGTTATGTTGGGTAGAAGTGCTGGAAGACTTCCAGTCGATATCGGGCAGGTTGGCATCGCCTCCAATCCATATGACTGAACCTTGATATTTCCTGGCAAGATTCTTGACAGCTGAGCACAATTCCTCTACGTATTCCATTTTACTGCTTGGTGGCCGGTAAATTGAACCAATGATCAATGGGTCTTTAATGTGTTTGCAGGTGATCGAAGCTGCTGTAAATTCGGTGGTGGTATCTGTATCTACCTGGACCCCAGCAATGTTGGATTTGGCTATGATTGCTACACCTCCATGTGGGTCGCCTAGTCGATCCTTCCTGGCAAGGAACTGGTAATTATCTGGGAGAACTTCCTTTTCCATAATTCCCTCGTGTAACCAGGTCTCTGTGGCGATGATGATGTCAGGATCAGTATCCGATAGTAGATTCCAAAGAGACTCTTTTTTGGCTTTAATGCTTTGGAAGTTGATGACTATGACGCGCAACTTTCTTTTGTCAAACTCGTGCTTGATGGCTCTGTTAGAAGCTTGTGGTGATGACGTGTGTTGGGGTGGTCCAACTGTGTCAGGGTCGAAGTCAGAGGCTATGGAAATATGTGATGAGTGTGACGGCGTGCCACAGCTATTTTCCATGCTGGCAAAATCTATGTCCTCGAAGAGGCTAGTATTGAAATTTGGGAGCCCACATTGGCAACAGTACCAACTTACGTCTGTTTTACTAAAAGCTTCATAAACACAGGTGTTCATGTTAAGACATTTCCTGTGGAACCATAATTCGCAGTTGTTACATGCTATGGAGTGTACATCTTTAGACCATTTACAGGCTTTACCACATATTTGGCATGGAAATTTTGGTGGTCTGGGTCCTGGATTAGGGTGGCAGTCATTAGCATTTAGCATGACAAGACAAAATAAATACAAAAGGGCTGGCCTTTCGAAACACTTTTTAGGTGCCATTTTGAACTGATGTTTCTCTACAGTACTTACTGGGCATGTGAAAATGCTGGCACATATATGAAAATTATAAATATTCACTGACCTCACATTCCCATGATTCTGCTCGTAAAGTTGAAGTGATATAGTTCTAGCTGATATAATAGCTAGGCTAACGATTATGACTATGTTACTCATGTTATTTTCGTTTACATTCACGAAATGAAAGTGAAAGTAGTATTGTTTACTTCCGGTTGTAGATTTTCCATATCATTCACTGAAGGAAAGTTTTGTTTCTGAAAATCAAACATTTATGCATGTTCAACATTTGATCTTGGTACTAAATGGTCTGTTTTCCATCGATGAATACTAAACATCGTTGCAGGTACATTAGTATATCAGAAAAAGTTTTGATAGAGACAAAAGAACCGCCGACTCCCCGTCACGCATGCGCAATTATCACATCACAAATTGAAGGTAATTAAAGAAAGACAACCCATTTGTAACTAGATTAATTAAGTGCTAACCATTAAACAAACAAGAAGACGCGGTGCATCCTTTAGAGTCTCAAGCGCGTGTCATTTGGGGTGGTGACTATGAGGAGTTAATTACGTTAATTTCATTGTTGATATTTTTTTGAACTGATTTGAAAAAAATTATAGTTTTAAAATTAAACAGTAAAATATATATATCAAAAATAAACAAATCAAGACATTTTGTGGACCAAGACATAAATTTCCGTGTAGACCTATTGGTGTAAACATAATTATTAGTAATTCAACTGTACTATTCAATGCAGTAGACCAATTTAATCAGTCAGTCGGGAGAGGGCAACCAAACATTTTTTGAAGATGGCTAATAAATATATTAATAATGTATAATGTTGCATAGTAATAAGCAACAAAGTACGTCAATAAATAAATAGACCTGTTACCTCCCAACCAACGGATTGTAATTCGATGTTTTTCGAAAATACTGAAATTATGTGCCTCTGTTTATCGTATATTTATAGTAAACGTATAGTGATTAATTATACATAAATTAACATTACCAAAGAAAATACAGAAATTAAAAAATAAACCAATTTAAACAAATTCAATTAATTTTATTCCTTGGGCCGAGCTGTCTTCGGTATGGGCTGAGGTGTCAATGATTTTGAGCCGACCTGTCAGGGCCGAGGTGTCAACCAGCACGGGCCGAGGTAACATTGAGCCGAGAAGTCTGTCTACCGTAAATAGAATTGTAAATAATAAAATTGTAAATAGATGCGTGGACTCCCCCTCACGTACACGTTTTTAATCGAAGTGAGAAAATGCCGCAGCAGCGGCCCTTCACTTCATAGGAAGAAGAAGAAGAAGTAGATAAGAACTGAATTTTTCCCCATTGTTAATGTTGTTTACAGTGTATATTATCATAATATTAATGTAAGCTGTGTTTTATAGAATTTGAGTCAAATTTTTATCACGCTGAAGAATTGTTGTCAGACGATTTATTTTGTTTCGCAGGTGATGATGGACATTCAGCGGAGAAACAATCCATCCTTACACGGCTTCTTGACGCTGTCAAACAGGTAGCACATTAGCAGCACATGATCTAATATGTTTTACGGTGTGACCATTTTGGCAAGCACAGCTTTGCACAGTTAAGTTACAATCATTTGCAACTTTCATCAGAAAGTTTAAAGTTCAAACTGCATAAGACACGGTCCAAACTGTGTGTCACATGATATAATTAAGTTGCATTTTGCATCCTGCAATGCCAGGGGACCAGGTTTTTTGTTTTCTAGATCTCATTGTCAAGTTTGGTTTGATCTGAATAATGAAAATTAGGTCTTTTTTACAATATGTTGTGTTTATTTCAGTGTCAAGTTCGGTTTGGTGGCAGAACAGAATTAGCAGCTGATGCAGACAGCAGGTGATGAACCTAACTATATTTGCCTACAGTCGTCTTATCAATTTACTGATGCTATGGTGTTCAATATGAAGAGAAAGAAATTATTTTAAATGGAATTAATGTTTAATATATACAATACATGAGGTTATTACAATTAAGATTCTATTCATTACTCTAGTGCAGTAATCACAAGATTGCTAGGCCTATTAGTTTTTACCTGTAAAAGTATTACAATGAGTGCCCAATATATTTATTAATGTTTTCTGTACTGTTTTCATCTCCTGTGTTGACAGAATATTTGTCCATGTTTTAGAGTTTCCTGTTTGTGTGCTGCATGGGAAGTAGCTCTTCAGCATGGAATGAAACAGAACAAAGCTCTGACGGCCTTAAAGTAAGTAACCTTATCATGTAAATAGTGACTAGCAGCCTTAAAATAAGTAACAATATGAAATAAACTATGTAGTAACTAGCAGCCTTAAAGTAGGTACATGTTAATGCTCAATTCTAGCAGTAACTAACATCTTGAAAGTAAGTAAACTTTAGCAGTAAATAACACTTATATGACAGCCTTTAAGTCATTAAGAGAACTCTTTATATTTACAGACAAGTAACCAACCTGACCGGCCTTAACAAAGTGACAGACATAATCACAGACATCACAAGCAAGGAGACGGAACCAGGTAAAACTGTCACAATCATATCTATCTAATAACAGACACACTTTATCTGGTGCCTGTGTCTTGGAAGAGTCAGATCTCTCTTTATATAGTTCCTATCAAGAAATGGGTCATCACAGTAGAAAAAATGTTGTATTTAATTGTGAGGGGATGTATTTGAATATATTGCAATGTACTGAGCATGAGATCTGTAATATCCTTATAACTGAACAAAACATACAGTGTATTATCAGTAATCAACATAATGCTTCTTACAAATTCACATACATGTATCTGCCTTGAAAACAAGAGTTGAAAAGTATCCATCTGTAGGATTAAATATTCAGTTATACCTGCCAAGTGTTACCCACTGCCTTGTAATTTGTACAGTGTTCTGGCAGTATGTGAAGGAGAGCCTAACGAAACATGAACAGGACCGATTTTATACCCTGAAGAACATCAGTACAGACACGGGACGCGGTCGAGCATGGCTCAGGTCGACCCTCAACGAACACTCACTGGAGCGGAACATGCACATGATCCTGGAGAGCGAGGAGCTCCTCAGGTGAGTATAATTAGACAGAAATTAGGTCTGCTTCATAAGTCATACTTGTTACTGTCCTTTGCATAAAAGATAGTTTTGAAGATGAACTTGGGGCCTTTTAAGATGAGTTGTAGGTCTGTTTTTATTCTGTTGTACCTTGACTTTTGTCTGATGTAGTTATAATTAATGAAATATTTTGTTTTGAGCAGGCAGTATTATGAGTCGTGGGCATTCATGCGTGACCAGGAGAGGAGCAGTATGATGCCAATGATGGCTGCCGGTGAGATTTCTACAAAACTTACACAAATAGTCATTTACATATAATGCAGATGAATACATGTTTAATTTTTTTTCCATCTTTATGAAAATTAGAGATAAAGATATTTGTGCAATTGAAAATCTTGTTAATTAATTTGTCTAGTGTACCGCTAAAATGCGTACATTTTTAGCCGGGCTAATTGCTCAAAGAGCAATTGCCGGCTTATGTGATCCTGTTCAAGGCAGGATGTTGAACCCATAGTCGCCATTTTAAAATTACGTGCAAAAATATAGTAGTTATCTCAACCGCTTTTGAGATAATACAAACGAAACAAAGCAACAAAATAAAACGAAGTTTTATCTTTATAAAATAAACATTAGTAGTAATGACTTTGAAAACCTCATAAGTCAAAGAACATAGTTCATTAGCGTAAGGATTTTTGATAATCAGTGTTACCGTAGTTCCCTACACATACGAGGTGAAGTAGGAGAGGGAACCAGACTGCACATGTTTGTTTACATTCAGCTGCGGTACCAGATTAATTCTGATTCTGACAAAATCGGACCGTGGTATTACGATTGAAAAACTCATTTATATTGATAGTTTTAGAATAATTTTTTCATCAGAATATAAACGTGATTCATGTAAGAAATCCATTCTACTCTGTAAATGAGCCCGGCTCTCTGTTCTTCTGAGTACTTTGATTGTTTCTGAGCCTCTATAAATTTGTGACATTGTTCTGTTGTAGGTTTAGGATCCATTCTGTTTGCTATTAATATTGACAACCCTGACCTGAATGCTATCAAGAGGGCAGCCTCTAGCAATATCAACATTCCTGTGACCTCTAAACCCATCCTGGACAAGATTGCTAATGAGCCCCGCCCAGTGATAGCGGGGGAGGAGAGCAGTGCACCACCTCCAGGTAAAACTTTCCTTACTAGTGCACCACCCTACATTACTATAAACTTTCTAAAGCAGTGCACCATCCATAGATAAAATTTCCTAATGCATTGCATCACCCAGAGTACACATAACAGTGCATCAGACTTAATTTTATCCTGCAACTACCCCTTGCATTGACCTAATAAAGGTAACCTAATAAACCAAAGCTTTATCCGGTCACTGCCCTAATAAAGCCTCGTGCATGTATTCCGACGTTCTAAAAGCATTGTGATGTCACGTATACTGCAATGTTTACGCCATGGAGTCATAGTTTCAACTGCAGAGATGTGCCTAAATCTGTCGGAAATAGCATGTTTTGGACGTTCACATGTAAAATTTTGTTGCAGGATAAACAAAATACATGATAACTGTCTTGAAATATACTATTTGGGACTCTCGGGTCGAAAATTGTAAGAGGGCTCGGCAAGCCTCGCCCTCTATCACCACCCTACATTACTATAAACTTTCTAAAGCAGTGCACCATCCATCGCCAAAATTTCCTTATGCATTTCACCCAGAGTACACATAACCATGTATTTTATATAAATAGGTCTTATTGTAAAGAAATATTGGTAGTTACATGTATATATATTGAAAATAGAAATCCTTTCTCTTTGTAAAATTTGACATCTTTCCTCACCTTAGGAAATTTACTTTTAAAATCCAGATACATTGTCAACACATGCAATATTAAAATTAGATGCAATTTTATCAATGATTGCACATTGCCAAGTGTTATAATCAGAATTGTTGCTATTTAATCTACATCTTATCATTTACAGGAAAACATACAGAGGTCAGAAAGAAAGAGAAGAAGAAGAGGAAGAAGAATGCCCACATTGTCAGTTTTGATGAGGATGATTCTGGTACATTCAGTGCTGATCCTGACCAATCAGAACACAGTTCAAAGTACACAATAGGGTCATCTGACTTGACCCCTAGGTCATTAGAAGGGGAGACAATTGATGAAAGCAGTGAGCTGGATTCAAAGATTCCCTCACTGTCAATACATGACAATAGTTCTAGTGATTTACGGACACATTTATCTGTAGGGATGTCATATCAGCGCGAGGCCAGTATTAACTCTGAGACATCGTACGACAGACCACCAAGTGTTCAGTCCCTCAGCTCTGCTGACTTTGACGTCAGGTAAGATCTGAAAATAGTTGCTGTTTTATTTAACTAAACAAAAGCTGGCTGATTGAGAATAAATGTTTTGTCTACTGCTACTGCAGGGTAATGTATTAATGGGCATCTTTTATACATGTATCTTATACTTACAATTCAAAGCTGGGAATAGTGTTTGTCTCGGTTGCATGTTAAAGATTTTTTTTAACATAATCTAACTTTTACATATTCTTTTCTTTATCAGTGATTCTACTCAGGGATTGGTTCCCCTATCTAAGGAGGGTCAGCCAATCACATCCAGTGATATAAGGGGCATGTCACGATTCTCTGATTCACTGAGTACCTCAGGTATCCTGTCCTCTCCTCATTTGCCAATTTAAAATATCAAATTTATAGCATAATTACTTACAAAGTGTTTCTATTAAAATTGATGAATTGCATTAAGCTTCATGTAGAAATACAGATTTTGATTTGATTGATTTGTTTTTGTTGCTCAGTTGATTCCACGGGAAGCTTGCCCAAGTTCAGTGGTTATGATATTGAGTCTGCAGCATTAGCTCTGGACATGGCACAGAAGGGAACTAACTCCAGGTATTTTGCTCAATGAATGATTATTAACACACTGACATGGATAAAAAAAGGTTCCAATTTTGAATTTTGGAAACTTTAGGAATGATCTAACAATGCTGGATGTGTACTAATATTGAAAGTGAAAAAAATCATCTTTAAAAATTTTTATCTTTCTTTGTCTCCTTGTCATATTTCATACACTTTTCCTCAGTCTTTTATTGATAAGAATGATACATTCATGTCTGGGGATCAATTTCAGCTTCAGTCGGACAGCGGGGGACGGAGTGAATGTGGAGGAGGTGATACAGAGAGAAACCATGTCAACAGGTAAACGAATTATTCACTGATAGAAGTCAGTCCCAAATACATATCATCAAAGTCACTGAATCAAATGATATGTTATGGCACTGAATTCTAACTGGAAAAAATGTTCTTTTTAACAGAAGAATTAAAAAAAGCTGTGGTAGCCATGATGGTCCGTAAAGATGAAGTGGAGGAACAAAACAAGTGAGTTGAAATAAGAACAGCTCAGACAGGTCTGGTGATGTAAGGTGAGGCTGTCTAATATTGTACGGATGTCTTGTGATGTACAGATAGGAAAGTATCAATGGCCGTAGAGATCAGATGTATCTGAATTGAGACATCAATAAGACTTCAGTTTGTTGATGAAGCAGGTGTTTTCAGTACTCTCAGTACTGGCATTGTTTTGTAGGAGTATCCAGGCGATGTTACAACAGGAGATGGAGACCTCCTCCATGTTGAGGGCAGAAATTGAGGAGATGAAGCAGACGGTCGCAGCCAAGCAGGAGAAGGAGCAGGCTAAATACCAGACACTTCAAAAGTAAGAATGACTGCAGATAGCAGGGAGTCTCTAAAAACCAAACTGTTAAAATCTCAAATTCATGAAAGTAAGGTTTATATCTTTAATTTGCACATACTGCAGGTATAGTGATGTCACTTAATGCATTGTTATACCCCTAAAAACAGTCCCTATATAATTCCTTACTTTAAAAAGTACAACAGTTCGACTGTTTTCTCCAACTGTCGGTCCAGGAACTGTTAAAATAGACTGTTAAAAAAGACTGATGTCATAAATTATTTTGCTAAACTGAGTTATCTTTTCATTTGGTAAAGGAGCATAACGAAACAGTTGTTGACAGGAGTCTGGGGTGACAATCAACCTGTTGGACCAGAGTGCAAACTGTTGTCTGCAGCCTATGGCCTTGGGCAACAGTGTGCACTCCAGTCCAACAGATCGACTGTTTCCCTCTATCCCAGTCAACAACAGTACACTTTAGTACAAAAATAAGTTCTAATAAGAATGCACACAACAAGTAAAACACTTTATACTAATGATTTTTCCCCAGGGAGAACGAGCTTTTGAAGCACCAGCTCAGGAGATATGTGAATGCTGTCCAGATGTTAAGGGCAGAAGGGTCACAAGTCGATGGTAAGGAATCCTTAACTATATATTATATGAACTTTAGGACTGATTTATACACATATATCTAATGGTTACGCCATGAAGACAAACATTCGAACCTCATTATTGCAATTTTAATGAACTGAGATAAATGTTTAGATATTCAAGGGTTCAAAATATTGATAATAAAATTTGTCAAAGTGTTTGGGACTTCCAAATGACTTAAACATGTGCATAATATTTGAGATAATGATGTTTCAGATATTGAATTTCACTGATAATTGATTGTCTTTAATCACCTGTCAGTTTTTGTTATTGTTATACAGATAGTTTAGGAATTCACCTTGAGGAGCCCCAGCCCTCTATCCCCCCTGCTAAGTCTACAGTGGACTATAGCCACGAGGCGTCTGAGTATGAAAAGAAACTCATCCAGGTCAGTCACTTTGAATCCATATAAAAATTACCTATCAGTATTTAAAGGATCATTCACTGCAATTCAGAGACATTTTCAACAGAGTGAATGTTGGCAAATGCTGGGCTTATTCTTCCAATAGAATTGTTCATAAGTGCCAGCAAACATTTACTCTGCTGAACAGGCTTCAGGTTGAAAAGCTTGGTTCTCTGTTGATTTGCCTTATACTATTGTAACCAGTGATTCAGCTCTGTTACAGTAAGATATCACTGTATGTTTAATATTACAGGTGGCAGAGATGCATGGGGAGCTGATGGAGTTTAATGAGATGCTTCACAGACAGCTCAATGCCAAGGAGGGATTTATACGGAGACTGCAGGGGGAGCTGGTAGACCTCAGAGGACCTGTAAGTTAATTCTCTGTACAGAAAGTGTGTGTGTGTGTGGGGGGGTGGGGGGGGGGGGGGGTTATTGAGATGCTTTACAGACAGCTCAATGCCAAGGAGGGATTTATACGGAGACTTCAGGGGGAGCTGGTAGACCTCAGAGGACCTGTAAGTCAATTATCTGTACAGTTAGTGTGTGTGTGTGGGAATAAGGCCCTTAGAGGAAAAATACGTAAATTCTCTATGAAGTGTGGGGGTAGGGGTGGGGGTGTTGTTGTTGTTAGGCCTTAGCTATAGAGGCCCAGTATGTAAACTCTGTACATTTTGTGTGCATTTATGGTTAGGTGTTAGGTCCTAAAGGCTCAGCACATAAATTCTTTATACATTACAAGGGGCTAGTAGCCCATGCAAATTGGTGATTTCAGAGTATGACCATTTGAAATAAGTTTGTGTTATGCAGCAATATAATTTATAATTAGAGATAATTTAGATAATGTTGCTTTTGTTTAGACAAGAGAAATACTCCTCAGTCCTGTACTAAGGTCAATCTAATTACTTCTATTTTTAGCTCCCTCAGGACTTACTCTCCGCGGGGGAGGAGACCAGTGCTGACCTGGATCAGTCAGCGTCAGGTCGGGTCAGGTCACTGGTCAACATCTGGATCCCTGCCGCCTTCCTCCAGGGAGCTGCTTCAGATGCCCACCACACATATCAGGTAAACTATACTCTGCCAAACTATACTGCAATAAGTAACTTATGCTTTGTCATGTTGTATCAGCTAAACAATACTCCATCAACAAATAGTGTATAGGAAAAATTAACCACTGACTTCATCCAGCAAACTTGCATTTAAAGAAAAGTTTATAATATTTGTTGGTCACAAATGCATGTCCTTATTAAATTCTTACAGATTTATTCATAATTTGTCATTTTTCAGATATATGTGAGAATTAAAGATGAAGAATGGAATGTTTACAAAAGATTCAGCCAATTTCATCAATTTCACAATCAAATAAAAAAGATTTATCCCAAGACAGGAAAATTTGAATTTCCTCCAAAAAAGACAATAGGAAAAAAGGTATTCTTTCAATACTAGATATGAGTATTAAGTAATTATTTTCTAACGGTGTTACCAACAAAATGTTTTTTTATTTTCAGGATGCCAAGGTTGTAGAAAATCGTCGAAAAGTGTTTCAGACGTATTTACGACTTGTCATTAATTTAGTTTTTGACAATGATAAGACCAAAGCTACCAGTGTAAACAAGGAGGTCTTCATTCAGAAGCTGCCATTTTTCAGGTAAGAAGCACATGGGCACTGCACCAAGATTAATCTACTTTAAGAGCTAGTGTACAGTAGTCATCCAATTTTCATTTGACATATTCATATACAGGTATATTTGTAGAATAAAGCTTAAGTTTATAATAAATATTTATATGCTTATGTCTTCTTTTTTCTCAGTGATAAGGCTGCAGAAAAAAATGATGCCAAGAAAGTAAAGAAAACTAGTTCCTCTTCTTCACTGTCCACCAGTCCTGGGAACCAGTCAAGCTCGCCTCAGCCTCAGTATGAGGGACTGTGATCACATGACCTTGTCTATGAAGCTGTGATCACATGACCTCGTCTAGGAAGGCAACTGTCAAAGGTCAACTTAAATGTTGTGGGCTTTAATATGTACAATTTGTGAAATCTGGACATCACATCACTGCTCTCAGAGTTTGATATTTATTGTAACTTATTTTACAATTTTAGTCATTGCTTTTTTAGCATAAGGTTGATGATTTACAAGAACATGAAATGTCTTTTGTAATAAAAGTACTCAGAAACAGGTAGTGAAACAAAATAATAATTGTGAAACACAAATGTGCTTAATTTCAATTCTTCTAAAATTAGGGCCTAGTTCTTATTTCTAATGTGAAAAATTAGTTTTCAACTTTTATTTATTACAAATCATTCTACCAGAATGTATATGTTTAAGCTACATATAAGTAGCATTTTATTTTTCATTGAAACTGTTGATGTTTGCCCTTATAATTTTATATTGACATACACGTCAGTAAAAATATTACAGAATTCTTTAAATTTGTTCCATTTTAAATTTGCCCACCAGTAAGTAAGGAAAGAGAGGAACAAGCAGGACTAAAAATTTCCCTCTTTACATTATATTAAAAAATTCACGATACCTGTGTTTATATTTAACAAGTTTTAGCGTAACTCCTTTTGAATCCTTCTGGAGTCTTCACAGTATTTGTAAATTTCTCCACAACACGATACATTTGACGTATAATTTCTCTTTTAATACATGCACTACATATTTATTTGGAATTTCAATAATACTGAAGTCATGAAATATTTGACTCCATATAGCACAGAACAATCTGATAAAAATTGACCTGAAGACCACAGACCGAGTCATCCAATCAAAGGGAGTGTGCAATATTCTGGACATCCTTTATCAGTCTGGGGGTTTGTGTTGTGATTTAAATTGATTCTTTAACTGTCTGCAGCAGCAGAAGTTTCTTAACTTTTTAAAAAATAAATTTATGTAATTTATATATACCAAAAGGATGATGTTTCTGAAAGCAAATGAGGTTTATTCCAGAGGAGATTTTTGATAAATCACCCTGAAAGAAATTCGATAGATGACTTGATTGATACATTTTTTAAGATTTGTTGGATATAGATAATGCCAATGCATAAATGTTTTTTTTTAATGAGAATGAATTTATTTTTATGAATTTTCAGATATATGAATAAGAGGTGCACATTTGTATCAAATTTGTTGAGACCCACTATGTCTTGATTTGTTTTGTTTAAAACAGATGAGCATAAATGTATTAAATTGCATTCATCATCATTGTGTATAGTTCATTGTAAAGTGTATAATTTGGACTGAAAATTTATTATTAAAACTTCTATTCAGTCAGATTACTTTATACATGTACATGTATACAGTTGCAGTTGCTCTGTACTGAACTGATAGAGCTCACAATTTACAAGAATGATATTATGATCATATGAGATAAAGTTTGCCTGCACCTCACAGCCATCTGCATAAGGTCATGACCCAGGTTATTTGCATCTCATTAGTGACACAGGAGGTTAAAGATTCTGAACCCATACTATTTTGGAATATAAATTTTTGTGTCATTGAACTTCAGAAAAAGAAGTGTCAACACTGTTTTCCAGTATTTACCATCCTAATCATGATCTTCTTAAAATGCTTTAGTGGTCTACCAACTGATCTAAAGGGTTAACCCATGAGCCCAAGCTAGTTAATCTTTAACCTGGCCACTCATTTAGAAAATTTAGATCAATTCCATATTTGGAGCAAGTGTGTCGGTGTCCATCCCTAGATGCATAATCCATGCAATTTTGTTCCAGGTAGGGCTTATAGTAATTTGGAATGGACCTGCTAGTCTACAAATCCTTTATCCTGGAAACTCATCTGGAAAATCTTGGTCCGATATAAGTGTGGTAGTGTCCATCCTAAAAGTAAAATAGGTGCACAATAGCACTATTTATCAAAGATTCTGAGATAGTCTCGTCAAATTTTATTCAGTGGAATAAGAGGAGTTTAGGATGAGATGGGTTCCCAAAAGCATAATGGGCGGATGGACACCCCCATCACTTTATACTCCAATGCTTTTCAAGCGGTGGATATAATGAATTGTTTAAATATAACAAACTGAAAGTGTTTCACAGTTTACTACACTCAAGTGTATGTTCTTGCTGATTATGTAACAGAATCACTGAAGTGTTATAGTACACATACTTATTTATGTATTCACAACAAGAAAAGCTAAATGTCACTTAGAAAAAAAGATAACAAATCTATTTTAACAGGGAACAAAATAGGAGTATCAAAAAACATGACAGCCCTGAACATAAAATTAAGCACTGCTACACGGTCTCTGGCTAGAGGTCGTCCAGAGGTTGTAGTGTTGCTGTTGAGGTAGGTACATCCTGTCCATCTTGCGGGTTTTTCCCGTTGGACACGTTTGCCGTCGTGACATCACTGTCCCTCCTCCACGCCCCTGCTTGCTCCACATCCTGACTCACGACGATTAAAAGTTCATTTTCACCGTTTTTGAGTTCTCTGTGTAAAAACGAAAACAGAGATTCCTCGTCTCCAATGGTTTCTGGGGAGTCGAGTTTGGAATCCAGGTTGTAATAAATGTTTTTTATTTTACGGATTGCGATCCAGTGTTTCCGCTTGAATGGGAAATGTAGCAGCCCCCATTTGTATTCTGACGGGGTGTTGAGGATGAATCCCTGAATGTTTTCTGGTAGAAGGCATTTAATATTCCTTAAAAAAACATGGAAAAACGTATAAGAGAAAAAAAGATGATTTTGTCACAAAGTTATACAGTACCCTTGAAGAGATGTAAAGCAGGTATAAACATATACCTGTAGACCATCAGAATTTTCTTAACATAATTATAACAATTTTGAACAAAGCTACACAATCATTCTTTTCTATTATACAAAGATATAAATAACCTAGTGTAAGGGTATGCTAGCCATTGTCACAATTCAAGGAGCTTGAACACCAAAGAACCCCATATGTTTGAAATGGAAAATCATTTACCTTCTCACTGATCATCCTCACAAATCCAAAGATTAAACCCCATCTCCCTGTCAAGAAGTGAGCTAGTTACCCATAAAATACAGAACTCTAGTACCGGCATCTCAAAAACTTATATCTTGTATATGATGGATATGTCAAAATTACCCTCAAGAGCTTGAATCCCAACGAGACTGGGACACAGGAGTCGGCAGTTTTATCAGTAAACTCAGAAATGAAGTCAAAATCAGTAAAAACCAAGCCATGAGCTTCGCTTACAAAGTGAGCACAGCGAACAGGAATGCAATGCGATTTTTTGCATTCTTGTTCACTTCGTGAGCGAAGCTCATGGCTAGGTTTGTACTGATTTTGACTTTATTACTGAGTTTACTGATAAAACTGCCAACTCCTGTGTTCGGGATAACAACTAAAAAAGGTTTGACTATAATTTAAATACATGTACGAAAATAAACTCACTTTCTTTTATCGAACCATACAGTTTCACAATTTTTTGTCTGGATAGCTGCCATTAAGACATTGACATCGTAATTTCCCAGGCCCAGCAAGCTGCGATGGGGATTAATGAAATTATCTGGAGACAGTCTGAAATGACATAAAAGAGCTATTGAATTTCCAATCAATTAAAACAGGAAATGAAAACAGGCAAAGGTCCTGATGAGGATTTGAAGCTGGGCCCCAAAATCTTTAGACAGGTGCTCTGCCCATTGAGCTTTCTTATCTGACATCACTAAACAAGCCTGCTGTGACTGTGACTATACATGTACCTCAAAATTAACATGAATGAGACGAATAATACTGAAAACACAAGGACTTGAGACAATAGTCCGAAATATCTGACGTTTTTCAGGCTTTTTCGCGATTTTGATATTTTACATGCCAGGAAAATGTCAGAACTGATGTGATTATGAAAACTGGGAAATTCGCCGTCTCCGACCAAAGCCTGTATTTGATACTATCAAACCGAATTAAATGCTGAACTTACAAATTATCAATAGCACAATGCCTCTTGTACTCGTCAATATCAATGAAAAGAAAACATCACTCCGCATTTCCATATAGGTCTTGCAAGATTTTAAAATGCAACAAAACTTGTATGCAAAGTATTCTCATCAGACTGAATATTTTATAAATCACCAATTAAAAATGATGTTGGTGAGTACCTAAGGCATTGTACCATTGATAAATTGTGAATTCAGCATTTAATTCGGTTAGCAAGGATCGAAAATCACCCGAGAATGCTGCCTCTAGGTGGAAGTGGCGAATTCCCAGTTTTCATAATGGTGGTGGTTCTGACGTTTCCTGGCACGTAAAATATAAAAATCATGAAAATGCCAGGAAAACGTTGGATGTTTCAGACTAATGAGACAATTGCTAAGATTTTCCATGTCCCTGTGAATGAGACGCATTAAAAGAGCAACATCAGATGAAACATTTTATTATTTTTTTAATTTATTTAAAGTTGAAATACACAGACTTTCATACCTGAGACAGATGTCGTCCAGGTCTTTTTTACAGAAGGCATTCTTATCTTGGAACAGGTTGTTCAAGGCGTGTAGAGCACACAGTTCCTTTACCTGCCGCTCATGGTAAATAGGTAGCTCAGTATCGTCTGACATCTTACCACCACACGAGTAAGATCCGCCCATAACAACATTCGGGCGCCCTAAGCAGCTTATTTCTTTGCTCTCTGGCCCATCACCACCAACTACAGGGTCAAGTGCCGTCTAGTTTCAGTTTGTACCACTCGATGAAACTGTTCACGTTCAACGCCTTTGTGGCAATTTATCAATTTTATGATGACATTAATTTCAGAATATGCTGAATATATATGGAAAACAGCTTTTAAGTACTTAACTACATCAATGTGGTCTTTTTTGCTTAAAAACATCGATTTTCGTAAAAATAGGAGACGATGAGATGGAATGCCGATCCCGAGCTGTTTGGGCTGGATATTTTAAAATTCAAAGTACTAAAAGTACTGATAGGCGGAATTGTTCCAATCATTCAAGAGTGAATGAGAAATCTTTTTTTAAATTAGACATCGTTAATTTTAAAAGCAATTTTCAAAATTCTCAAACATTATCAAAGGCATTTTTCAAAGTTTTAACAATTAATAGTTTAATTTCAAAGGCATTGTTTCAAGGTTTCGTAAATATAAAATTGTAAAGCTGTTGTTAGGTATTGCTAGGTATTGTAAAATAGATTCTAGATTTACTAATTTTATCTAGTAAATGTACCCAATACCTAGTAAAAACTACTTTTAAGGTAGTGATTGTGTGGACAGTAAATCTACTAGTCTTCTAATCTTTGTGTCTTTTTCAAGTTATTTTTTCATTGTATGTCCGAGTCTTCAGGTGACAGATATAGGTACATTTGGCGTTTATGCCAGCCAATTGTTAAAAAAAAATAGACAGTTATTTCATATATACCAAATCATTCCACAAGTATCATCTCGATACAGAGAAATAAAGGATTGATTATACTACAGCATCTCAATCAAACCATACACTATTAAATTTTGGAAGAAATTACCTGAAGCTATCAAGCAAAATCCTTCGTTATCATATATATACAGAACACCATCTATTCATTCATATTTACATTTGCAAATGTTTTACCTTATATAACACTATTTGAGCAATGCGTTTTTACATCTCTGTAAAACACGTTCGTCATGTGACTATAAAATGATTAAGTCATAAGCGATCTACGTAATTTCATAGTGACGTCATAAGCGTTCGACTTATCAACACATTCAATTTATACCGTTGAGTTTTTTTGTTTGTTTTTTTTTAAAACCTTTATGGATTTAGAACTTACGTACCTTACTATTTGTAATAAATCAGTCACAAATGTAAATATAAGTAATAATGTATCTTTTTTTTTTTTTGAGTTTTATTGGGATGTAAAACGGGGTTGGCACATCCATAATGGCGGCTCAAATCTTATATACATAAAGCCCCTTGGGCTTTATAAAATGATTAAGTCATAAGAATAATTTCATAGTGACGTCATAAGCGTTCGACTTATCAACACATTCAATTTATACCGTTGAGTTTTTTTGTTGTTTTTTTTTAAAAACCTTTATGGATTTAGAACCGTTTACTATTTGTAATAAATCATCCAAATGTAAATATAAGTAATAATGTATCTTTTTTTTTTTTTTGAATAAAAACTTGGCAAAAAATCTTTCATAATTGGGCTTTATGGGAATTGATCCTTATTTCTTAAAAATGTTTTAAATTGTGCAAATCATAAACCACTCAATTTTTTATACATGAAAATGTAAGGAACTATAGTCTGTGCATTGTAAAAAAGGAAGAAGTAAACACACTTTTGAAAATTGTATATTAAACATATATAAGCAATGATAAGATCATAAAAATGCAGGCCCTATGCAGTCATTGACAATGGAGACTATTTAAAGATGACTTTAGAATGGCAGTACATAGAATCGAAGAAAAATCTGCAAAAAAAGGAACAAAAGTAAATAATTCTAATAAAATTTATACAGTCAAGCCTCATTATCCAGAATTCAATGGTTTGGAGAAAAAACACAAGGGATATCCAAGGATTAGAGATATCTGTGGTAAAATACTTCCAAATTACTTGACAAATCCATTAAATCGGTGTGGTTAACTGTATCTTATTAAAATCTAGAAAATTGTACATACATGTATTCAAACTTTATATGACGACATTAAGCCTCATGTGGTGAAAATAACCAATGAAATTTAAAATAAAATTTTCACTTACCGGTGAGGTTATGCTTTGTGACATGTCTCTGGTCGTGAATCAAATATCGAATTAGAAGCGCCATCAATATGGACGTCTGAGATGATGTATGTCATTGCAGAGTAAGCTGGAAATATATAGACAACAGAATAAAGATGTGTTTATGGGTTTGGATATTAAATATGACATTAAAAGAAACTCATAACTTATCTGGAGCAAAGAAATATGAAAATTATTATCTGAAAATTAGTGTATCAGGAGTAGGCGCCTAAATCGTATATTTATTTCTATTTTCTAGTAACGGTAATGTAACAAAACCTTTCCCGTTCTCTCTAGATCTTCTTTAAGGGAAAAGCAAAGTGATATCTGAGTTAAACGCGTACGTGTTTTCGACGATGAACCAGATCACACTTCTTTTTTTAATTACCTCCATTCAGAAACCCGTGTTCTGCCTCCAGCACTGGAATACACTTTCCTGGAGTTGTCTCTGTTAGCATACGATAATTGATGACGTCAGTTCCGGGAATGGAGAACCGCCAGGTTTGTATGTTGAGGGGTTTTCTTGGAGACCCAACATAACCGGATGATACGAGTTTTGCATCACCTTTAGTAAAATAACAAATTAACAGTATAAAGGAATTGTAAATTGAAGTAAAGTAAGGAAGCCTATTGGAACTTAGACTCTACAACATTTGTGTTTGGCTAAATATCTTACCAGAGATGCATTGTTCCTGGATTGAAGCATTCATGTGACTTTCAACACAAGCGCTTCCGTCTATTTTAAACACTCTATGCTGTTTAAAATTTTAATATATATATTAATATTATGCTTTCATAGTGTTGGCATCTCAGTCAATAGTTTTATTTTTAAAATGTCTGTAGACCTACCTTGGCGAAGTCGGCTATTTCGGTGTGTGTCAGGTGCCCGCCATTGGGCAGAATCACACCTGTTTCCGTCCTAGTCCTTTGTGTGACATAATCAAAGTAAAGTAAAACTCGGTTCTACAATTTAAAAAAAATTCATTTTCGCTAATCTATCTCGGTACCATCAATGTTTCAAAAATCTAAAACCCTAGAGCTTTATAGACTTAAAAATACCAGCAACGGGGTTAAGATTGCATTTTTCTCGCAGAAATCGGTGCACATCATATATAATTTCCAAGTTTTATACTTCGGTTGTGAGAGGAACGTTTTAGAATTTTAGAAATTTTGTCACATGTACACAAAGATTTGTAAAATGATGAAGCAACTGATTTCACCTACGTCAACAAAATGTGGCCCGCTGTTACTAAGGAAGCCACCCGTAACGTCCATGTTACACCGGAAGTTGGTGGGCACGCAGCATCTATGATCCGATGTTGGAGTACTTCCCGCCAGAAAACTCTGTAAATAGCAAAGGTGTATTAGGATGATCCACTGGTGTGTCCGAGACATCGAGGAGCTTGTGGGTTAAGTTTATGACGCGAGGACTGACCCTCAAGTTACAGTGTATCAAGTGCACTGATAAGGACTGCATGAATTGTTTTGAAAAGTTCTGAATTCCGTGATACATATCAAACCATGACATGAATTTCTCGCAACAAAATAGGTCAGCTATTGCTTATTTAATTGATACCTCAGTGCAGCAAAGATAGTGAAAAGATACTTTTTATGCAAATATCAGTCAATGTTGCAAAAGGTGCGAAAAGTATTTGAAGTTTTCCTTTCAAGTATTTTAGAGATGTACTTTAAGAAACTTCCTTATAGTACATGGCGAGTGTTATCTTTTCAATGTTTGAATGTATTTTAGTGAATATAAAGGTAGCAACTGGTCAGTATGCAACCGACTCTACTCAGCCCTTATCGAGATCAAAATCTATCGATGCACTTATTACATGTGACATCACCACCATCTCGGTGTCTTTTCGGCAAAATCCTCTATATATATGAACACCAATCTTTCATTTGCAAAGTTAGACTAATTGGTATGCGTTGTTTGTCATATATATACATCTGCTCTGTTAGGCCATTGTCGAAAACCACGGCCAAAATGAATGATCCTCTCTCATTCTTTTCGGGTAGGAGAAAGAGCAATGTTTGTTTGTTTTGTTTTACGCCCCTCTCGAAAATCTTTCAGTTATATGGAGACGCCAGCTCTTGCTGATGGAGGGCTGCAAATTAAGATCAACCATCGGAACTCGGGGCCATTAAGCAGTAGCAGGATCTTTTTCGAGCTCTCCAGTCTGATACGTCCTATTTTACATTACAACACCAACCCAAGCTCTGTCCTAATAAACATTATAGCAGGTCACGCACTTGTTTGACATACATGTTTGTCATACCTCATACCACCAACCCTAGTCCAGACTTTTGTTTGACATCACATAATGTACACATAATGTAGCCTCATGTAACTAGTGCTAGCTTTGCTTTGATTGACTTCAAATCCCACGCTAGCTCCGTCCTATTCACAGGCCTTTCGATCGCTTAAAAAATTGTGTGTAAAAAAAAATATTTTTTTTTTCAACACCTAAATTTTTATTCTGAGCGATTTAAAGGCCTGTGGTCCTATTACTGGGCTGTGTGACGTCATCACCCTCTTAAACAAAGCACTCTCTCTTACCCCGTCCTGTCATCACACCGTCTACTTTAGTGCGGGGGAAACTGCACTGAAAGAAAAACCTAGTGAATTTAACTAGTGTGTTTCGTAAAGCGTTGGTGGTGATTAGTAAACTTTCAGTTTACTGGTTAAGATAGTGAGTTGTGGAGCGGGGGTCGTATAGATACTTAGATACCTAGTGAAAGTTACTCATCAATTCTAAATTTACTAATGTTATCTAGTAAATATACCAATATCTGGTATAAAACTACTATTAATTTAGTGATTGTATGGACAGTGAATCTACTAGTTTTCTTCGTGACATTAACTAGTTATTTTTTTTACAGTGTGTAGCTTCATTAAGTTTTTAAAAAAAATGTAGAGCTACAATCCCATTAGAGACTTCCAATGATCAACCATGACCATGTCTAATCATGTGACAAACACGTGTTTTTATTGTTTCAATACCGTAATTATAGGTTATCTCTGCGACGCATATTAGATCATAAAGATGACCTTGGGGAACTTATTATCACACTGTACCTAGATGATTTGATCGATCAACAATTATAGTTATAGTTCTTTTGTTTTTTGGTGGAGACTGCTAGTGACATGCCTGGAACTGGAAACCTGCTCATTTTTTCACATCATCAGGGACATAAAAAACATTAGAAAGAGGACATTGGATGCAAATATATAATTATAGTATCAAGCTGGAGAGCTATGACGTTTTGATGTCGGTTCCGATCATATTTTCACCATGACCACTCTGAACTTAAAATTCAATGATGACCAAAAAGATTATAGACAATAAGATATAGACAATATTTATGGTTATTACAAAAACTAAAGAACTAGATTTTCATATTATTATTTGAGCCATATCAGTTTTTATCAACCTAGGGAGTCACCCGCGTGGCGCAGTGGTTAGAGCGTCTGCTCTAGAGTCGCGAAGTAAGGAGTCATGCAATCCTTACGTCGCGAGTTCGAATCCCACTGTGGGACCTCTCATTCGCATGAGACCGTATAAACCGAGGTCCCGTGTTGCAATAGGTGCTGGCACGAAAAAGATCCCTCACTGCTCAATGGCCCTAAGTGACGAGCTTAGAACAAAATTTGCAGCTCTCCATCGGAAAGTGGTGGCGTCTCCATTATGAGTAAAAAATTCTCGAGAGGGACATTAAACAATATACAATCAATCAGCTGAATGATGTACGACACACTCACTGTTGATTCGAGTTATACAAATATCCAGGTGACAAATTCCTCATGTGTTGTACACTCGAACGATATGATTGACAAATAATTGTTTTTCCAAGTCAATTTTCTTTAATTACAAAGGTTAACAAAGAACAACAAATGTGACATTTTAGGATCCCGTGGCGGGGGTGGTTGGGATAGGTCCACAGGCCGTCTGATCGAAGGTGAAGACCTCGGGCTTCGTCAGGCCTTTGGTGAAGTTAGAGAAGAATAAAGTCAACTGCTCAGGTGCTGTGAATAAAGAAATATTTCTTAATGTAAGTGACACTGTAAGATTTGTGTGACATGTTATTCAAACTTTGCTCATTAATAGCAGTATACCCAGTATGATAATAGCAATTGCCAAGAATTAAAGCAGTTTTGCTTTTTGAATAGATGCTACCATCCTCACATTGTCAAAGTTTTGTGATTTAGAAACTAATTTCGAATATTACACAATCTTGACCTTGTGACCATATGACCGTGCACTTTCCTTATTGGCCTCAGTCGATCTTATTAAGCAGCAGGAATTTACATATATTTTTTTTTTTTGTTAACGGAGATGATACATTTTTACCTGGTACATGTATATACACTTTTATTTTTTTAAAGTAGGTTTTCCATCATAAAACTAAACATAACTAGTTCTAATTGTAACGGGGACCGTTACAGATGTTCCCCAAACGCTCCCCAACTCCCTTTTTATGCCATTTTACCTGTAAGACTTTTTAAAAATATGCTCAGTATTAAAGGATTTCATCATATAATTATCAAAACTACAATGATATCCACTATATCTCATTTAACGTATTGCATGCGCACGCACATGCAAGCTAATAATGGCATGTTGTCTAAACCATTAACATATCTGTTTATCGCGAGAATTGATAAAAATATCATAAAAATATAAATGTTACTGTTTTTCAAATATATTTGTTATTTTACGTATTGCGCGTGCGCACGGGCATGTATGCATGTCCTTGAATTTAAATTTGATAGATGCTTAATGTAGAAATCCATTATACCTATTCATATTCTGAATTTCATCTCGTTTCGTTGAGAACTAAGAAAGTTATAGACATTTAAAGTTTCAGCCAATCAGATTGCAGCACACGTGCATGCACATGCTTTCATGATAATTCTTATTTATCATACTGTAGATCTTCAAAGTCTATGAATACATTCAAAATTTCAAAGGATTTTGTCAAAAAACGAGAAAGATATTGAGGTTTTAGTTTCAGCCAATCAGAGCGAGGTGCACGTGCATGCGCGTGAGTTCTTGCTATTTTGACCATGTCATCATGTCTATACTACTAATATATACTTTTATGTTGAGTTTTTAAGTATATAATCAAAAAATAGAAAAGTTACGGCTATATCTATTATATTGGTCATTTCACGTGTTGCACGTGCACGCTCTTGCAAGCACGTGCGCGCAAAATTAGCTTCATTCCACAAATCTACATAACATGCCTACTGACCCTAAAAAGGTTTTACCTAAGTTAGATGTGTAGTTTACAAGATCACTCCGGGACAAAAAAGTACCCAGGAAGAAGAAGAAGAAGAAGAAGAAGAAGAAGAAGAAGAAGAAGAAGAAAAATAATAATAACTAGAGCAAAGCTCGTTGCAAAGCAACGAGTAGGTCTTCCGTCCTGTTTGACCGGAAGTAGCTTCAATTTTTAACAAAAAATAAGAAATAACGCCTAAAAATGGTTTGAATCATCTAAAGCTATGTTGATTAATGCAGAAATAAGCAATTTTTGCTACTTCCGGTTAAACCGGAAGTGAAAACGACGGACGAAAAATTAAGTTTTAGGCTTCCAGTGACATATGTTACCCCAAAACTTGTCAAGAATGGCAAAAATACGCGTTTTTCGACTACTTCCGGTTTGGCCGGAAGTGACGACACCGGCGGAAGTGACAACAACGGACAGAAAATTAAGTTTTAGGCTTCCAGTGACATATGTTACCCAACACTTGTCAAGAATGGCAAAAATACGCGTTTTTAGACTACTTCCGGTTTGGCCGGAAGTGACGACGCCGGACGTATTATTTTGACTACAGTAGATTAATCTTGACATTTTGAACAACTTTGCTTCTTTGAGGTGTTACAAATTCTCAATACTTTTTGAGATATACAGGAAAAACTTTCGGCCCCCCTTGGCCCTTAATTTTAGGAGCCAGCCCTTTTTTTGAGATATCACTTGAAAGATCTTTAAATTCTACACTTCTTTTGTTCTACATGCTTTAACAAAATATTTCTGGATAAAAAGTTATCGTAGAAAAGGTGTTAAAAATTTTGAAATTCTTGATAGGACTGTTTTCGGACCATAGCCAGCGTCGGCGCTTCGTACTTCCGGTGGTTGAGATATACCAAATACATATCTCCAAAGGTTGCACTATCAGCACTGAAAATTTCCTGCTTCTGCGTTGAGTTCTTTTTGAGAAAACTGCCGGACAAAATGACCCTCTAAAACTCACTAAATCGCGAAAAACTCTGAACCGGAAGTGACGTCATCAAATTAAAAAGAAAACGTCTTAAGTTCATATCATTTGTCATCAATGCTGAAAGTTTCATGAAAATCCATCGACGCATTTACGAGAAATCGCGTGCACAAAATCGGTAAGAATAATAATAACTAGATGAGATCTCGTTGCTAGCAACGAGAGGTCTTCCGTCCGATTCCGAATTAAAAACACCAAAAATCGAGATGAAAAAGTGATAAAAAAAAATTCGGATATTCGGGGGAGCGAACCCGGGTCGCCCGCGTGACAATCCAACGCGCTACGTATTCAGCCATTGAAAACACCGCTTCAAATATTTAAATGCAAATATCTCGAGATTGCCCTTTTCAATTCTTAAACAAATTACATATTTCTCATTCGCATAAGAGTCACTTTTAAGATAATTAAAATCGTAGAAAAACATTTGAAAACAAAAAAAAATGAAAAAAATGCACTTTTTAATTTCGCTTCCGGTAGCGACCGGAAGCACCGACGACGCAGGAAATTGGGCTTACGCACATCTAATAACCATGCCCTATGCTCTTAGATAAGTCTCCAGTTCATATTCTCAGCCATTTTCGAAAAAAGTGCGCGACAAAATCGCATTTTAAAATCAGGAAACTGGCCATAACTTGGCACCAAAAGCGAATTATCAAATTTCCTCCCAGATGTATCAAGTTCATATAGATGCGCATAATTTCTGAAAATTTCATTGAAATTCATTGAATGGTTGCTGAGAAATCGCGTGCACAAAATTTTGGAAAAAAAATAAGAAAAATAATAAGAAACAGTAGAATAACTATAAGGTCTTCCGTGAAGACGGAAGACCTTAATAAGAAAAGTAGAAAAGAAACAACAGAAAAATAAGAAGGTCTTCCGTTGAAACGGAAGACCTTAATAAGAAACAGAGTAAAAACAATATGTTCCCCAACTTCGTTTGGGGAACATAACTACCTGTAGGATACCATTCGAAATTGTTAGGAACTTAAGGAGACTTGTACTAGTGTACTGCTATTGTAGATAATCTGATTTACCTCCCCCTATGGCTCCGACCAGAGACTCCATGATGGGGATACAGGAGCCGTCCGCCGTGAGGACAGCCTTAACGCTGATTCCCCCCAGGTCCAGCTGGAACGTGTTGACGGCGATGTGGTGACCCGGAGACCCCATCACTGAGCTCCCCACATAGGTGGCGTGAGCTGTCATAATAAATTATTAATCGAACACTGTTAGCTCACAAATAAATACTGTACACTGCTGAATTGATTGTCTTCAATGTTTTAGCATGAGAAAAGGGTAGAGTGAAGCTTGGAATGTTTGAATAAATTAAAAGAAATACATTATTACAAAAATTGTAATATCTATAATTTTAAGATTGCGTAAACAAAGATTAATAGGTGTTTTAAATACTCTTTCAGTTGCCTTTTCAATAGCCTTTTCTCATTGAGGATAAATTACAATCTAAAAGCGTTTTCATGATGTTCAAGTGATGAAAATAAGTTATGGCTGCACTCGGACAAATTATTATTGATCGATTTCTCACTGAGTCATTACACGGTGAGTACAACTGACAATGACTTGTACTCACTTAGTTGACAGGGGTCCTGTAGAGGGAAGGTGGGGGCTCCTACTGTGTAGCAGAGGCCGTTAGTGAAGGAATAAGTAACGTTCTGGAATACAGAAAATCACTTTTTCAAAAAATAAAGCTCTGGTGATATTACAGATTTTACATTTTCCGACTAGAAAAAAAAGTACTCTTAAAATTGAAGTAGACATGAGACATGTATTTTTATGAAAATTTTAAAGCCATAAGCCTTGTACTATTGATATTGTACACACCGCTTTATAGTCGTTGACTACTTTATACGGGAATGTCCCGGTAGGTAAAGTCACAGTGCCCTCTACGTAAGTTCTTTTGTTAGTGTAGTCAAACTGGAGAAAAAGCTGTTGCTGTTGGAAGAAAAAAGGACAAACTATATTCAGAACCTTAGAAATAAACTCAGCGTTATTCGACGAAGACAGAACTTCTTTAATCAGTTTATATGCAAAAATCTTTCAAATTGTTGATTTTTATTATATGGACACTATTAATTCAAACTTAATACTTTGTTTTAAACTGAACTATAGCTATTTTTTATTCATTTTTTTAAAGAAGGCTTTTTCAAAAGGTACATGATACACCTCAATAAGATTTAATCTTCATAGAAGAAAATACAAGATGAACTTAATAAATTCCACGATAGATGGACACAAAACAGTCTGACTTACATCAATAAATTTACTTCCTGACGAACCGGCGGCGACCTGTCCTCCTGTTTCGTCAATATTAGTAGTGAACTGATTACCTATACAGCAAGGGGCAGGAGTAGACGCCCTGCCGAACACCACGGGGAGAACAGAAATCAACAGAAATGCTAGATACATCGTAACAGGAGATGCCAGAAATAAAATAGATCAAATGTAGTACAACTGACGGAGATAATAGGAGAAAGATAAGGAAAAATCACTCCCCGTCTGCGTAATACTGGGAAAAGACCAGACTTATGTGTTGTAATTGTCATATATCAAACGTCATTACTTTTTACTAACTGTTACACTTTAAAATTACCACTATTTTGAGGTCAATGCGACAATTAAGGTACTATAACCGCAGAGGTTAATAGGTGAATATTGTTGTTGGAGTACCTCTAAATACAATTTGACTTTTGTGAACCTTTAATTTGCGGGGTGGGGTGGAGTTGTTGTGTTAACTGTTTGACATCTGCTCTTTCAAAATCACCTCTGACAAAGTTGCCCTGTGAGTAAAATTTTTACCCGTATCTGCTTTTTCTCAACAACCCTTCTTTAAAATTGGAGTTATTAAAAGGAAATTTAATTTTTTAAAGGGACCATGTGGCTTCAAGGACCAGGAGGACACGCAATATATAAGCATGCATTAGTTCTTTGTTACTTCTTGGTTGAAGGTCTTTGTAGGAATTGTAGGAACAAACGATAGATTTAGAACATGTTTTGCCAACGTGCACTTTAACATAATTCTAGAGTACAATGTCCTTATCTTCTGGAAACTTTGTGTTGCAATAGAAGAACCTTGTGCTATAACTATACTCTTAGCAATAAAACAAGTACATATAGACGTAACATTTCGGCCGTATTATTCACCCATTCTTTTGTCTCCTGATAAGACCTCCAGACTTCTTACAGAACTATCAAAGAACCATTAAACAACTATAATAGACATGGTCAGACAGTCCCTCCTCCTGCTGGTGGCCCTGGTCGGCACCACCCTCGCCGCTAACCCAACCCCTTGCTGCGTCCATCATCAGTTCACAGCGGACCTGCTGGAAGTTGGAGGAAAAATAGACCCCAAGACTGGAACGCCTGAACCAATTACTGTAAGTACACAGGGTAAACCAATCACTGTTAAAGGTAGGGCTGAACCAATTACATTATACCAATAATTGAAAAAAAGTAACTATACTGAACTGTTTACTGTGACAGAAGGACCAAGGTCATTGTGAACAATGTGAACAAATTACTGTGAACAGAACAAATACCATCAATATGACTGATCAAGAAACATGTGTTAATTGCTGGCATTCCATAATGATAGTATGGATTTAGATTAATTGACTTTAAGAGATTCCTTGTCATAATTAATACAGATGTAGACTAAAATCCGATAGAAACAATATGCTGTAATAAAAAGAGCCTGTGAGAAAGTCTTTTAAATATTTCAGATCTCCAAAGCCGAGATTCCTATAAATCCGCGCAAGAAACTTTAAGGGAACCATTACCAGGGTAGTCTTCCTCAAAACCACCATTTTCTTATATTCGACATTTTCTCATGATATGCCTTTTTATTGCTCTTTGAAAGTTCTAATTAAGGGGGCCGACTATAGTTTTATTATGTAAAAACTACAATAGCGAAACTCTTCATCTTTATACCATCTATAGCTTACATTAACTTCAGTGTACATGCAAAGTTTGGGGGAAATCTACCGTCCAGGTATTTTTGAGGGACCGTCTCAAAATACAGGTACATTTACTATAGGATTATATAGGAAAATGCCAATTTTTAGCACTTTAAAGCAAATTATACAAATACTACAATAGACATTTTGTTTAAACTATAATATTTGATGAGTAATACTATATTATACAATATATCTAAGAAACACAAAATTCTACCGTCTTGCTACTAGAGGGGGCATCTCAAAATGCTAAAAATTAGCGAATTTTACTATCTTTATAGAGTATTACTAAATATGACGAACACAATGGATTCACATGAAAACATAATAAAAAAATTGGAGATATTCTCAAATTTCTATGTTTTGAATTTCAAGAGCATATGTTTATTACTTTTTCTTAAATAATATTTTTATTACCCCTTTCTTTAATAGCTACAGATTATCATAACGTCAAAAACACACTGCAACGACGTCAACCTACCTATCAATTGCAAAATCCGTTAAAAAATCAGTTATATCAAAATGTAATTACATATTTGTACCTATGATTTCTTAATTTTGTTTAATTTTAATAATTTAGCAAAAAAGTTGCATTAAAACAGTAAATACGCTTCATGTTATTATGATGCGCGAAATATTGCGCAATGGAAACTATAGTCGGCCCCCTTAACTATCATTGGGTGCTGCTTCAATTTTGTTTTATTTTGCAGCTCGACTTTTTAGAATTCAGATGCCTAATACTTTAACTCTGGTTTAACCAGAATAGCCAGTATATCATCGAAAAACAATCAGACAATAATATGGAAGTCAATATGAAAACAATGTTAATAGCCAGCTTAATTTTACAGATTCAGTCCAAGCTGTACTACGATTATGACGCCAAGAAACAGCGAGTAGACAGAGTGGTGGAGAATGATGACGGGACGACATACAACCTCACTGTATACGTCGATTATAAAGAGGTACGCGATCCTATACATACAGCCTCACTGTGTACGTAATCCTAGACATACAACCTCAATGTGTTCGTCGATTATAAAGAGGTTTATGATCCTAGACACACAGTCATACTGTGCACGTGATCCTAGACATACAGTCATACTGTGTATGTGATCCTAGATATATATACAGTCATACTGTGTACGTCGATTATAAAGAGGTATATGATCATAGACATACAACTTTACCGTGTACTTCGATTATAAAGAGGTATGTGATCCTAGACATACAACCGTATTGTAAACGTGATCCTAGACATACAACATCACTGTGTACGTAATCCTAGACATACAACCTCACTGTGTACGTCGACTATAAAGAGGTACGCGATCCTAGACATACAACCTTACTGTGTACGTCAGTTATAAAGAATCCTAGACATACAACCTCACTGTGTACGTCGACTATGAAGAAGTACGCGATCCTAGACATACAACCTCACCGTGTACGTTGACTATAAAGAGGTACGCGACCCTAGACATACAACCTTACTGTGTACGTAATCCTAGACATACAACCTCACTGTGTATGTCGACTATAAAGAGGTACGCGATCCTAGACATACAACCTCACTGTGTATGTCGACTATAAAGAGGTAAGCGATCCTAGATATACAACCTTACTGTGTACGTCGATTATAAAGAGGTACGTTATCCTAGACAAAAGACCTTTACTGTTTACGTTGTCAATAAAGAGCTCGAGGTAGGTAATGTACAGTATATGATCCTAGATATACAACCTTATTATGTACGTGATCCGATTTATACCTGTGTATGTCGATTATAAAAGAGAAAGGTAGTAATTCTAACATACAGCCTTACTGTGTACGCCGATTGTCAAGGAGCACGTGCTCCCAGACAAACGATCTCACTATGTACGTGATTCTAAACATACAACCTCATTTTGTACGTGATTCTAAACATACAACCTTAATGTGCACGTGATCCTAGACATACAACCTCAGTATGTACATGATCCTAGACATACATGTACATCCTTACTGTGTATGTCGACTATCAAGAGGTGGGTAATGTACATTACATGATCCTAGATATACAACTTTACTGTGTTCATGAATCTATAGACATACAACCTTACTGTGTACGTCGATTAGAAAGAGAAAGGTAGAGATTCTAGACATACAACCTCACTATGTACGTCGATTATAAGGAAGTACGTACTCCTAGACATACAATTTTCACTGTACATGTGGGTTATTAGGAGGTAACATACATTACATGATCCTAGACATACAACTTCATTTTATATGTGATCTCAGACACACAACCTCACACTGTACGTCGATTATAAAGATATGGGTTATGTACATTTCGTGATCCCAGACACACAACCTAACTTTATACGTCATCCTAAAATTATAAACTTACTTTTTACGTCGATTATTAAAGGGTTGTCCATATACATTACGTGGACCTAGACATACAACCTCAATGTGTACGTCGATTATAAAGAGGTAGGTAAATGTACATTACATAATCCTAGACATACAACCTCACTTTATACGTGATCCTAGACGTACAAACTCACTGTGTATGTCGATTACAAAGATGTAAGTGATATTATAGTAGTCATAAATTCAACCTACAACCTCACTTTGTACGTTGACCGTAAAGAGATGGGTTACATGGTCATAGACATACAACCTCACTGTAAGATACACTATAAGTCAACTAAGCAGACACTTATCTCATAGCAAACAGATGAGTTTGAAGAAAGCTCATGTAAGAAAATAATGCTTATCGGTTTTTTTTTCTTTCAGCAAATAGCGCGCTCTATTGTTTCGGGAACTTGTTATGTAACTCGTCTTCACAATCAACCAATGCAAGAACCGTGTGTACCCGGTAAATAATGTCGTCTTACTGTATATTTTGTTGATTTTCTTATACTTAAAGAGTATCTATTTCAGAAAATAAGTATTTCTTGATATCTGTTAATAGCGACATCTACATTCGTGGAGTCCCGTATATTGGGACCTGCTAGTAATGGCGTCAGAGTCAACTCCTTCGTCGCCGATCTTACAAAGGCCGCTAACATCACCATGAAGATCTCTGTTACAGCAGACGACTGTACCCCCATCTCGGCGTCATCGTACGGCGTCATTGAAGGAGGTAATGCCGAATCATCTCTTATGGAGCTGATGTGATTGTCGATCAAAATAATAAAATTCTAATTAAAAGTAGCATTAATTTTATCTACATTTTTTAAATGTACTGACGAGTTTTTTTTTATAAACATAATCATTTATTTTTTTCCCCTTCTTTTCCCCATTTTCAGCTATTGAGGAGATCACATATTTCTTCACAAACCTAGATTACAGTTTACCTCATCACGTGTTCCATATTCCCGCCTCTTGTCATGGTGTTCACGTAAGTTTATCTAATCACGTGTCCCATATTCCCGCCTCTTGTCAGTTTATCCAATCATAACTCATATTCCCGCCTCTTGTCATTGTGTTCGTGTTAGTTTACCTCATCACGTGTCCCATATTCCCGCCTCTTTTCATTGTGTTCGCATCAGTTTACCTTATCACGTGTCCCATATTCCCGCCGCTTGTCATTGTGTTCGCGTTAGTTTACCTCATCACGTGTCTCATATTCCCGCCTCTTGTCATGGTTTTCATGTTCGTTTACCACATTATGTGTTCCACGTAACGTTATCTGATCAGATACAACGACGTCTTTCATCTATTCTCCCCTGTTTTCTTATCTATATCAGATCAATTTTAAAACTAAGCAAGTTATGAAAATTGACAAAGAAGTTGATATAACAAGGATATAAAGTAATTGTTTCGCAAGTTCCTTTGCCGATATACAATGACCTTGTCAGCAAATTCCGTACGTATATTTATAAACGAAGAGGGGATGAGCTTTTAATTTACAAAATATTATTACAATTTATTGACCAAAGATCATGATCAAAATAAATAAGTATAAAGAACACGGGGGAGTACATACACTTTAGTTTCTTTCCTATTCAAGTGTTAATATTAATTGATTTAAATGTCATTCAATTGATTTAACTAAATGTGCTTGTAAAAACCAAATCAGATACATGTATCTTGCCAGACGCAAATTAATTAATGTTACCTGTTTCTTTTTTGTAGAGTCCACCCGTTGGCCGTGACATCAAGCTGCCCTATTTCCTGCAAAGATCTTTGAATCCTCAATAAAATGTTATGTTACTAGATTTTGTTTAATTTTTTTCTTTAATAAATATTAAAGTGAAATAAATTTTAAAATTCTTAAAAACAAAGACTTTTTTTTCGATTACAAATGAGCTTAATTAATGTAATTTCAATTAAATTAAAACCACATTTAATTTCTTTTTAGTAGCTACAACATTTAAGCTCTTTGACATGTCATACAGTTTTATCTTATAATTATGTGAGTGAAAGACAAAATGTTGTAATCAAGAAACCATTATATTGCGGATACTATGTATAATGAGATAAAATTTAAATAACCAAAACTGAAAAATATAAAACCTTAATTTAAACCTAACACCCTTTACTTAACATGCTCAGGCAGCTCTGGTCCGTCACTGGCGATCCTTACAATAACAGTATGACAGACACGCCCTAGTGTGGACATGATAATAATAAATTATGGTCCTCAGATCAAAGGCCATAATCAAAAAAGAGAATCGTCTAAAACTAATAATGGTTAGACCGCTGTGTCAATTTCAGTGACGTGCAGAAGAAGAGCCTAAGTATAGATTAAACAAAGTTTGATTTAAATTTTTATCCCGTTAACATTATACATTAAATAATAGATGTGATTCTTCGCTTCTCCATTTAATTTCACCCACACGTTCGCTTATTTAGTTGTAAATAACTTTAAAGACCCCGCTGTTTGATAAAACTTCCATAACATTGTCCCAAGAATTAAAGCCCTTCATCGGCGTATTCCGTCAGATTTATAGTTGGGGGCGCTACCACTTAAATATCACCAAATTCCACGGGAACATTTTCAGTCGCGGACACACGCGGTGCACGCTGCGACTGATAACTGAAATTCCAAAACAAATTGTCATTTATGGCATGTATACTCGTGAACTTTGGTAAACATCTACTCTTCTGGGGACACTGAGATGTAATAATCATGGGATCTGCCTCATCCAAACGAATACATCCCTCTCATACCGACTTGAATGGGGATTGCCCGAGGGCTGAGTCGGAGGACAAGTTTGCCGCTATAGATGATCATGCGAGAAAGGTGAGCCAAATAGTGTTTTTTTTTTTCAGTGCTAAAAGTTTAAATTGACGATTATTAACTTTAATTTCAAAAGGTAGCAGTTTTGACACACTATGGTGAGAAAATAATGCCTTCAAAATATTAATCTCATAATCCGAGATTAATTTCTTTTCAGACTGTTTAAAGTGACTTACTAATGCAATAACCTTTAATTTTTCGTGATGCTTATTCCCAAATGATCTCATTTTATGACGTCGTTGATAATAAAATTCAAAATTCATTTATAGGCACCAAAAAGGCTGATGACGTCAGATGATGATCTTGTCGCCTATCTTTGTGAGGGGACAAATGATGACGTAAACAAAATACGTGCATTTTATACGTGGATTATCACCAACAAAACGTAATTTTATACTTAATATTCACTGAAATATTTGAATATTCTAAGAGAAGCTATAAAATTTATTATGATTTTTAAAAATCTTTTTATAGTCAAATACAAGCACTTTCAAATGATGAGAGGAAAGGGCATGGGAGTCTAACAGAGAAGTTCAATTCACTCACTAGGTAAATACATTGTCCACACAGAAAATATTTTATAGTACCTGTGGAATGAATATCTGGTTTAAATACATACAAATTGTCATTGCTGGTTATTCATTCAATTTTTTTCTCCATAGAGTTGCGAATATTGAATCAAAGATAGTCAAAGGTTTCCACAAAGTTCCAGCGGATCAGACAAACGCAAACCCCAATATCCATGGAGACCACAGCTGGAACATCGTTAATTTGGCGGGAAAGTGGCACGTGGTTGACTGTCAATGTGGCGCCAGTGATATTCGTTTAGAATCTTTCTATTTTCTACCTGACCCACAGCAATTCATCAGCAATCATTTTCCACTTGATATCGACCAGTTCTGGCAGTTATTAACAGAGCCTATTACACTTGAGCAGTTCAACCTAGCACCTCTTATATCTGAGTCCGCGATCGCGCGTGGTGTTCGGGTAGTGTTTCCAAAGACCCGGGTTGTAAACGTTCGCCATTCTTTTATTGTTTCTGTGGACGACACACAAGCTGTGTTGACTGATTTCGCCGCAGTCTTAAGTTCAGAAGACGGTCTCGCCCACAATGAATTCGTTTTCATCTCTCGGGGCGGATCCCACTCCTATTTTGTGAACGTCAGACCCCCGTTTGTCGGTAACTTCCGCCTGACTATTCTCGGTAAACTTTCAAGCACAAGAATGGAACCAATCACCGAGTTCCTTGTCACGTGCTCCTCAGTAAAGAAGCACCTGCGTAAGTTTCCAAAGGAATACCAGTCATGGGGAATCGAACCCAGATTTCCAGAATTCACGGACGAAATGTGTGCCATTCCACCAGCCTTCCAAGAAGTGAAGGATGGGAGTTTGGATTTGTCCATCTCTACAAAGACAATGCTCGATGTGTACGCCTCTCTGAGGTGGTTGGAGGATGGCCGGAACTTTGACGACTATATGGGGACAGACAGCAGTCTCTCGGAGGTCAAACTGAAGTCACTTCTGCCAAAAAAAGGATTCTACCGTTTGTGCTTATACCTTAGAAGAGGGGATATTTTGTATCCAGTGCTAAACCTTCTCCTGGAAAACAAGAAAGGGGTCCACTCGACACCTCCCAATTTCAGTCAAATCAATAAAGATATACTTATTTAAATGTTCTGCAGATCAAAACAAAAAGATACCTCGATCGCCATTGATATATCAAAAGTGATGCGGTGCCATTTCTGACTATTTTCATTTTGGACTTTCTTTTTTAAACCATTAATAAAGTATTAGGGCCTTACATTGCAATAAAGCGCAAGTGTTTTCTGTTGATCCCGGATATAACTGATTTATTGATTGTATCCTGTTTATTATCCTTTCGAGAATTTTTACTTATATAGAGACATCACCATGTACCGGTGAAGAAGCTTTACTCGGCATTCATTGAGTAGTGAAGGTTCTTGATCGTGCAACACCTGCCGTGATACGGGGTTAAGGTTTTTTATATCTCATCCGAAGGGCCCATAATTTTCTCTTCAAAAGTGCCATGAGCTTGGCGAAGGTGCAGCTGCTACCTTTTTTTGTCGATTTAGGTCAGTCGCTCAGTGATTCGAACTCACAACCTTCCGATCACGGAGCGAGCGATTCAATTTATAAATTAAAATGAATATTGTTAATTGAAAAAAAGATTGAAAGTCAGATTGAAAGCCACAGCATACCGTCAATGACAAGATATTTACAATTTCATACTAGTATACGAATTCCATTTTTATTCAAATAAAATAATATATGTCTGTGACTTCAAAAAGCCTGTAGACTTGAGATTATTTTAGATAATGTGCTGCAAAGTCTTATGTTTGGATGATCCAAGATTGATTTCGGATAAATTTTGTGACTTCCATTTTTCTAAAAGTTTAGTATCAAGATACTGTTATATGAAGTAACAAAACATTACTTGTTGAACCTCTAGCATGTCTACTTCAATGCCGTTGATATTTTGAGGCTTGATATAACATTAACTGACGTCCACCTTGTATTTTAATGTCTGTAAGGATTTTTCTTTAGGTTATACAGAGCAAGTAATGATATTTTACAAATAAAGAAACGGAAGACCTCTTTGTTAAACAAGTTAATAAGCAATTACAACCAACATCATGCCAAAGTTAGATTTAATTTTTGCTTTTAATTTATTGATAGTTCAATGATTTTCAATATAGCGTTTTTGGTCGAAAGATCTCTTTTAATATTATTGGTATATAAAATACGATATGACCATTGATTGATAAATGATGTTCATACGGAAATAAACTCAACTGACATTCCGAGTTCTCACCAAATGGGCGTCGAAATTCTTATTGTTAAATTGATATCGATAAGTATAATACTTGAGTATAATAAGGATATGTTCGTTTTCTAATATACTGTATAGATGGAAAGAAGAAAATAAAATGTGTATTCTCTATAGGAGAAAATTAGTAGTGTTAAATGTTCATTAGAGATGCTACTTGATACAAATCCTACTTGTAACTAAATGAAAATATTTAGTTTAAGTCTGCATGTATATATAGCTTATACATGGTTAGAATTTACATGTGATGCGTATCATATCCCGGTAACACAACTTAATTCAGTATTCGAAAACACTCAAATTCACTTACAAACAGCTACAATTTAAAGATCAAAATATCACCTGTTTAATTAGGACCTTTATTTAGTATGCACTTTAATTATTAAGATGCGCTGGTATTTTTATATGCAGGATGTTAAAAAAAATATTAAAGTTCAATAATTTAATTTTAGTTGCAACATTAATTGGTTAAACGGTTTTATCCATTTTGTATAACATAACTTGCCTACGTCACAATGAGTTACGTCAAAAACGTATTACTCCACTTGACGTTAACTTTTAAAATATGCATATCCTTTTTCTAAGGAAAAATGGAAAAAACATTGAAATTAAATTATAGTGTTAAATGTTCATTAGAGATGCTTTTTATAAACCGCTTCACGGTTTATAAAGATCCTATGTTATGTTATATCGTATAACAAAAGTTGAAATTAGCTTCATTCCTTAATTAAACTGAAAAATTATCCATGTATGTTTTTAGGAAAGTGTGAATAGAGAGTTAAGTAAAGTACATATATATGACATAAAGAGAGTTCAAATTAAAATCATTTTTGAATCATTGCATTTATACTTACCTCGTCATTGGTCATTTGAAAAATTATTTTGTTAAAACAGATTCTGATTGCACACATAACACATCACTTGATAACAATATCTATGTGGTTTTTGGAGACCAGGTATTCCAACAATCTATTGGAATTCCCATGGGTACAAATAAAATTTTTATATTCATATGAAGCAGAATTTACAAAATCTTTTACGTGAAAAGAAAAAAACACTTGCTGTGGCCTTCAACTCGACAATTTTAAAAATTAATTAATAATGATAATTTCCATCACACGATATATCCTGTTTAATAAAAGATACCACAGGGCCGACACTTCTGCTTCATACTTGGATATTTTACTTGAAAAAGACACAAATGGTAATCTTATATGATAAACGTGATGACTTTAACTTTTCTATCGAAATTCCCTTACTTATGCAGCAATATACCTTCATCACCTGCATATTTTATATCTCATGCAAGAAGTAAAAAAAAAACGAGGTAAATTAAATTTATTAAATTGAAAAATTATTCATGTATGTTTTTTTATCATTGAATAAATGCTGTGTATAGAGAGTTATTTTTTTTCCGTTATTTCCTGATAACAGTACATATATCCATGATGTTTCGGATATTTTGTATGTTTGTTTGAGAGAGTTCTGTTCGTTATTTCCATATCCTTCTTCAGTAAAGTACATATAAATGACATAATTGTATTATTTGGAGAGTCTCAACCGAGCACGCGGAAACCCTAACTTCCTCTTAACAAGTGCACGCGCGCTGACGAAATAAAAAGCGATTTAATCAACACCTGTTTACAAGAAATTCCAGCGGAAGTATCTCCCACTGTGTGTTGTATTTGAACGGAAATTCCGGTATCCTAACGTTGATAGAATATCAATTTACATCAGATATGACTCTCTGTCTTGGGAAAAGTGTTTTATAATATTCTTTGTGAACATATAGTGAAAATCTATAAGGGGATTCAATTCCTGGGGCACCGACAAAATGGCGGACAATAGCTCTCTCCAACAGGAGCACTGTTACGCTTGGTTGGAGGAGGAGGATCTTCCGAGCAATGCCACGTTAGATGACGTCAACACCCGATTCAGAGCCCGGAATTTCGGTGGCATCATCTTTGTCACGGTGCTTTGTATAGTTGGAGTTATTGGAAACTTTCACGTTCTGATGGTGTATCTGCTTCGATACAAGAGGTCGTCCTATAGAACTTACATCTTATTTCTGGGGGCCCTGGACATGACAAACTCCACTATTAGTATGCCTCTGACGATCGTCTACCTCAGTTTTCCTCTCGAGTTCTTTAACGACTTCTTTTGCAAGGTATACCGGTTCTTCTTGTATTATGTGAGCATTGCATCAACGATAATCTTGGTTATTGTTGCGGTTGATCGATACAGAAAAATTAAGACACCTTTCAAGCGTCAATGGACCAAAAAGCAGACATTTCGAATATGTTTGGCGGGATTATTTTCAGGTTTAGTGTTTGCTTGGCCGGCACCGATTCTGTACGGGGGGAGGAATGTGCCTTTACCGGTCAATAATTTGACTGGACACCGGTGTTACATTGAAGATAAATTCAAAAATACACCGTTTACCGCAGTGTTTAACGTCATTTTGACGTCACTATTCATTTTGATCCTGACCACTCTCGTGATACTGTATCATTTCATTTGGAAAGTCGTGAAGAACCACGTTAACTTTACCATGCACTCTGAATCAATGCACTCTCTCTCAGTAGACTTGGACAAGTTGAACGGTTCTGGAAACCAGCACTCGGATAAAACCGTCAAGAACCACAAGTACCAGCGGCTCCGACGGACCACCATTACGCTTCTATCGGTAACCATTGGTTACCTTGTGTCAGCGTTCCCGCATCACTGTTTAGCTTTGGTCATCTTCTTGTTTCCGGAGACGGAGTGTAACATGTCCTTTAGCGGCAGTGTGGTTTATTATACCTTTGTGTGGATATTCCTGGTTAATAATGTGATTAACCCAGTTATCTATTCATTTTCTGATGTCAGATTTTTAAAGCAGCTGAAATCATTTTATGACTGTACAGGTCAGAAACTGATTCCATTTACTAATTGTACAAGTCAGTATGATACTGAGTCCAGTTAACAAAATTTTTTTTTTTTGGGGGGGGGGGGGTGGATTTAATCATCATTGTGCTGTGTGATTAAGTCTTCAATATGTAAAAAATTTGGTGCTTTCTTGTTAATCGCTACTATACCTTCAGATATATATGAAACCTATGCAACTTGTACACATTAAATTACAAAGGGCGATTGATTCAGAACTTGCAAAACTGTAGATCTTTTTACTTCCTCTATTTTATAAAACACTTCATTTAAATGAAATATATATAACAACTTAAGTATTGAAAGCATTAACACGAGCACATGTGTCATTTACTATTTTCTGATTAATATAAATGTTTGAATATGAACCAAACCGATTTTCAACGTTTCATGCAATATTTGTTCCGGTGTTAAATATCAATAAAGTGATTATTCACAATTCTTAAAGTTTTATGACTATATGACTCAAAGATAAGTTTAATTTCTGATATCATACTTTGAGTTTCAAAAGTAAACTTGGTTAAATTTCGACACAAATTGACATGTGCATTGCTCAAGTTTATGGAAAGCCATACGAGGGATGTTCAATGACATGTCCTAGGCCATGTTATCAATCCTGACCTGGTCACGAAGATAATAATCATGGCTTAATCATGTTTGAAATCTTGACATGGTCATAATTGCCATCCTGACCAGCCAGGGTTGATTTTCAATGAAATATATACAACATACCATGGAGGTCCCTATTGCTTTCCATACAAGTAAGCTGGAAGATACAGATGCCATGTCTATTACCGAGGGATTTTTAATAACCAAAAATGTTAACAGAAAAAAGAAACTTGCTGAATGATCCTATTTTTGTGTAACGTGCATTTAGAAGAAGTATATATTATACTCATTTTTAGCTCACTTCAATAAAATCGGGGAGAGCTTATAAAACCCTCGGCTTCGGTGTCGGCTTTTTTTCTTTATAAGTAGTTCTATGCCCTTTTTTGATTACACATGCATGGAACATGGTTCTAAGGTGTTTCAATGTACCAGATGAGATTTCAGATGCTGCAATTTCAGCAAAGAAATGACCAGATTGTTTTAGGAACAGGTTAACATTTTTTGTGTAGGTCTTATTTCCAATTAACTAAAAAAAACTTATGGGTGATAATGGATGCATCAAAAGACTTGCTTCGGATGCTGGATATGACCTACATTTTCCGGATGAGTGAACGCGTTAATGTTTTTGGTGCGGTTCTCATTTCTAAGTAAATATGAGTCCTATGATGACCAAACTTGCATAGATGAAGCATCTAAGGATGTACACTGATTGGCCTGCTTCTGATTCTGGACCAAACATATATTTTCCAGATAATAGACCAGGATTCGGTTGCACGAACGATAGTTAAATTAACTGTAAGTTAAGCCTTTAATTGTTAGTTAAAAATTTAACTGTCAGTTACGTAACTAGCCATTAAAAATGGGTTGCTTATATGTCTTATATATCGTAATTAAACGTTTATAGTTAACTATGACTTAACTCATAACAATTGTTAACAAGCAATTTTAAATACGTCTGCACGTGCGTTTTCCTTACAACTGTATGGAATATGGCTGCCAAACGAGAGAGATGTGCTAAGTGGAGTATCTCAGAAATTACCGTTTTGACGGAGTTTGTTGAAAAAAATGAGGAAACTCTTAAAGCGAAACAATGTAACCAGATTACGAACTCAAAAAAAAAATGCTATGTGGGCAGAGGTTACGGCTATGATAAAATAATGATTAATGCCATCGGTGTGCAAAAACGCACCGTAGAGCAAGTTAAATTTAAGTGGGGTAATTTGCAACAAGGAGCAAAGAAAAGTTTTAAAATATATCAAAAAAAAGCAAATTGACCGGAGGTTCCACCAAAGCCGCTTACTGCCAAAGAAGATCATCGAGATATATTAGATTCCCAATTTCAGTGGCATTGTAGGTGGCTTTGAGTCATCTGTGCCGGCATTTGCAGGTACGTATTTTTCAATTATCAAAGACAACAAAAAAAAATTAAAATCAAAATTACATTAAACCAAATTATACTTCAATCTTATCAAATGAAACCAGTCTACTTGTAATGTTTGTTTACATCGTCTGACAACATTGCTCAGGATGATGACGTCACCAACCATTCACATAACACGTGTAATATAGACCTAAATGATGACTATTCTGCTGTTTTGATTATATCTTAATTTTCTCCTTAAAATGTAAGACTTACTTGAAAACAGCTACTTTAAATAATCCAGCATTTGATGCAACTAAGCCTCGATGTAATGACGAAGGCTACATCAGTAGGGGCCTACACATGTCTCGATCCTGTACATAGCCTAGTCTTTGAAAACTCTATGATCGTCTAAACAGAGAGTATAAAATCAACTTTTCACGTTAAGAGAGTTAACATCTCCGTCAAAACTTTTAAAAAATCCAAGTCATCACACAGGAATGTTTGTCAAGTCCGATGTAAACTCAGCCCTCAATCTAGGCCTATCACATTCTCATTTATAAAGTGACGTCATTAGTGGGGCACAGTATGGGTTGTCATAATGACATAATATTTAAATATCTCCATTACATGGGCGTCTGAACCGGGGGCGAGGGGGCTTAGCCCCTCCCCACTTTTTTGCAAATATACCTAATATATACATAATATAGGCAATATGCTTCAAGTGGACGTAGGTTTAAATCCCCTCCCCTACTTTCAACATCCCATCTTCCTCTGCACGATTTTATTGTCTTTCCTTGATATTCCCTGGTATTATTTTCAAAAGGTTTTAATTTTTTTCTCTTCAACCTACCCATTTTCCATTTCCATCTTGTAAAAAAAAAAACGCCACGCTCAGATCGTAGTTCCTGAAGTTATGTAAAACACCGTTTAACGGTAACCTATAAATGATTTTAAATAATTCAGGTATATCACGGTATAAATCCTTGTTTCTGATTGATTGTAGAACGGTAGGTAGTGGGCCTGTATGATTTTTTTTTAATTTTATTGTTATAAAATCAATGAACGTTTGGAAAATGGAACATGGAAGGCTTATCTACGTTTGTTTTTGATATTTCATATAGAATATATTTTCCAGCAGTGCATTTAGACATAATTGTTACTATACTATAGTATTTAGCATTAATCATATTCTGTTGTCATTTTTACTTTAAAGTGGTGTCAAAAGAAACTGAGCCAGAGGCAACATCTACCTCCACCCATGGTACCAATGAAGAAGGAACTGCAGATGCACAAAGACAGATTTATATGCAATTTGGTATTGTGAAAGGTTGTTTGATAATCTCGTAAAATGAAAGCAATGGTGAAGGCTAAAAATAATTCTTTTTCAGTTTGTCAAGAAAAAATTCTTTCGTGTTAATGCTGTAAACGTACTTTTTACGAGGCCAATCACATACAGATCTATTTGGGGGAAAATTAATTTTGCGAATTTTTTTGTTTGCCACTGACTAGATTTATTGGTTTATTCTCAACTGTCGGTAAGTCTTATCAATTCTGCTTTTTGCTAGCGCTCTCGAGCGCTAGCAACTACGTTAGTCCAAATTCCTTGAATACACATGCTCGGCCGCAATGGTCGCGCATTCTGGGAAAACTGTGAAAAACTACTACAAATATAGACCGTACGATAACAATTTCGTTGTATCGTGTTGTAGCATGAAATAACTGTTTATTTATTGTGTAACTTACACTTTAAAGATAACTTCATATTTATAATATTTCAAATTCTGGGTTTTTTTGCTGACGGAAAAGCTGAATCATTATCTGATTGTTCTAAACAATTTTGACTTTTTTTTATTTCAAAACAATCAAAAAACAATTTCTGATTGGTCAAGAAACAAAATTCCAGAAACAGAAGCAAGAATTTACACTAAAAATAACGAATAAATCCACTTTTGTGTTTAAAAAATAAAAAATTCTGATGTGTATGGCTTTTAACCAAAAATATCTTGACAAAGATGAAAAGGACCAATTAAGCTAACATTGCGTTAAAAACTCTCTGTCTTTACACGACATACACTGTGTTTTTTCTATATTCCTTTCAGCTCCCATGTATTTTCTTTGCTAATTGCAAGAAATTCTCTTCTTTAAATCAGCTCACACATGCAATCTTCTTCATTCTATATAGAGCACCCCCCCCCCTCCAGTAAAGGTCATATATGTTATTGAACAGCACTCCAATAGGTCACCCCCCCCCCCTTATTTCTTAACCTTTGTGTCTATAAAATACGCCTCACAGAACAATAATTACTTTATCACTCTCCAGCCTTGATGAAAATTAAAGAATTCAGCGAAATAAATCACTTGATCACGGATCTTCCTTTCTGTGTTTAAAAAATGCTACGGCGCTAGCTCACCTATCTTTTTAAAAGATAAACTTGTATATCATAATTTTACTCCAAAGCTTTCTGGTATTAAGTTAATCCAGTTTAACTGTTTACTACCTAGGTCGGATATGGAAAAGGAAACAGAGATTTCAATGATCAATATATAAACATAAGAAAAGGAAGAAGATTACATTAGCTGATTTGCAGACAATGCAGTATGAGGTAGTAAATGTTTATTACAGTCCACTAATTTATGACGTCTGGTGACTTCTCACACAGGTGTTCGGATTTTTAATAACTCAAAAATGTATTTTATAAAAGGCTATTTTAAGGTGATATTTAGGACTTTCAGTGATATTAATTATTTTTTAAATTATAAAGACTAAATATCAAATGAAATATACATATTTTACCAGTAACGAATTTTCTAGTTACGTCTCACACAACTCACATCTTTGAATTTCCAAATTTTCTTTGTTATTGTCAAGTTTAATTTGAAATTTTAAGCTCTTCAAAAAGGTGGTACCAAAATTTACGAAATATGAATGATACAGGTACAGAGCTGTCAAAAATGATACCCCTCCCCTTATTTTCCTAGTTTAGATTCAATTTTTCAGTATCGAATCAAGTGCTGACTTAATGGATAAAATCGGTTGGTCGAAATTATTGGAGAAATATACATGTACATTAAAAAAGATTCTACCTAAAGTTTATAAGCATTGCTTGTTGAATTAAATGATATTTTTTCTAAAACTAAAAAATATGAAAAATGTAGCA